GTGGAGTAATTCGGAATATTTGGCCTCGGTAGCGTGGTTGGGTGGGCCACTAGCTTGTGCGGGCCACTAACTTGTGGATTACGTTACAATAACACCCTCATATACAATAACCTACTCAAGTACTCTATCAATACTAGCATATCTTAATAAGACACCGGCGAAATATCCGAGGCTTAAAAGCAGTTACCTGTAGCTGAGTGCCTGGTATAAGAGACGAGCTGTGCCCAGTTATAAATTCAACGCTAGAAAATACCACAACTTTCCTTTAATGGGCTCGACGTGAGGCGGTCCCAAGGCTGCTCCAATGCCACTCTTGACCGACAAGCTTGATTTTTCCGCCTTGGCAGCACTTTGAAAGCACTTTGATGAGAGCCTGGGGCATGTGGTACTGACCAGACGTGGGTAATGCGGTGTGACGCTTGAGGTGCGGTGAGCATGACGCCTGGAATTTTCCTTGGGTGATGCCATAGCCCAGGTTTCAAGACAGCACACAGCACACAGCACACAGCAGATGTCGTGCCAATGAAAGGTTGAGGTGTGTCAGAGTAAGGAGCGAGCTGATTCTCGTGACCAGAGGCTGACTGCGCCCGGACCATTCTCCAAAGCTGCAGATATGATCACGTGCGAATTAAGCCCTACTCCTTTTCACCGTTAAATTTTAATACATCCATGATTCCGAAAATAACACGCCTCTCTATGACAAGTCTAGCCTGGTTTCCTCTTGGACATACGCTTCCTTCAGCAGTGCTACCATCTTTCCTAAATCGACTACCGATGTAGTGAACGGTGGAGCGATAATAACATGATCGCCACGAACTCCATCTACCGTTCCTGCACCAGGATAAACGGCCAGCCCCAACTTGAACGCATTCTGCTGGAAATTGTATCCAAAATGACAAGACGTTGAAAATGTCTCCTTCGTCGTCTTATCCCTCACGAACTCGATGGCCCAAAACAGACCTCTTCCTCGAATGTCACCAACGAATTTACAACCACTGAACGTATCCATCAACAACTTACTCAAGAGCATGCCCATCAAAGCACACCGCTGAACGAGACTCTCTCTTCGCACAATCTTCTGCACTGCAAGTGCAGTGGCACAAGTCACGGGATGCGCTTGGTACGTCTGACCATGGTTGAAAGCAGCTGAACCAGCTCTCAGCGTGTCCACGATCTTTGAGGACATCAACACAGCAGCCACTGGCGCATATCCGCCTCCGAGTCCTTTCCCGATAGTGACAATGTCTGGCAGTACGTTCTCTTGCTCGAAAGCAAAGTACGTGCCAGTTCTGCCCATCCCGCACATGATCTCGTCCAGGTGAAGTAGAATCCCGTATTTGTCGCACAGCTTACGAACTCCTGCAAAGTACCCCTTTGGCGCCGCAACGCACCCAGATGTGGCGCCTACTACGGGCTCAGCAATGAAGGAGATGACGTTCTCCGGGCCTATCCGTTGGAACTCAGCGTCCAGCTCCGCAATCAGCCGAGCAACGTACTCCTGCTCTGTTTCGCCGGAGCGTTGGTATTGGTAGGCATACGCGGGTGACACAAATGATACATTGCGCATCAAGATATCCTGGTACGGCACCTTCCTCGGCAGGTTCGAGGAGACGGACATACTGGCGACCGAGTTCCCGTGGTAGCTTTGCGCTCTCGACACGAAAAATTTCCGCTGTGGCTCCCCCTTCTCGTAGAAATACTGACGAGCGAGCTTCAAGGCTGCATCGTTGGCTTCGCTGCCGCTACCACAGAAATAGGCTTTTTCGAGTCCATGCTGGAATCCACCGGGCGATACTTCTAAGATGAAGTTTGCAAGATCTTCGGCCGAGGAGGTGGTGTATGAAAGCGTGTGAACGTAGGAGACCTTTTGCATTTGTGCGACCGTGGCAGCCATGACTTCCTCGTTGCCATGCCCAATGATGGCGACAGCTGCTCCGCCGCAGCCATCGAGGATCAAGGCTCCGGTAGAGAGATGGAGGTAACTTCCTGAGGCGCTTATCACTTCGTATGGTGACTCCGTAAGGGATCGGTGCATAAGACGTCTTTCCTGGCTTCTGGATTCTGGTGGCACGGTGGCGGGTGCTGTTGCCGTCGCTGCAATTCTTGTTGAGGTGGTGGAAGCACCATCGTTCGAGGAGATAGTCTCGAGGAGGACTGAGGGCGCCATGATTAGTGCTCAATTCGACTGTATAGATGGTCTGGAGTACTCTCTGTTGCTAATAAAGGAATTAAGCAAGGACTTCCACCTCGGAGGAGAGGAGGAATGCAGTGGCCGCCTCTCACAGCTCCGCCACAGGGCCTTTCCGAACTCGGAAGCTCCAAGTCCCGCCGCAGAATTGGATGGGCCATCTTGTGGCACGCGTGACGCTTGTTGTTGGCAGATGTCGGGATGGGAGTCTCAGAAGCCGTTTGGTGGAGATCGGGTCTGACCGGATTTTGCTTTCGCTTCTCGACCGGCGTCTTGCTCCACCACTCCTATCGCCCTTCGCAACATCCGACACCCTATCTTCTTTCATCGTCTGAGTTTTCGGAGCATCCCTGAGCTCAATGAATGAAGCGCCTCGACTACCTCTTCCTGCTAACTCGACTGTTGCGCGGCGATGATAAGGACCGTTGCAATGGGTTCTATATGTAGGTCCACCATGTCAACGGGGAAATCACCCTTGAAAGTCATCATCGACCGGCATCATTCTATCATCTACAATGTCTTCAACCATTGAGAAGGTTCCGTCACTCGCGCACGTCAATTCTATTGATCGGGAGAAGGGCGAGTTACTCGTCGATCGCCATGCAGACCTCGGGCTTCAACATCTGGCCAAACATGGTCGCGTTGAGTACTCCATTGAGGAAGAGAATGCTGTACGATGGAAGATAGATCTTTGTTTGATGCCAATTGTAAGTTCAGATCAGTCATATTAAAGACCGGGAGCTGACATTACTAGTTGGCCCTCACTTTCGGACTCCAGTACCTAGACAAAGTTACCATTAGTTACGCTGCAGTCTACGGTATACGCAAGGACTTGGACCTAGTCGGCACGCAATACTCATGGGCCAATTCCATCTTCTATTTTGGTTACCTCGTCGGGGAGATTCCATCGAACTATCTCATGCAAAAACTCCCAATTGGCAAATTTGCATCGGCCAATCTCCTCATTTGGGGCGTATTGGTCATGCTCTGCGCTGTGTGTGAGAATTTCGCCGGTCTCGCCACTGTTAGGTTCTTGATGGGTGTGTTCGAGTCTTGTATCGGTCCTTGCTGGGTCACTATCACAGCCATGTTCTACAAGGGACAGGAGCAAGGGACTAGATGCACAGCGTGGTACTTTATGGTCGGAGTTGCTGCTATTGTGGGTGGCCTCTTGTCGTATGGTGTTGGCCATGTCGATTCCATTGCCATCGATCAGTGGCAGCTCGTTGTAAGTACTCGAGACATCGGATTAGATTTCAATGTGCCTTCTGCTGACTCATCTAGTTTTTGATCTGCGGAGGCTTCACCGTTGCGTGGTCTGTACTTGTATTCCTGTTCTTGCCTGACTCTCCACTCAACGCCAAATTTCTTAACGAACGCGAGAGATCTATCGCGGTCGAACGCCTGCGGAACAATCGGACGGGTATCAAGACGTCGCAATTTAAATGGCATCAGGTCAAAGAAGGTTCGTATTGCCCTACAAAACGGCCCGAAACAACTCTAACATCGGGTAGCTCTCCGGGATCCTCAAGTATGGATGATTACCCTCTGGGCTGGCATCAGCAATATTTGCAACATCGGAGGATCTTTCCTTCCTCTCATCATTGAGGAGATGGGCTTTTCAGGCATCACCACAACGCTTTTAACTCTGCCGGTGGGCGGAACAGAGTGTGTCGCTATGATCGTTGCGGGCGGAGCGTCTTGGTATTACACTAACGGTAGAACGGTAATTATGTTTGTGGTCGCTCTCCCAACGTTGGTTGGCACGATTTTACTCGAAGCTCTGCCACAATCCGCAACTTGGGGGCGTTGTGTCGGTGTTTGGCTTCTCCTTTGCGTGCCGGCATCGTACGCTATCCTTCTCAGTCTCATCTCCTCTAACATCGCAGGTTTCTCTAAGAAAATCACTACGACTTTCATGGTCTTTGTTAGCTTCTGCGTCGGTAATATTGTCAGTCCGCAGCTCTTTCTTACCTCTGAGGCGCCGCACTATGGTACTGGTTGTCGGGCGATGTTAGTGGCTATCTGCCTTTGTCAGGCGCTCTCGGTCGGGCTTGGATGGTATTACCGGTTTCAAAACAAGAAGAGGGACAGAGTATTGGCAGAAGCGCCTGTCGAAGCCGTCAATGCAGCTTCGGTGGAGGATGAGGAGTTCTTGGATAGAACGGATATGGAGGACGCGCTGAAGTTTCGATACAGATGGTAGCTCCGTAGGGCTACGCGGCCGCTCGCGCCGACATCTTTGGCGCTGCAACTCATATCAATATTTCCATTCTACTGTCAGACGTGCTTCAATGCACTCGTAGGGATCCGAACATCGTGTAACATTCTGTGCGCTGTGAATCGAATCCATCAATTCACCACATTTTAGAGGGCGTAAGTACATCGCAAGACTTCCCCTCCCCACACTTCAGATTTCCAGCAGAAGTACACTACAAGTATTAGGCTGTCCCCGTCGTGAACGCCCGCAAGACGTCATCCTCACCAGGGCCAGACACCATCCTTTTGAACAAAGCCACCTGCATCGGAATCCCTCTCTCCTTCAATGATGCTCAGAACGAGCTCGCCAGAAGTTTTTGGATCCTCAGCTTGGCCAAAACGGCCCCCATTCCTCGCTTCCTCGCTCTTACCACGGAGATTGGAAATCACGAACCCCGGGCACATGGCGAACGACTTTAGGCCTTTCGACTTGAACGCTACCCATTCCCGCATCATGAGCATGTTGAGTGCCGCCTTACTGGTGCAGTAACAATCTGCGCCTGGGAAATCAGAGCCAGAAGCACTCGCGGCAGCCAGCGATCCCAGGCCGCTCGTAACGTAGATCGAATATGGCTTCTCTGCCTTCAGCAGCAGAGGCCTGAAGGCTTCAGCTACCACCGCAGGCCCGATAACATTGACCTCTAGGGTTTCTTGGAAGCGTGTCTTCACGTCTGGATTTTGGCTACCCATGCCGGCGTTGTTGATGAGGACGTCCAGGGTTCCAAATTTAGTGCCGACTAGCTCGGCGGCTTGCTTTACCGATTCCGAGTTGGTGACGTCGAGCTGGACGGTGGATAAGGTGCCTTTTATTCCGGCTGCTTCGATCTCCGACTTGGCTTTCTCTGCGTTTTCGAGAGAGCGACAGGCCAGGATGATGTGGAATTTCTCTGATGCACTGGCTAGGACTTGGGTCGTAGCATAGCCGACGCCAGAATTGGCACCTAGATCATATAAGATAACGATCAAAATCAAGTCTATTCAGCTCACCAGTAATGAGAACTGTTGTTGGAGCCATCTTGGTGACGGTAGCTAAACGATTGAGTTTGGGAAGGACGATTGAGGTTGATGAATAGAAGACAAGTTAGGCTGACTAAAGAGCTAGTTTATCTGTTTCACGGAGACCGCAGTGGATTTATAGACGAATGCTACGGTGCTCCTCCGTGATATTTGTCCTTTTCTTAATACTGAACGGACGGTGCCCGTCGGCGCAGTCTGTCACTAATCCCGAAGGCCGAAGACACGAAACACCAAAAGTTAGTTCAGTGACAGACTGTAAGCGACCGCCTCCGTCCTAACGCCATAAGATGGCTCGCCTCATCGATCATCTGGATAGGGACTAGACCATTTCGGGAGATACTCTCTAGCAGCTGGCACAACATAGCGTATACTTTCAGAGACATGATATATCATCAAGCAGCTATTCCGCCCCTGGTGATACACACGATACGTACGGGTTTACGAAGTATAGCAAACCCCGGAAAGGGCTTTACGCGAACAATGCTAACCAAAATAACATGCGCTAGACCGACTTTGGCGATACTCGCGACCGGACTTTAGCATGTCCCCGCATCTGTGCTAGCGTCCAAGCCCCAACTCGCAGGTATCTTCATAGCTGGACTTACTCCGTTGTAGTCATCAAATGTAGAACTCCGCCTGAACAATCGACCGACAGAGTTTGCGCTCTTGCTAGCAGCCGATCCTCTATGCATCATGCCGTTCCCAAGCTCTGGTTGCCAGCCATGTAAGGCGCGACGACTCAAGGCTAGCAAACCTCAGAACACGCCTGAACGTTGCTGACTTTGACTGCAGTGCGACGAGGCTCAGCCAGTGTGCCAGAGATGCGCAAAGTCCCGCCGGATCTGCGATGGGCGGCAGGCTTTCATCGTACATACCGAAAACCCATTCGCCAGCGGCCAGAAAAAGCGTCCCAGAGGACCGCGATCAACCCGGAAAGCCGAGCCTGCAAGCAATCTGCATGTCAGTCTACCGCGGCAGCCTTTCGACTTGAAAGCCGAAGCCGTTATGTACTACATGCGGTTTTATCTGCATAGCCCAGACGATGCCCCGCCACTTCTGAGTGCACCTTGTGCACCGAGTGATCTGCTACATGGGCGACCATTACAGATAGAGGGTCAATTAGTGGACCTCGCCATATCATCGATAGCGCTAGCTCTCTTTTCACGAACCCAGAAATGCCCGCAAGCAGCCGTTGAGGCCTCGAAAAAGTATCACCAGCTTCTTCGGCTGCTGCAGCTCACTCTTACTTCCCTAGACCAGGACAACATCGAGCCCTGTCTGCTTGCAATCTTTCATATGAGTATGTATGAGAATGCTATCTATCGACCTCAACAGAGGAGAAACGCCCCCTTACCTTTGGCCTTGCCGAGCGTAGCGCATGATGAAGGCGCACTAGTCATATTAAAATATTGGAAAGAACACTTAAGTTTCAAGCAACCTTGTACCAACGTCATAAAGGCCACTAGGCGTGGGGCAATTAAGCACGCTTTGCTAGGGAAAGCTGTCCTGCCAGAATGGATAAAAGGGGGCGCCGCTTTCGGCGAGAACGGCCTCGAGCTCAAGTACGACAAAATAATTATACGCATTGCGAGTGTTCGGCAGAGACTTTCCGCTTTATATCAGTACAAACGCAGCCGGCAGCCAGGTCTGGAGGAACTCGCACGACTAGCGGAGCCGCTCAATCAAGAAGCGCAAGATATAGACCAAGCACTGCAGGACTGGAGAGCACATTTCCCGGAAGCGTGGTCATACACTCGACATCCTCTACCGACTCATCGAATTTGGCCTAAGACGAGCTTCTTTCCCCCAGTAGTCTCCAGCTTCCAGAGACTCGAAGATGCCGCGATTTGGGCGCGATACTACTCCAGCAGAATGCTTGTCCTCAGTACACGCCTGAGCATTCTTCAATTCATCGAAACAAATCCGAATAGCCTTCAGCGTGAACAAAGCACGAGTTCCCTTGTCGACTTACAAGCTATGGCTGATGGCCTAGCATCTACTGTGCCTTTCTGCCTTGAACGGTTCAAGCTTGCAAATAGTCCCGACACAGCCGATCAAGTTGTTACTCTGAAAACCAACGAGATGACAACGAACCCATATGCAGCCGGACTGATAACAAGCCCGCTTGTCACTGCGTCAACCATGGTCAGTCACATCAACGATGAGCTGAAGTCGTGGTTCAGAACCCAGCTCGCACAACTCGGGAGAGTCACGGGCTTTGGGATTTTCGAAGTCGCCACCACCGAGTAATGGTTGGACCTTGCAGAGAGATACGACGAGATCAACGGACTTCATTGCGCGCCAAAATCTACATAACTTTCATCGCTGTCTCGGCATCTGCATTCTCAATATGTGTCCCCCCATGTCCGCTTGCTATACCTGACCTTCGAGTTAACAGCTCAGTTCTCCTGATACATAGCTCGACGCTCATATCCGCGAAATCCTTGATGAGATCTAGCTCATGCAGCCGGTCCCAGATCTCATACCCTCGGCCCTGGTCCTCCTCGCGGGTCATCATCTTCGCGCCACTCTCCTTGATCACCATCCACCGCTTCTTGTCATCAAACCTTTCCCAAGGCGCCTCGCCATTTGCAAACTTGATCCACGCCTCCACCATAACCTCTCCGATCCTTTGGTGTCCTTCAGGCAATGTATGCTTCAACACAGACCAGATAAGCACATTGTCAAACGAGTGGTGTGCCATGCCACCCCACGCATTGTCGTATGGCGAAGGGACGTCAAAATGCCACGCATACACACTCGGAGACGCCAATTCAGCGAAATAGTTCAGTGCGGAGTACATCCCATGGCTCGTGAATCGTTCCAACGCAGTGAATGTCTCCGCCGGCGTCGAGGCTTCTGAGATACCGTACAGGTCTGCAATCACCTTAGCCTTTTCAGCGCCGAGATAGGACTCCATCTTCCGGAGAAGAAGAGGCGCTGTGGGCGTCGAAAGATCTGCGTCCTTGGCCATCGAAATTGGAGACAGATTATCCCATGCTTTGTTCCAGATGATACACTCGTTGATGCAGTCGCCCAACATGATCCTCGGACACCATTCGGGGATCTTGAATTCGTCGTATTGCGCATAAGTAGGGATCCCGCCGGGAATGAGCACTTTGTCATCGCATAGCCCCATCGTGATGACGGGCGTGATGAAAACAGGGACCATCGCAGCCGTAACATTGGCGGTACTGACAGCGAGAAGTTGCATGACTCTTTCGGCAGGTGGGAGGTCGAGGCTGATTCCTAGCTCGAGGAGCATATTCTCATAGCAAATCTGATATTCGTCAATCGACATGACTCCACACAGCCTGATCAGCCCAGACTGCAGAATAGCAGATGAGAAGAGCGCTTCATCTCGAAGGAGGTGCGTGTGCACTGAAACTCCGCCAGCGCTTTGGCCGAAAAGCGTGACTTGGTTCGGGTCGCCACCAAAACCGGCGATATGTTGCTGGATCCATCGCAGGGCAAGAACTTGGTCCCAGATGCCGTAGTTCCCGACACCACAGTCTCCGTGCTGTTTGTTGTATGCCTCCAGGTCGTGGCCCGCGAGAAATCCATAGACTCCGAGGCGGTAGTTCAGCGTGATGATTATGGTTGGTTTGGAAAGCACATTCGCTGAAGCATCGGCGAGGATCCGGCCATCGTAAATCGGCGATGAACCCATTGCATACACAAATGCGCCGCCGTGTAAGAACACCATGACAGGTAGTTTTGATCCATTTTGAGAGGGTAGTCTAGGTACTGAGATGTTGAGATTGAGGCAGTTGAGTTCGTCCGCGCTTGGCATTTCGAGCCATGGTCTTGCGGCTGAGGGGATGGGATAGAAGTCTCGAGGTGGCTGTGGACAATATGGCCCTAGTTTTGTGCCGTCGTGCTCGCCATTTTTCCATGCTGGTGAAGGAACTGATCTCCGGAAACGCCCTGGGATATTTGCGTATGGGATTCCGAGATACTGGCATGTTGAGTCGTTGTAGGAGAGACCTTTTATCTTGCCCAACCCTGGGATATGGGTTTCGACTGTGTCGACTTTTGGGATTTCGTCGGATTTCATGGTTGAGTTTGATGATTACTCGCGGATCTTTGGGATAATATAGGTTTGACGGTAGGTTTGATTCAAAATCTGATAGAAGATCCCACTGAAGGACCCTATGCGGCGGCAAGCACATGGCTTCTCTTGTAGCTCGGTCCCCAGTTCCTCATGATTGAACACAAGCGCGCATGCTGAAAGCATAATCGGATTCAATGGCCCACCCGTCGCCAGTCCTAGGAAGATAGTGAATATAGGTGGGTATTTACGACGGAATCAAACCCCGCCCTGACTCTGATCCCTCCCGATCAGATAGCATCTCGCACGGCCTATCAGCGGAGATATTCTAGCGTCCGAAGAACCGGCAACAAAAGCCGGCGAAGCCCCACCGTCAAACCCGAGCAGGTCCAACTCAGACGGCAACAGCACAGACGGCAACAGCACAGGCGGCGAGAAGACGTGTTAGGATAGGAGCAAGCAAGATATGGCTTGGTAGCAGTCGGAGCTGGAGTCCGATGCAGAATGGTGCGCACGACGATCGCGTGTGCTTGGTGCAGGTACGTGACGGATGAGTACACGGCACGTGACTATAAGGATCTCCAACTCGTAGGAAGCAACATGAACGAATGCTAAATGAGAACAGGAGATCTAAGATCAAATGTATACATCAGGGAGAACCGCCGTGTCGGAATTGTTTGAGGAATGGACGGACATCTCAAGGAGACTGCATCTTGTCTGGACCTAACATCCACGCCATCAGGAGGAAGCGGTACAGAACTCCTACGCTATCTCATAAGCCAACAACTGTCGACACTACCCATGAAGAGGGAGACATTGGCGCCGATAATACGACATGTGCTTCGAACGCGGTGTCTGCTATCGACCCAGACGGTAGAGTCATCAATACTCTCAGAAATACATCCAGGACTGATGTCCTCCAAGCTGCTTCAAAGTTCCATCAGACATTCCCTGAATTGAGCTTTCTACATCTTGCGACGTTCGATGTGGATTCACAAGAAACCTCAAGCCTTTTACTCAAGGCTGCGATGATGGCGCTGTGCTCTACTCACCAAGATGAAACTGCGAGGTATGTCAAAACCGCGCTTTCTGGGCTATTCCTAGAACCTCCAAAACTAGTCACAATTCAAACTCTTCTACTACTCGCTATGTATGAGTGGGGGGATGGGAGGGGATATGACGCATGGATGACCACTGGAGTCGCAATACGAATGATGCAATCCCTAGAAACCATGAGAGGACCAACCCGACCGAGTGAATTGGAGCAAGAGATTTACAATCGTACATTTTGGAGCTGTTTTATCATGGATCGACTTGTTCTATGTGGAAAGGGCCAGCCATTCACTCTACCCCTGGACCAGATGCGCATTCATCTGCCTATCGGAGATCAAGATTTTGCTTTCGGGCAATCCTCTAATCCGCGGATATATATTGGCAACATCCACGGAGACATGTATAATACTATCGAATACAGCTACAGCATATTAGTCAGGGGCTTCGATATTTGGGCCCGAATTCTCAAGTGGATCATCAACGGCGGGAGAAGGCAGCCTGGCATGACGCTCCTAGCTAACTGTCCCTGGACGCCTGGATCACCTTGGAAAGATCTATACGATGAGCTGGATGATTGGAGACAGCATCAACATCAGCGCATGAAGTATCCCGGAGTCCAAATTGCCGGTCATGTATCACTTGGCCACGGAGAGCAATTTGCATTCATCAACCTAGTCTACTATATCAGGTCAGTCTGAACGTGCAGAATCTCATGCCGGACTAACTCTTGTAGCATTCTGTTCCTTAGCCGAGAGTATATTCCGTTTCTTCCAAAACCTGAATCAATTCCGGTTGGACCTGTTGACCCGCCCCTCTTGGAATCTGCAGCCCCAGAGGGCTGGTGGGTGGAACGAGCCGATCAACTCTTCAACTCTTCGGCACAAATTACGAATCTTCTCCAGGAATTAGATGATCTTAACACGTCTTTGCTCACGCCGTTCTCAGGCTTCTGTGCCTTTTCTGCCGCCATCATGAATGCCTATGTGTCGAGCTTCCCGCGTATGAACTATGGGAAGTGTATTCATTTCTCAACGAAGCTACTCGAAGTCAATATACAGTGGCTGTCACGTTTCAAGGAAATCTGGAAGATGGGGAATGGTTGGGTAAGTTTAAGTGTCCGCACCGGGGTACACTTCTAATCCTGAGTAGTTCAAGACCACCTTACACGCTCGAAACCTCTACATCAAAGCTAGCCGAGATCACCAACGGTTCCAAGGCAAAACGCGAGCGGACTTTGAGGCCCTGGAAGCTTCGATCCATGACTCTTCTGGCGTCTCGCCTATCCACGAGGACGACACTCGAATGGCTGAAGTAGAAAGCCATGAAAGAGAGATCGACACAAGCCATGCGGCTGAGGCAGCACTTGGCTTACAACAGTTGTCCCATTCGCACAACATTCCCGAGCAATCTTTGCAGCCATTAGAAGATATGTACTTTCCGCACGAGATCTCGATCTTCAACCAGTGGAATCAGGTGTGGCCACTTTGGGGAGAACAGCAGTTTGGGCCGTTGGCATCTGGAGGCTTCAATCTTGACTATAATATCGACATTCCGGGTCTCTAGATCGCTGAGACTGTTCAAATTTCATTCCGGATATGAAAAGTGGACCTTCACTATCTGGCCTCGGATAATAGGCTCTAGTTCGCAAGATGCACAGTCTATCAGCCGAGCCTCAACAACAAGGATATGATTGCGGCTGAAAATAGGGTCTGGCTTTAGGAACTGACATGCCTATCAGTACCACTTACAAAGCTCAACTTCGAAAAGCCGTCTGCTAATTTCAAGTGGTACATATTATAAGCATTCAATATGGTATCTCACTGGATAACAAAGTTGACACAAGCTATTTTGCGCTGTTCAACCCGTCATCATGCAACTTCATTCTCTATGCTTTGTGTTGTCGGCTCTGTCTCAGGCCCAGGTCTATGCTGCATCAGGACCTCTCGGGCATGCCAAGAATGGCACATTCTTAGGTCGCTCAGTACCTCAGTTCAAGCAGGATTTTTTCCTTGGGATTCCCTATGCTAAGCCACCCATTGGAGAATACCGATTTCGATATCCTCGATCATTGACTTCAAAATTTCAAGGTGTCAGGGATGCGACCAAGATTGGGTACACCTGTCCCGGAAAAGATAATGCTACTCTCTATGAATTGAACGAAGACTGTCTGAACCTGAACATCGTTAGGCTGTCCAACTACCACCCCACCAAGAAGCTCCCGGTCTTAGTGCAGCTGTATGGCGGCGCAGGGCAGACTGGATCTACCAACTCAGATGGCAATAATATGACATTCTTAGTCCGAAGGTCACAAGAGATGAACGAACCTGTGATGATAGTTTTTGTCAACTTCCGGAAAGCAGCTTTTGGATTTCTAGCAAGTCAGGATGTTGCGGTAAGTCGATAATCCTTCAGAACCCGAGATCCAAACTAACTTCTTCTAGAATGATGTTCGCATGGCCCTCGACTAGGTCCAGGAGAATATTGCAGGTTTCGGTGGGAATCCGGACGAAGTCACCATTATGGGTCAATTCTCGTAAGTCTTAGTAATAAATGGCAGACACAGAATACTTCTAACGAATACAAAGGGGAGGGGATATGGTACTATGGCAGGTGCACGCATACGGAGGTGGAGGAGGGAAATCCCCGCTCAGAGCAGCCATCAGCGTGAGTGGATCAAGCAACGCAATTGCGAGTAGGCATTCCCCTCACTGTGTCAAACACGAACACCGCTCACGGGTGCCCCTTAGCCAACAGCACCGACTGGTACCAGCCCCTCTACAACACTCTCGTCTCGCGCCTCAACTGCACCTCCGCGCCCGACCAACTCCAATGCCTCCGCCAAGCCCCCTACGAAGCCCTCAACGCCACCCAACAGGACCTCTTCTTCTTCGCCGTTACCGACGGCTCCTTCCTCCCCATGGTAGGCGGCCGTGCAAAAAAGCTCGTCAAGTTCCACAAAGTCGCCCTCATGACCGGCGGCGGTATCGACGAAGGCGATTCCTTCGGCGTGCCGGGCGCCAACACTGAAGCCGACATCATCACTCGCGGGCTCCAGCAAGGCTCGGGGTACACCATCTCCAACAAGACCTGGGAGACAATCTTCAAGCTGTATCCAGACGACCCGACGCAAGGCATTCCAACCGGTACTGGCGAGGAACGCTTCGCGTCGCATGGCTACATGTTTAAGCGCCAGAACGTCATCTCTGGGGATGTTGTGTTTAACAGCAACAGCCGACAAGATGCTAGAGTCATGTCTGCGGCTGGCATGCCTGTGTACAAGTATCAGTTCGCAACGCCCTCTTGGACGAGTAAAGAGTTCGCTCCGGCGGCGTATCTGGGCGCCGGCCACGTGACGAACCAGCCTTTCAGCATCAATCACCCGAACAACTTCACGCTGCCATGGTGCGGCCCCCGAGAGGCGCGAACACGGCTGAGGGAAATGACTTCGTCGATGACGGTGGCTTTTGTAGCAACGTTAAATCCGAATAAGCATGGCCGAGACTTCACGTATTGGCCTGCGTATAATGAGAGTAGCAACGGTATTAACTTTGTGTTTAAGGATTCGGGGTCGTGGGCGGAGGAGGACACGTTTAGAGAAGAGGCGATAGATTGGCTGATTGAGACGCAGGCGGGGCGAGGTCAGTGAGGGAGAAATTAGATTACATTGAAAGGAGAGCGAGATGCGGCATTCTCAAACATGATGCCACAGACTTATCAGCCTGACAACCTAAGTATGCGAGAAATCAAATCAAAGCTTTTCGCTGGATGCTGAGAATGCAGATGCCGAGACAGCCACACAAGCTTTGTAGCATTTTGCATCCATACAGCACGAGGATACCGCTAAAAGGGACTGTCTAGCTAGATGACTAAGCAATGCTTAGCCGAACCAGGTTAGTCGACCTTTATTACCCTATACTCACTTTCCCCACTGCATCAATTCATATAACAAAGGAAACTGCCTCGTCTCTTCACTGCATGAGCTTTTATCTGGCCTTCTCGTTTATATATGCTTTCAAAATCAAACCAGGGATTGAAGTGTATCGTACACCTACTTTACAATCGCATAATACTATCCTACTATCGTCCTATATCTCAACCTTAGAATCCAAAGACCAGCTCGATTCCAGCAGCATCCGAAATACTCCTTTCACATCCCTATTTACTTCCCAGCCGTGTCCTCGCCATGACTAAAATACCCACTATCACTCCCCTTGACTCTCTCAACCGAACCTACCGGCACCGCAGTAGAATTACTCTCAGCAAACGCAACCCTATTGCCCTCACGCTCAGCCCCAGAACCACCAGCTACAACAACCGGCTCCGGCGCCTTCAACCCCTTCCCCTTCCCCTTCTTCGCCTTCTTCGTAATAATGTCCATCAACGTCACCGGCGCCATCGCCGTAAGACTCTGACCCAGCGCACTCGCCGCGGACCCACTCCCACCCGCCAGCAGCGCCGGACTCGGCGGCGTCACCGTCTTCGGCCCCTCCCTCTCCCTCTCCGGCTCCTCTAGCACCTGCGCAAGCGGCGACGACGACCCCGCCGTCTTCCGCCTCGTCGTGCTCGCCAGCAGCGCACCCCAGAAATCAGACTTCCCGCCCTTCTTCACCCCCTCATCGCTCAAGCCCTCCAGCTGCATCTCGAGCGTTGGCTCCGGGGGTGGCGGCGGCGGCGGCGGCGGCGGGCAGAGCGGGATGCCGACCGACTCCGTCTTCGCCGGCGTGTGGACGCCGAACTGCTTGCCCCATCTGCACTCGCTGGGGTAGTCGCACCGGTCCCAGCAGCTCTTCGCCGGCTTGGCGTCTGGCTCGCTCTCCGTGTCTGAGGACGACGAGGAGAACGAGTACGCGTCTGAAGAGGTCGCGGCGTCGACCATGCGCACGTCTTCGTCGCCGCCGCCGCCGCCGCCGCGCCACCACTGGCCCCACGTCTTCCAGCCCTGGTAGTCGAACTCGCTGGCGCAGGCGCGGTGGGTGCGCACGCGGCGTGGGTTGACGGATTTGCGCCACGACTTGATGGTCGTGGTGCCGGCGCAGAAGAAGTGCCCGTCGTCGAGGCAGCGGCGGGTCACGCCGAGTTGGTAAGTGCGGGAGCATTTGTGGCATTGCCAAAGCCATTGGAGTGGGGAGGGAGGAGGGGGGGTTGAGAGGGTGGTAGTTGACGCGGCGGCTTTGGTTATCGCTTTCTGGTTGAGGGAGGGGAACTCGGGCGTGATTGGGATGCGAGGGGAGAACGGGGATGGGGGAATCGAGAGGAGGGTTGGTTTGAATGGGGCCGGGCGAATGGTTAGGCTGGCCGCTTTGGATTGGGGGAGTTTCTTGTTGCACGATTTGTTCATGTCTGGGTGTTGTGCCATGGTTTAACGTGGTAGCCGAAGCGGCTGACGGTCCCTTGGTATGTTTCGGATACGGGATAATTGTTTAACTTTCGTATGGATGAAAATTGAAATGAGTGGGCGTAGAATCGCACAGGCCTACTTTGCGAGGATAGGAAACAGAGAAAATGCAAACGAAGCTCTTCAGGATCCAGTCCTATCGATATACACGGTAATGAACACGGGACGAAAGCAAGAAAAACGATGAGAGAGTGTAGTGGAGAAAATCAGTTGGGCGGTGGACACCTTGTGATGGATAACCTCCCTCTGAAGATTCTTTGTCTGAGGATATACATCCTTGGTATTCTGTCCTTCTGACCCTGTCGAATAAAGAACGAGCAAGAGTCAGATGGCCAGGGACAAAGACTGTTGCTCTCGAGATTAGTGCCGCGCATCCCTTCTTTATTCATATTTGCTTCACGTGCCCATCCACATAACTCCGATGAGTGCTAGGAGAGAGTGGCTTGGTTCTGGACTTTCGGTGCCTGGTTCAAGTTTTTTGCATGTGAACAGTCTTGTTACTCAGGTTAACCTGCAACTTATCGAGGCATTGCCAGCGCATATGTGCCAAAAAAGCTACCTTGTGCGCAAAACGTTGACTCGTGATGAGATGATTTCCCTTCGAAGGTAGTCCAGGTTTTATATGCGTGGATGCGAGATATAGATCACGTGACTAGACAAGGTTAGCGAAGTTTAGCGGCTTTGACGTATCTCAAGCGAACCAATGAGATTGTACCTAAGCGCGCTAGTCTGAAAAAGGTATAAAACATCTACTTCTTCTCGATAATCGTACCTTTGTACCATTTGTGATGCCAAGCTGCTTGCTAAAGACGATAGAGAAACATATAATTTGAAAATTCGCTAATAGCTTAGAGCAAGTCTGGCAATAGCAAAGCAGTGTACACTGAAGTTAAGAACTGTTTCTTTACAGGCAAGTGGACTCAATCACGTGACTCTCTGAAAATAATGGTTGCAAAGTTAGAAAGGACTAGACATGCGGAGACGACCACGGGTATGTTCAGTCTATCTAGCTCACTTCGTACCATTGTACATTAAACAGAAATGAAAATTGACTTGAACTGGAAGCCAGTCTTGAGGGTAGTTGGAGCACCGACAGCCTTTAGGCAAGGCCATTGAAAGGATCGGAAATCGAGGCGATGACGAGACAAGCAAAGAAAACGACTTTTTGAGAGACACTTTAGAGAGAAGTAAGACGCTTCGAGCAGGTAGATTAGAAATCAAACCTCAAGCCAAGATCTGTCCTCTGAGCTATCATGATTTTGGCTCTTCCTGGACGTCTTCACCTTTCAACGTCTCCAATGACGTACCTCTACGCTATAAACACTCCCGCTGATAGCCTTCTTCAAATCCTTAAGAAACCAGCTGAAACCCCCTCAGCCAAGCGATCCAATGCATTCCCCCTTTTCAGTGAGCACAGACAACGAAGCTCACTTGGCTGACAACTCGATGCACGCTCAGAGCAACGATTGCCACGGATTCATTCACAGCACAGTGACATCACCACCGCGATCGGCGTACTACAATCCGGGGTGCAGATGATAAGGAGCGGAGAAGGATGGAGAAGCGGAAAGCCCGTCTCAACTTTCCCATGCCCAAGCTTGCCGATCGGCTTGGCAGCGATAAGGTAAGTAGGGCACGTGATCGGGGGATTTGGGGGGTCGGAATGACTTCACTAGGTTGCCACGCTGACGGGTTCCCTGTGAGACAAGTGGAGTTGTAATGCGTGGGCGGTTGGAGGTTGGCAGGGACCTGGGTAGCGGGAGGAAGGGGGCTGTGGAGACCTGGTGGAACAGTGAACTTGCGTATTCTGTTTCACGCTGCACGGCAGGTATTGGTGTGAAGCGAATATGTAATATGTACAAGGGAATAGATTGACCCGGCGTCAGCCAGTAGGTAATAAATAGTTCAAACAATATATGCTCACGCGCACACACAAGACAGGCGCAACGTACGTGTCGTCTACGTCCTTCTTCACTCAGAACGCATAACCCAACCCCATAAAATGAGACCGGCTACATTTCCGAGTAGAGACAGTAACGATATATGGTATCCAACTCCTAGCATGCTCAAACCCAACCAACAGTCACAAAAGGAACTCTATTTTGGACTCTAACTTTCGTGTTCGACCTTCTCGGCCGCGATACCGTGGCGATCGCCGCCGATGCCGGTATGCTGTTCGCCGCTGCTTTCGCTGGGCTCCTTGCCTTCTAGCATCTGGCTGTGTTGCGAGATGCCGTGGCGCTCGCCCTGGGGAATGTGGTGTTCGGAGTGGGACGGCTCCTTCTGGGCCGGGGTCCAGGCGAGATAGTCGCGGCGGACCTCGACGTAGTCGTAGGCGAACTCGCCGAGCTGGTCGTCGTCCATGCCGAGGAGCTCGGCCTCTTCAGAGGCGCGGAGCTTAAGGCCGGGGATGTAGTTGATGGCGTAGGCGAGGATGGCGCTGACAACGAAGCTATACGCGGTGACTGCGACAACGTAGGCGAACTGAATGTAGAGCTGCTTGTAGTTGTGTTGGATCCAACCACCGTTGAAGAGGCCAGTGTTGACGCCATCGAGGCCGATGATGTAGCTGGCACCGAAAATGCCATTGGCGAGGAGGCCAACCATTCCAGCGACGCCGTGCTCAGCGAACACGTCGAGGGCATCGTCGATCTTGATCCAGAACTTGACTGTGATAATGTTAGCTTACGCCAGTTTCGAAGGAAGAATGAGACGTACTCTTGGTAGCAAAATTGCATACGACACCGGTGACGATGCCGAGAACAACGCTACCCCAAGGGGTGATGAAACCAGACGCAGGAGTAGCAGCAACGAGACCAGAAATGCAGCCTGAGCACCAGCCGACCATGGACCACTTTCGGGCCAATCGCCAATCGAGAAGAACCCAGGTGGCGGCACCGAACATGGCAGTCAAGTTGGAGTTCCAGCAGGCCATGGTCGCACGGAGGTTGGCACCGAACGAAGATCCGCCGTTAAAGCCCAACCATCCAAACCAGAGAAGAACCGTTCCGAGGGTGATTAGAGACACGTTGTGAGGGCGGAAGTTGAGCATCATCTTCTCCTGGCGTCTACCGAGAACCATCGAGTAGGCCAAAGCAGACATACCGGAGCCGATCTCGACAGGTCCGCCGCCGGCGTAGTCGAGCACACCCCACTTGAAAGCCCAGCCATTGACGTTCCAGACCCAGCAAGCGATTGGGCAGTATACAATTGTAGCCCAGAAGAAGATGAAGACCATCATGGGGATAAGGCGTCCGCGTTCGGCGGTAGCTCCAACGACGATAGCAGCGGTAACGGCACAGAATTGCATCTAGAGAGTGGATTAATTTACGTTCCAAAAATGATCGAGGTCCCGAGAGACACTTACCTGGTAGAAAGCGTATAGAAGATCGGGGATTAGAGGACTTCCAGGGCTGGGGGCGCCCAAGGTCTTCATGAGACCGAATTTCGAGAGATCGCCGATGAAGCCGCTGGTGCCATATTGACTGAATGCGAGCGAATAACCCCAGAAATACCATTGGAACGTGATGACGGAGCAGGAGCCCATGCAGGCCCAAATAAGAGACAAAGCAGACTTTCTGCGTGCGAGGCCGGAGTAGAGGAAACCTAGACCCGGTACCATGACCAACACCATAGCCGAAGCAATGATGATGTAGGCCTGGTCACCAGACTGGTACCATTGATTGAGATTCTCAGAGTCTGCAATTGAGCGTCAGTCCAGATGCTCTGGGGACTGGTGCGAATGGCAATGGGGTTCTCGAGAAGAGGGGCGCGTCCAGCTCGTTTTCACGTGTCAGACGTAGCACCAGTGCAGGCGTCACATACCGGAATCACCACCAAGGAATTCGTTTGTGCCATTGAAGGCTGTAGGGGGCCCCACCCACGAGTAGGACATGTTTAAGGAGGGTGCTCGAGAGAGCTGTGTATTACAAGAGAAGTATCAACGAGGCGGGACGAAAGGGTGAGAAGCCTTGGACAAGGAGTGAGGGCAGCGAGAAGGGCTGCACTGAGTATAAGAATGGCAGAAGTTGCTGGCCTGGATCGACACAGCAGTCCCGGCGGCTTTTAAGTTTATGATGCTTTCCACAGCATGGGGCTCACCAGCTTATCGCCCTGGTTCAGCCCAGCAGCATCCCCCCCTGCTCCGGCAAAATAAACTAGGCGAGCTGGAGCTTCCCACGACGACGTGGGGTCGCGCCGGCAGCATCGTACAGATCTTGAAGTCCTTTGCTTTTCGGGGATCGGATCAGCCTGGCGTCAGTCTGTATTGCGGTCCCTTGGCCGATGGCCCAATGGCGGCGGCCCTGAAACCATGTCGTCAGCCCCAAGTGGGAGTTCCGGCCGGCCAGACACACTGCGACATGCAGGAAAACTTTTGCGGCCACCTCCACGCCTGCAGACGAGCCCCTCGACCCCCAAGTGCAGCCACGCTGCTGACAGGGCGCGCTGTTGCAGCTCCCAGCGCCTCGACAGGCTTCCCCAGAGCGCAGCGGCATCGAGGTCTCGCCGGCGGAGGCCTTGGCGCGGGACTGGCGTTGGGCGGGTCCTTATCTTTGGGCGTTTTCGTTGATCACCTCCTTACGCAAGGCCGCCCGCCAGCGCTGCAATTGGCTACTAGCCGATTTTGCGTACTGAGAACAGCTCGAATGCCCAGCTTTCACGCGACGTCCCCGCCAGGAGGGTGCTGCCAAGACTGACTTCGTTGACGACGAGCGAACCATGGCCCGCCGTTTGGGTGCAGAGATAAGGACGTGTTTGCAGATGGCGGAGAGCATCGATGCCAAGCCCATGCTGCTCTTCTGAAGCGTAAGAGCATCGAGAGCATCGAATGGCCCTCGGAGCCGTAGTGATGACGTGCGGTGTGCCGTCAGATGGCAGTAATAGTACTCGGAGTATGCTTACAAAGGTGCACCGTCGAACAGCAGAACAGGACAAAAATTTCGTAAGCACGTGAATGAATGTTGGATTGCCATATCTGCAGGGCCCCGGGCGATGCTGCGATTTGGAACACAGGTGCAGCTCTAGAGCAGCTGAGAAACCACTGAGAGCCCGTTGCGAAGTCAGGATCAGGGTCGGCGTCACGCGAGCGTCCAGGGGATGACAAGGCGAGGTGAATGTAGTCGAGCGAGAGATACACTAAACCACGCCAAGGCCCAGTCACGCTGCGCGGCGTCGAGTCGGCAGCAGACGGCCAGACCCAGAACCAGGCGTTCGTATGATCTTGAGTACCGAAATGGCGGTTGTCACGGTTCGCTTCTTCTTGGCTCTTTCGTTCACAGGTGGTTGTTCGGAAAGCTTCTTCGCTGCTTCCCTGCATGGTCCCGTTCTCTCGTGGAGCACCAGTGCTGATGCGGATTACGGCGATGCTGGCGGGATTCGTCGCTTCGCGGGGCTAGCAGCCCGCACGCCGTGATGCAAATACGTTCGGTCAAGCGGCCTGAGGGCGGGGGGATTTGTCTGGAACATTGGTAAGGCGTGGTTCGGCTGTGGCTTGAAGACCCTCCGCGCCTGGACACGAAGTGGGATAGCCCCGTTCCCCCCTAACGTCAAACTATGCACCTCATCTCTCTCGTGTCACCTCCCCAGCGTGTCTCACGACGCGTGGGGACTGGAGGGCGCATCCTCGTCCGAAACCGCTGCGCGAAAATTTTCACCTCATCCCAACATCTCGATTCTGCTGGACAAGCAGTCACCACCACCAGGGCGGCTGTAGAAGAGGCTTGCACGCAGTGGGCTGATTCTCCCTGTCCAACTGCGCTGTGCATTCGCGACCTCCTCGGGGTGGCCGACCGAAAAGAAATCACCACTCGACGAATCGATACCTCCCATCCAACATCCACCCAGCATCACTCAGCACAACCCAAGGTCCCCTTCCATTATAGATACCATGAGGCCCACAAGAAGCAAGATCGCATCCCCGAATACGCCAGTATCAGCCTTCAATACGCGGTCCGGAAGGAGTCTCTCCCCCCAACATCCAACACTCGACCTAGGAGCCTTGGAAAACTTGAGGACGAAAGAACTGCTAGCATTCATCTTGCTCGTAGCTTGGAATGCGACTGCTAAGATGCATTATACCCGGGTAGATACACCGCCAACGAATTGCAAGGGACCACGTGCTGGAAAGCCCATTCAATATTAGGGGCAGAGAGTGGCTATTTCGAAATGAAGCTGGCGAGCTGCATGGGACAACCTAGAAAAGCAATATGAGGTAAGGCAATTGACTTGAAATCTGCCAAAAGACGTAGATGTAGTGTCCATGTCGAAGGACTACGTCGAATATCGCTGACTGAGGCCGAAATTTCGGGCTCTGAAACTCCGCCCCTACCAGTCGCAGATACAAAAGTATCATCACATTGGCACTCGTGCGGTGCTCTTGTATAAAGCTTGACATCATCACTGTCTGGTCATCGGTCCGTCCTTTACGGACTAATCATTCCGATCACTGGAGGGACAACAACATGGCATCCGTGTCGAATGGGGAAATACGTTCATTTTCTTCGCCGGTGGCTTTGTGTGTACTAGCTGCGGCGTTTGGTGGCCGGAACGGGCTGCATCTTTGACCGCATGTTCAGACTCAAATTTCCCTTGATCGTTGCACTTTCACGCTTTCCTCCGTATCGACGTGTTCTAAGGCTCTGTTGCTACGAGTTGCTGATAAGCTGCAGCGCAGCCTGTAACTTCTCCTCGGTATACAAGGTGAAGGCTTCAAGGCCAGCTCACTGACGGGAGGCGCCTCAGCAAAGTCATCCGGCCTAGCGCGTTTTAGAAAGAGTGCTTTGCGTGCGGGACGTTCCGTACGATCACGTGCACCAACCCTGATTATTGTAACAACTCATCAGATCGAAGAGTTGACTTTCAGCAAAAACAAATTGTGAGACAGGAACAGGAGGCATTGAACAAGATGGTGTGAAGATTGCGAAGGGCGGTCAATCCACCCTGGTTCCCCTTGCCGGCAATTCGATTGCACGTGGCGGTCCCGAGAGTCTGTCACAACCTCCACTTGATGCGGGGAAAGACCTCAAACCTCACTAGACGCCTCTTCATGCCGGGCTTCTCGTGCTCTATCCTTGCGTCTTTCTAACCCGTCTCCTACTCATCCCATCTTGTCCGGGATCAGCTCCCCCCTCTCCATTTCCTCCAGCAGCCATGTTCTCAAGCCATGTGCAAGACACTTCCCTTCACTCGTGCAATTCGTCACGCACATTCTGTCAAATAGATGTAGACCAAGTAGTTCTCGTTTTAGACCCAATGTGTCGTCATTATGTTCTTATCTCATCAGTTGCGCTCCTATTCAGGGCCTTGCGTACCTTTTGGATAGCCTCAAGAAGACTTATTAGAAACCCGCAAGAGCCACGATCGCTAGACCTCTCGGCAAGTCCCAAGATTTGCAGGTTTCGTGACAGCTTGGCTGCATCAAACCCCAGCGCTGACGCGGATCAACGGTCAGGCTCCCTCTTCCAAATACAGCCACCAACTCACGGGATCGCTCACCGCCAGAACATTCACTCTTGTCCTACTCGTCACCTCTCAACCTCGGCCGTTAACCAGACGACTTCACAGGGCTCCTCAAAGGACTGAGTTGCAAAACTCAACCAGTCCATTGAATTTCATCAGCTAATCGACGTTGTAGCCGTTAGTGACCCAGCCTGTTTTAACAGCACGTTAAAGCAGAAGCGCTCCATTTCGAAAGCATCCACAGTAAACGGTAACCGACGAACTGTCAGAAGAAGTTGACCGCATAACGGAAGATACAGGGTCTAGCAACAATTGATGCCTCAGCTAACCAATCTCATGTGCCTTCATACCCTGAAGCCAAAAAAAATTATGGCTTTGTTCGGTAATTTCATGCAACATATCAGCGTTGTTCATGGCCTGAGTTTCCTACGACCCAATCAAAAAAAATGTCTTAGACATAGGGAGGAGTGAGTTCCATGTTGATTCGTCGAATATTCGGCATGTATTCCAATTCCGTTCTTTTCCATCACGAGGATAGTTCAACTCATGTACTGTGAAGCTCCAGGGACAGTGGAACAGATTTACCGTTCGATGAGTCTCACACCGGGAGTTATCGCCGCACACGACAGCCCTCGACAATCTCCTTAGAATGCTTGCATATATGGAAAGCGGGCTACTTCACGAAGAGGGCCAAGCCCAAAAGCAAGGCACAGTCCCTCAGGTGGAAGACTTAGACATAACAGTTTTCAGTTGCTGCAACACAGACTTAACCTTAACTGGACTACTAGGCTGCCACACTATTGTAGGCTATGATGCATGATTGTATCCATGGTACACCTAGGCTGCACGCCTGCCTGGCACTAACCTAGTACAGAATCCCCTTGCTTTGATCCCTTCCCCACACCACGCGATGATCGACCGTCTGGGTTTCGGGGTGTTGTCAGTAGACGCAACCCATGGGATTGCCACATGAAGGGCGATATTCAAGCATTCATTATTACCCGCCCCGTCCCCTTCGTTTCCGTGCCTTCGGTACTCAGTCGCTATTTCCTGGGGTAATTAAGATTATCGTCTTATACCTCAGCCTTTCCCCTCGCCGGCTCAAATGTCCAAGCTTCTTCAAGGTTTTATTCTATTTGTGTTGTCTCTACGATGGTGATCTATCTTCGCGCTATTTCCATAAATGCTACTTCGCAATGGCCCGCACTTGACAATATTAACCCGGAGAGGAGAACTTGGTTTCCTGTATTTGGCCTCCTTCTTCAATGCATTACTACATTGGTATTTGCAACTCGATTATTTTCCAACTCCTTGCGGCGCGGTGGCTCGCCAGGCATCGACGATGCGTTCATATTTATTGCTTGGGTGAGCAACCGTCTATTTTTGCTGAAAATTAGATCTAGCTGACATCTGCAGCTCTTTGCCTCTCTTTTCACAACGCTGTGCGTCCTCGGTAAGTAAGCTATTTCCTCAAATTTTGCCCAGGCTCTTCAGCGAAGCATCCCAACCCCATCTCTGTATTTGCATAACCTGGAATATTGTATGAACTACGCCGCTAGGAGTGCTTTAGCTCTCTCGCAGTATTCGTGCTTTCCGGTCTCATAAGATCACAATAGCTGAGCTCTTGCGTGTACTTGGGCTACAGCCGCTTCCGTACTCTGAGGGCCTTGACGAATTCGGAGCGATGATGTCAATTCGCAGCCAACCTGCGAATGGTATCTGACATCTCATTAACCCATGTGAACAGGAACCATACGGTTTGGCTTTGACCGCCATATCTGGGATAACGAACCGACGTCTTTCAGTGACTCAGTTCTGGTACTTACCCAATTCTAACCAAGATGTATCTTTCGCTGACCTCCGCATTGACCAGCTGGCTTAGTGAAGGCGCATTCCTCCTTAGCACTTGTTTCACCAAAATCTCCATTCTTTGCTTCTACCGCCGTCTGGGCGTGGATGCTATTAGCAAAGAATGGAAGTGGATCATATGGGTCGCTATAGGCTTCATAACCACTTACACCTTTGTATTCCTCTTCTTCTTGGTTCTAGTTTGTCGTCCCACCGAGGCATATTGGAAATCTTTCGATCCTGCCTACTCGAAGGCGTATCAGTGCACCAGCAGCCATGTCATGAATCCGTTAATGGGAGCTCTGGGAGCATTCTCTGACTTCTATACGGTCGTGCTTTCCGCCGGTCTTATTTGGCATCTAGAAATGCAGAGGAGGGAGAAGATCGGCCTCTGTGTCATTCTCACGATGGCTCTATTGTAGGTCTTTCTACATCGCGAATTCGGAGTTCACGCTAATTCTCGTCTAGAGTGACTGGAGCAGGTATCGCGAGATCAATACAGCTTTCTCAGCTTGCCGATAGCCCTTTAGCAGACGTTACTTGTAAGCCGCGACGCCATAACCACGCAATGTCTCCTTCTAACCGCAACCAGGGCATGGCTTCGACGTATTCGTTTCCTCTCAGCTCGAATGCCAATTCGCAATCATCTGCGCCTGTGCACCGTCTCTCAAAGTCTTCGCACCCCGACAGCTCGCCACGCCTTTTAGCCGCCCAAACCAGGAGAGCAGGACGCTGGCCAACTCAGTGGTTTCCAGCCGTAGTGGGAGCATTCTGCCCGAGCGTTTCAAGCGATCCATGCAGTTGAAACGGGTCAATAGCCAAAGACCACTGGTGATATCGGACCCTCAGGTACTTGAGATACCCGATTGGGCGACTGAAGCATTCGAGTCCCCGAGATACACAAATACGGCAATGGATGTGGAGGTGTATGAAAGGTATGTGGCTGGGAAGTATGGGCCTCCACCGCCACCAAAAGACCATGGGGAAATCTTCGCGCAGTATCGGGCTGCGGCTATCCCGAGTAAGGATTTGTTTGCGCAGTATCGGGATGAGTTTGTATAGTGCGGTGCCTGGACAGAAGTCTGTCCACTCCTGCTCGCCACTGTCTGAGGTATGCTGGCTTATCAAGAAGGGTGTGGAGAAGTGTACAAATCTAAAGTGGGCAAATCGGAGCGGATGTTAACGCTTTTGATTGGCCTACATTCTTGTCGTCTGGGGTGGATCCGCATATCAAAAGGAAGCTGGAAGAGACATTTCAAAAGAGTGAATGGACTTGCATAGTACTGTAGCTTGAGGTGAATTGATTTCCGTGCAAGGAACATTGTGCGAAGATCGTCTTTCGCATGTTCATGTGATGTATAATTGGGTTCCTAAGGCTCGTGTGATTGATTCTATGGTGTTCACTCCCAATCGATCGGGCCCTCTATTGTGAATTTTGCAGGGAAACCCTCCTTTTTCACCATTCGCTGGATAAACCGAAAAGATGCATAAGTCAAAGCGAAGCTTTTCACCGCTCAATTACCCCTGGACCGGGTCTTCCCTGCTAATTCCACCTGCATCCCTCTCGAGTGCAGAAGTCTTGGCGCTTTTCCATCTGCATTGCGGAGTGCAGCGCGCCGCCCGCGAACGACGAACGAACGCCGACCTCTCCGGACTCCCAGCGACTGACCACCAGCAAAGATGGTGCTGTCATTCATCCTCATCCAGAACCGGCAGTATGCCCACCGCTACCCTCGAAATCCCAACGTCGCATTGCAGGCGTGCTAACAGTCCCCAGAGGCAAGACTCGTCTCGCGAAGTGGTATGCGCCGTACAGCGTAAGCTCCCTCTCCCCCCTCCCCCCTCCCCCCTCCCCTCCCCACACTCACAAGATACTAACAAGTACACAGGATGAAGAGAAAGTGAAATTAAAGGGCGAGGTACGCACCCCCTTCACCGCCCCCCAATCCCGACCCTCCCTCCCATACCCCAACCCACCACCACCTCCCCTCCACCCACCCCTCACCTCTAACACCGCCCAGGTGCACCGCCTCATCGCGCCGCGCGACCAAAAGCACCAATCCAACTTCGTCGAGTTCCGCAACACGTCCAAGATCGTGTACCGGCGGTACGCGGGGCTGTTCTTCTGCGCGTGCGTCGACACCAACGACAACGAGCTCGCGTATCTAGAAGCTATACATTTCTTTGTCGAGGTGCTGGATGCGTTTTTCGGGAACGTGTGCGAGTTGGATTTGGTGTTTAATTTTTATAAGGTGTGTGAAGGAAGGGGCTTCCCACGCACCCACCCAGAACCCCCACGCACCCAGGGCTAATCATTGTGGGGGTGGTATAGGTGTATGCGATTCTCGATGAGGTGTTCCTGGCGGGCGAGATCGAGGAGACGAGTAAGCAGGTTGTGCTGACGAGGTTGGTGCATTTGGATAAGTTGGAGTAGATGGGAGGGGGTGGGGCGCATGGGTGGTGTTTGGCGTTTGGAGCGGTGGAATCAGCCTGGTATCAAAAGATAGGTCATAGATCAAGTCTTTCAGGAATCATCCATGTCATGATGTTCAAAATCCAAGTTTCATAGTCATTTTCATTCATCTCTTATTCCGCTGAAGACTAGCTAGGATTGCAAACGCCTTCCTGCTGCGTTGCTGTAACTGTCTGGCAAGTCAAGTCGGGCCCAGATAACGCCATATCCCATCCAAATCAGATACCCAATGCTGCGCCAGAACGCTTGCAGTTCAAAAATCTCCATAGCCGTTTGAGGGGCCGTTGACAGCGCTAGCCGGGAAAGAAGTCATCGAGGAACACAGGCGAAGCTGGGGCGTGTATCATGTGCGTTCAGACGACATCATCCACGATGTCCTGCTCCTCCACCTCATCATACTTGGGCTCGATCTTGATCTTCTTAGTCACGAAATAGTCGATATCTTCGTCGTCGTCTTCCTGGACGCTCTGGGTACGCTTCTGTCCCTTCTTGCTGCCGTTCTCGTCTCCAGCGATCTTCTTCTTGCCAGCGTTCAGCTTTGGGGCACTGCGCTTGGTTCCAGCGCTTTTGGAATTGGTTGCGTTGGTGGCGTTGGTACTGCTGCTGCCGTTCTTGAGGTAAGCCAGCTCCACTTTGACGGCCTCTTTGGTGCGCTGAAGCATTTTCTGGCAGGCGATCAGGGTGCGGCCTTCGGGGATGAGCGCTTTGTTCCAGTCGATGGAGGTGCCGTCGAGGAGCATAATGATGTAGGCGAGCTACAGCTTCTATTAGTGTCATATTCGTTGCGTACACTGACAGCATACTGACCTTCTCCTTGTCGGTCCATCCTTGTCCTGAAGAAGGCATGATGACTTCTGAGATCGGTTGTCTATGTCATGTCAGCTATTTCAGCTTTCGAAAGTAGACGAGGGAAAACGAACTACTATAGTGATAGATCGAAGAATTTCTTGGAGAGTAGCAAGGTAAGCGCCGTTGGATGAGCTGTGGCTGTAGATGGGGAGGAGGGTCGGGAGGTGGTAGGATGAAGGTTTGAAGTTGGGCTGGTCAGTGAGATATTGGTGGGTGAGATGGTAGCCTTGGGGGTGAAGTTGGAGATGTCACGCGGCCCCTAGAAGCGATATGGACCTCTCAAAATTTCACCTACGATCGATCCGACGGAAGCCGATCAAGGCTTCCGTCGGAGTTCAGATACTACTTATCTTCTGCTCGGCCTTGCTTAGACGCACTTCAACCTCCAACACCCAACTCCCCTCTACAAGACAATCACGACAACATGTCTGCAGGCATCGGCAAGGGCGCTCAGCAGAGCATCGCTGAGAGATTGGATGGTACGTTGTTGTTTACATATCAAATCAGAACCAGCAGACTAACGCGCGAATATCCAGATGCGCCGCCAACACTTCCCCCGTTCATGAGACTTCCGTTGGAGATGCGCCGCAAGATCTATCAATATCTCCTCAAAGCGGTCCTCTACATTGTTCTGTCGCCCATGCGCACCCAGCTGGGATGGGAAATTCATGGAAAATCCAGATTCTGCAAGTACCGATACGAACGAGGCCGACTGCGCAGCCCGCTCTTCCCTGCCATCCTCGGCGTCAATCACCAGATCCATATCGAGGCGACGGATGTCCTCTACGGGGAGAACTTCTTCATGCTTCACTATGATGCCGGCGTCCGGAACGGACAGCCACTGCGCGCAAAGCTGCCCAACTACTTCGACAAGATCAAGAATGTTTGGGTTTCTACAGAGGACATGTCCGATCTGGTGGCCGACGATTTCCCGCAGAGTCTTCAGACCATGAGGCTGTTCAGCAGCATGAACGTAACGCACAAGAGACACGTATGCCATGGCTTCCAGCTGGTAGCTGCGCTCAGAAGGGCTGGCCTCCAGATGATCGAGTTCGATGAACAGTACAAGTCGCTTGGGGAGTTCAAGCCGCTCCTCGTATGTCTCATGAACAAAGGCGAGAAAGAGGTCTATCGACGTCTCAAGCAGTCAGGAGTGGAGAAGCCGGGTACGTTAACTCGCGAGATGGCGAATCTGCACTTGGGTGAATGATGAAGGAGAAGCTTGAGACTGACGGTGACAAGGAGCGACAGATCAAGGCAGCATGGGGAAATTCAGGTTTCCTGGCAAATTTGAGAGCTTGAGATGGACTCTAGGGGTGATTGGAAAGGAAAGACTCCGTCGATGCGATACTACACCGCCCTATTGGTATGTTTGGATCGCACTGGCGTACTCAAATAGTCACAATCAAGCATTTGGTTGGCATGAACATATTACAATGGTGATGAGATGAACGTGAAACTGAAATCCTGTGGACCTAGCGAATTCGGATTATCTGTACCTGCTTCTGCTATAGACCTTTAGAGCACCGTGGAGTTGATGAGGCCGTTAGGGCATCACAAGAGGCTCCGTGCAACGACGGCAAGGCTGAGCAAGGCTGACTAGGCGACGTTTTGAATCCTTCACGGCCCTGGCCCCTGCGCGGCTTGAAGCCAGGCACCGCCCGGGGACATCTGGCAGCGGTGAATTCGATCCCCATTATCAATTTGCCAATCCCTCCGGTCTCGCATCGCCTGCCACTGCTGCAGACCCGTCTCTCCTCCTACGCCCGTGGTAGTCGCTTGTCGCTGCCTTGCCCTGACTCTCTGGATGCTCCTTGGCCGTGTCATCTTCGCCGCCAGAGAATCTCTCCGCAGCCCTGCCTCGTCCATCGTCACCCTCCTTCAGCGCCCTTGCGCTACCTACAATTCACCGTCAGCCTGCATACGCCTACCTAATCGCTTCTTCTCGGCACACGCTATCGTTGGCGCCCGCCAGCACGCTCCTTTGCGCTCAGCCTTCCGCCGTTCTCAGACCGCACGAATCAGCACAGCGACGGCTATGGAACAGAATGGCGACGCCCGAACCAAGCGAAAACAACCTCCCACCCCCTCCAGTGAACGGCCCATGAAACAGATGAAGGCAGAAGCGGACTATCACAAGCGGAACGGCTCAGCCATCGCTACTTCACAGGGTCCAGCCTCGACTCAGCCCATGGAAGAAGATTCGGACTTCGAAGAGATGGAGATGGCGCGCGTTGTCGGCACCGGACAAGACACCGCCGAGTGGCAGAAGACGATTGAGAAGGTGGTCAAGAACGTCGTATCCATTCACTTCTGCGCAACCTGCTCTTTCGACACCGACCCGGCGCTTGCGAGCGAGGCCACGGGCTTCGTCGTAGATGCGGAGAAGGGCTATATTCTTACAAACAGGCACGTCGTTGGCCCTGGGCCGTTCATAGGCTACTGCATATTCGACAATCACGAAGAGGTATGTTGGCAGGCGTCAATGACCCTTCAGGGCAAACTTCTAACATTTTGGGCCAGTGTGACGTATACCCCGTATACCGCGACCCTGTCCACGATTTCGGTATTCTGCGATTCGACCCGAAAGCCATCAAGTACATGCCGGTTGAGTCATTGGTGCTCAGGCCAGATCTCGCCAGTGCGTAACACGAGTCCCGATACGGCCATACGATACTGACGGTGCACAGAGGTTGGAGTTGAGATTCGAGTCGTTGGTAATGATGCCGGGGAAAAGCTCAGTATCTTGTCAGGTGTCATTAGTCGACTCGATCGCAATGCGCCAGAGTACGGAGAGGGATATAGCGATTTCAGTACGTTGGCTAGGACAATCAATGTACACAGAAGCTAACAAATGACAGACACGAACTACATCCAAGCAGCAGCCGCTGCCAGTGGTGGCAGCTCCGGAAGTCCCGTGGTTGATAAAGACGGCTTCGCTGTTGCGCTCCAAGCTGGTGGTAGAGCAGACGGAGCAGCTACTGATTACTTCCTACCATTAGATCGGCCCCTCCGGGCACTCAATTGCGTCCGAAATGGCCAAACTATTACCCGAGGCACGATCCAGGTCCAGTGGATGCTCAAACCCTTCGACGAGTGCCGAAGACTTGGATTATCCCCAGACTGGGAGAAGGAGATTCGACAGGCATTTCCTAAGGAAACTGGAATGCTTGTGGCCGAAGTCGTACTTCCAAAAGGACCTGCAGACAAAAAAGTTGAAGAGGGTGATGTGCTGATCAAGGTCAACGGGGAGCTCCTAACGCAGTTCGTGCGCCTGGATTCTATCTTGGACGACAGCGTTGACGGCAAGATCTCATTGCTGATTCAGCGAGGTGGTGAGGACATCCTCGTTGAATTGGGAGTTGGAAACCTACACGATATTACGCCGGATCGTTTTGTCTCTGCTGCAGGAGCCTCCTTCCACGACTTATCCTATCAGCAAGCTCGACTCTATGCTATCGCAACCCAGGATGCTGGCGTCTACGTCTGCGAATCGGCCGGATCTTTCAGATTTGATGGCAGTGATTCTGGATGGCTCATTCAATCTATTGATAACAAAGAGACGCCCAATCTAGATACCTTCGTAGATGTCATGAAAGCTATTCCAGGTACGTTAGACCGTATCATTATGGTATGTGACCAGAACTGACCACTCTTTAGATCGATCTCGAGTTGTCGTCGTGTACAAGCATCTCCGAGATCTGCACACCTCTAGCACAAACATCATCACTATCGACCGTCACTGGCATTCCAAGATGAGACTCGCCAAACGTAACGACAAGACTGGCCTCTGGGATTTCACGGTTATTGCCGACGCTGTCCCGGCCGCGCCTCCAGTTCCACGCAAAGCCAACTTCATCCGCATGGATAGCGCGAAGTACCCAGCCGCTGTCGATATCGTGAGGAGTTTTGTTCGGGTTTCTGCTTCAATGCCTATCAAGCTCGATGGCTTTCCCAGAGCAAGGAAGATTGGCTATGGCTTGGTTGTGGATGCTGACCAAGGCCTGGTCATTGTTTCAAGAGCTCTCATCCCCTACAATCTCTGCGATATCATGCTCACTATCGCGGACTCGATCATTGTTGATGCTAAAGTCGTCTTCATGCACCCACTCCAAAACTACGCCATCATTAAGTATGACACGTCCCTGGTCAATGCGCCAGTCAAGACCCCCAAGTTTGCTACAAATTTCATCAAGCAAGGAGAGGAGACCGTATTCTTTGGATTCAACCAGAACCTTCGCCCTGTTGTGGCGAAGACTGTAGTAACCGACATTACTACAGTTGCAATTCCGGCCAGTGCTGCAACTCCGCGCTACCGGGCAATTAATCTGGATGCAGTAACGGTTGACACGAACCTCGCCAGTCAGTGTGGGACCGGCGTATTGATCTCTGAAGATGGCACCGTCCAAGCGCTCTGGCTCTCCTATCTCGGCGAACGCAACTCTCACAGTGGGAAGGACAATGAATATCATCTAGGCCTCGCCACCCCTATGGTCCTCCCTGTGCTCAAGGAGATCCAAAACGGCAACACACCCACGCTACGTATTCTGAACGTAGAGACACACACAGTACAAATGAGCCAGGCTCGGATCATGGGAGTTTCTGAAGGTAACAAGCCACTTAGATAATGCCCAGACAAAGATTGCTAACAAACACATAGAATGGATTGAGAGAACCGAGAAAGACGATCCAGAACGCCATCAGCTCTTCATGGTCCGAAAAGTCGACTCCGGCCACGAGCACGGCCTACAGGAGGGCGATGTGATCCTCACACTCAACAACAAACTCATCACCCGCGTCTCAGACCTCGACATCATGTACGACAATGACTTCCTCGAAGCCTTAGTCGTCCGCAAGCGCAAGGAACTCAGCATCAAGGTCCCAACCGTCCCCACCGAAGACCTCGAAACCGACCGCGCCGTCATGTTCTGCGGCGCTACCCTCCACCGCCCCCACCACGCCGTCCGCCAGCAGATCAGCAAAGTCCACTCAGACGTCTACGTCTCGGCCCGCGCTCGTGGCTCCCCGGCATACATGTATGGCCTCGCTCCTACTAACTTCATCACGCACGTCAATGGCGTGCCGACGCAGAACCTCGACGCGTTCTTGAAAGAGGTTAAGAAGATTGGGGACAATACGTACTTCAGGCTCAAGGTCATGACGTTCGACAACGTGCCCTGGGTCGCGACGATGAAGAAGAATGAGCACTACTTCCCGACCATGGAGTATGTCAAGGACACTACTGACGAGCTGGGCTGGAGGAAGATCATGCACGAGTGCGACGAGGGGGGCGTGCGGGAGGTCATGGGGGGCGGGGAGACGGAGATGGAGGCCGGGGAAGCCGGGGATATGGCTGTGGGGCAGGTGAATAATGGCGAGGCGAAGGTGCGGTCGATGTTGTGAGAATGCATAGAAAGGGATGGTTGGTAGCTTTGGCTACAGCGACTTGGGGCGGATGTACTATTAGAAGCATATCTTAGATTCGCTTAAAGGGCTTGGGTGGTGCATACGTTGGGCATTTTCTAGTAGTTTCCTTGTGGATGGGTGAAGTTGGTGGGTTGGTGGGCTAGATGGCATTATGGCACGGTTGCTGCGTGCAGGGAGACTGTGCTGTGGACTGGGCAGGATACCTAGGTAGATTCTCGGCAATATATGGGGTATCCTACGCAGACTATTGTCGAACTGGTGACAGCCACTCCTATCCACGTACATCCAGATGTTAGTAGACGCGCGGAGGGGGGTGGGGGTGAAACGTCGCGTTACCCTTCCGTCAACTTTTCTACAGTTTCTAGAGTAGTGAGCGAAAAAAATAATGTGAACGCTCCCGTAGGCTTAGGAAAGGCTGCCAAGGCGTACATGCGCTCCCGGTCTGAACGTGCTGCTAATTAGTCGCTTGCTCCTTACGGTACGCGGAGGGCATGCGGCGTGCGTGGGTGTGGTTTGGTCTCTGACTGCAGCTTCCTCAATCGGAAGATGTTGGTAGGGTTATGGAGGACTGGTAAGGCGTCCCCCGGCTTCTTGAAGGACGTTGGATAGTTGCAAGCTGTGCCGGAATGGACGGCGTAAGAGATATTTGTGGTTTGACGTGGAGGGGTTAGTTACGCGGTGTATGTACGTTATTCTAACAAGAACATATGGGGGATGTGCATACGCTCCTACATACCGCTTTTCCACAACCGCGCACGCTCTTCACTAATCACGCGGCGATCGAGCGGACGCTTTTGTGGGGATTTCTCCCATTCTCGAGGACTAACTATGCTATGAGATCGTGTTTGTCTTTACCAGTCGATGATCCCGTCCCGTATACGTCCTTTAACCTTGCTCCAGCTTAGCTTATTTATTCAACAATAGCATCAGCGCCGGCGGCGAGGATGTGATTTCCCAAAGGAACTGGCATGCCAGTAATGGCTCACCTTTCAAAAAAGTCTGGGCGAGTTGTTTAGTCGCCTGCCGCTCGCGCACTCCGACGGAGCCACCAGCCTCGCGCCTGGCTTAATTCTCCCAACACTGAAAAACTACACCACTATAGCCCGTAGTTTCACAATTCCTAAGCCACCCCTGCCGAGCAAGAATAGCTGCGGCTAGTAGCGCAGCGCGGACGTGAAACACAAAGGAGGCGCGGCGCCGTTCCAGATACGACACTGTCGCACCCGTCTGTCCGTAGCGAGGTAGTGCAAGCTGCGTGGACGTCGCGCTGATGACGCGGCGTGGAATGAGAAGGGCGGAAGTTCGGAATATTTAGCTTTGTGTAATTCAGCAGTTGGTGGCTTGGTGGTAGACGAAGTCCAGGGCTGATACATCCTGTGTTTTGATGGTCAGACATGGATTGTGATGCAGATCTGGAGTTCGCGAGGGCTGTAATTCATACGTGTTATGATGACAATGAAATGATAAGTTGAATCTGCTCCCACAAATCGCTTAGTGAGCATACGAGCATATTGACTATAATGTGATATGATGGATATGATGGATATGATGGATATGATGGATATGTTGCTGCTACCAAATCACTCGTTCGCCAGCCTTCCCCAATACTCCTCAGGATGCAGAAATGCGGATGGAAACGGAACGAGCGAGCCAGAACGGAACGCAGACTTTACTCTGAGAATCCAACTAAGCTTAAGACTCAAAATCAAATGACAATACACAAGAATATGACGGTTTTGACAGATCAGATAGAAGAGGTCGCCTTTCTCTCCATGGATGCAAACAAAAGCTTAGGAAATGAAATTGGAGATGGGGTATTCAGAACCAACGTTCCTCCCCTCCGTGACTCCGAGCTTCTAGATAATCCAAGAAGTTTTGAGGAAAAATTATGGACATTTGTCGTCATGCATGCTTTGCAATTCAGCGACGCGGCGGAATGATCCGTAAAAGCTGGCGAACCGGGCGAATCCCGGATCGGATTAGAGAAAGTATGGTCGTGGTTCATCAAAAGGCGCCGCCCAAAATCCCCTGCATGCTGTAGAGTCCAGTCCCAGCTTCAGGAGTAGATCTCTTGATTCTCTTTCTGTCGTGTTTATTGCAGCAGCACTGGCTTTTCCGCGTGTCCATTGCCGATAGCGTGTCCGTTATGGGTAGGGGGTTCTCCGGCTGCCCACTTGGTGAAGGCATTCACAACTCTGCCGCAGGCTGGATCAATGTATTGCACCCAAAGCGACGCAAGCCGGTAAAGAATGTAGTAGAAAATGCCAACAGCAATGAAGATGTGCATTGTGGAGCCGCGCTGCAGGTCCATCTGCTCGCCTTTCGCGTTGCGTGGAGGATTCATGGCAGAGGGCAGGTAGACCATCCACGTCAGAATAGATTTAATGAGAGTGTTGTGCATTAGGTATACCGGGAAGCTGACCCGTCCCAAGAAGTTGAATACGGGAGAAGTGAGAATCTTTCGAGCATTCCGGGAGAAAAAGATTCCGAAGAGGACAGTCGATGCGCCCAAGGAATCCCAGTAACGGCGGACGTCGGCACCCTCGGGGGTGAAGTGGTGCATGAATTTGCACATGTGGTTGGACCAGGCAGCGCGTTCCGGGGCGTCCTGCGGGTAGCTGGACATGAACATGCCGAAGATGATCATGAGGGCGGGAATCGGAGCTGGAACCATACTAGTGGCGGCGTCTTTATACTCATTTTGCAGTTCCGCTAGAAACATGCCAGTTATGATGTTCAAACTCTTCAGTGGTCCAATAGCCAGGCCTGTACAAGTCAGGACGGAGCGATTAAGGAAAGCTGCACGGTGTCTTCAAACGTACCTTGGCCTGAAACCCAGCAATAAACGTAGAGTACGGCAAATACTAGTTTCCTGGCGCGCGGTTTGATAAGGACGGTCGCCAGCATAGTCAAGTATACCATCATGCTGCCCTCGAGGAAAAGCTGCAGAGTCCACTGGGTGCCGTCGTATTCGTCCCATCCCGTTGTCCAGGTCCCAACTTCTGCTCGTATCAGACTCGTGAACATTTTGTATAGTGTCGGCTCCTGGCGATGCCAGCCTTGGCGAATCCAGGTTGAATCCACATGCTTGGTCATGTGGTAGGCATTTATATTGGCCAGGAACCAGGTAATCAAGGTCGCAATCATGGTTGGGAGAACCAGCCTTCCTGATCGAGCCAAGGTACTCCGCGCCAACCCCGACAAGGCGGCCTCGGTGTTGCCAGACCTCGATCTCGCAATTGGGCCAATCGAGTTGACATAGCCTGTTATGAGGAAGAATATAGCCACAGCGCTGCGGCCTCCCACGGCGAGACGGAAGAAGGGGAGTTGGAAGAGGTGCGGCGCCTCCTTGTCCGAGTGCGCGGGAGCGTGAAGCCACGGGACGAAGGCGGTGCAAAGGTGACCGCAAACGACCATGAAGGATGCGATGCCTCGAAAGCCCTGCGAATGCCAATGTCAGCTGCGATCTGCTGTCTCATCCTCGAGCGGGACGACGCGAGCCCAGGATTCGCGTGGTGGAGAAGCTTACATCGACCCAGTTGGCGTCGCGAGGAGGCATGGCGGCAGGAGTCTAGTAGGAATAATAGCTGGTGGTCAAGGAAGAAACGAGCAAGCAGACTCCAAAATTATAAGATGTAGCGATTGCGGCGGGGGCGCAGTATAAAAGAATGGCTCATAAATAGAATCAACAGGGCTCTGCAGACGCATCCAAATACCAACTCGTGCACCCTTGACAGCGTGTATGGGCGGATAGACAACGGAGAGAGGGTGAGAAGGAGTCGCAGGAAGAAGGGAGGCGAAGTTCAGGGCGGCGACGACGAATAATGAAGGCTGGAGAGAATCAGGCACGCGAGGAAGGGGAGTCGTCCCGTCGGTGGAGAGAGGCGTTGCTGGGCTTTGCTGCATAGCGTGGCCCGACTGAGCTTGAGGCGCCGCGCGAGCAAGCAACCCGCCATTCACAGCAGCGGCCCCTGGGCCGCCCTGGACGCCGCACAGGGGCCGAATTCCAGCACCTGCGTAGTGCGGAGAGGCGCGGTGGTCGAGTTGCCCGCTTGGAGCCATGATGAGCGCCGTTGTGCCTCCCGCCGAGATACGAGAGTTGATCGATCTTATCGCGGTGCCACTCAAGCGTCGTCTCTGCCATGCAGTCTCGGCTTCACGACTTGCCCTTCCCAGGTTTTGTCGCTCGCTTGGCCTCTCCTTTTCGCCCGCTGGCCACCCGCTGAAAGTATGACCTCCGACCATCCCCATTCGTCCTTGGCGCACTTGGCATCCCGCTCTTCCCCTGGTGCCGACTGCCGTCTTGGCGTACCCAGCAGACCCTCCCCTCTCATGACGGCTCTCAGCATTCAGGGGCCGCATCACGCGTCTCCCTTTCATCAGCCTAGCAATGAATGCCTCCGAAACTCCGTCTCTCCTATTTACTTGTGTCGACGTCAATTCCTGCGCCCTCGTTGCTGTCATGCTCTGTCAAGAATGACTTCAAAGGTCGCGGTACCCCCGGTGCGACTGTGTCAACCTCCTCAGTCCCGACTGCCAGGATGACGGAGTCGAGGCTGAAGTCCTTCCGCAGCTTTACTTGTGCTTCCGAAAACACTTGGCAGTCTCTCGCAACTTGTTTCCAGTCCGTCTCTCTTTTATATCCAAAGACTGCAGCTTTCTGTGTATTCAGTCCCCCGTTTCATTGTCTCATAGCTATCTGTATACTTGAAACTCGAAGTAGACGTATTTCCTAGAGCAGAGGTCAAGATCGAGGCAGCCAATCCGAAGAGAAGCATGGAGTCAGCAAATCCTGCATGGCTGTATAGGCTTGGGTAACCTTGGACACGGCACCATGTGATGCGGAACACTACTATTAGACTGATTTGCTTGGCTTGGCGCATGCATTTGATAGGAGTCGTTTCGCGCCTCATCATAGCAAGGGTACGAAAACCAACTTCTATCCCAAGCATCCTCTAGCTTTTTGGATGAAAACGACGAAGAGCCGTATCAACGCAGACTAGACACTGATTTGGAAACGACCGTTTTAACATGCTAGGGAATAGTTTAGAGGATGCGATCGTATGGGGTATACCCAAAAGAGCAGCCTCATTTTTAGTACCGCCGAACGACATACTGAAATTCGCCTTAACAACTACGAGTAATCACAAGCTCATGCGCAAATTTGCGTTTCATGTATGAGCGACAAAGAAGTTCCGTCATGAGACTGCATTGAGGAAGACATCTGGCCCACATATCATCGTGGTCCTGGTGGTCATAGTTAGATTTACTCGTGGCTGACCTAATACCTTTGGTACCTTGTGGCGTAGTGGATTGGAACAAACGCACGCCGCATTTCCGCCGCATTTCTCCCACATTGGACCACGAGATTAGTATGGCTTATGGCTTGAAACATGCACCCAGGCCATGTTTTCGAGTACCGCACGGCCCGAGCTGAGCACGCACGCGACGAAGGCGCTTTGAGTCCAGCAAATGCCGAGCAAACTCATCGGCGGCAGATTTGGACATAACTGCTAAAAACTATAGCTCGTGTTTGCCAGTTGACAGAATCTGGCATCTGGTCAACGGAAAAACTGTCGAGGCAGGTTGGTGTTACCAGTGTCCTATAGCCATCTCGATCCAGGCTCATGTTGCCATGCGTATCTGCAACTACTTGTTCGGTGGAAGTAGGGCTATTTCGAGGCACGAGAAATCAGCACTACGCGAAGGCCACGGGTAGCCAGTAGGAAGACCAGCCGGTCAATTATCTTTGGTACATCGACCACACCTGGCACTTCCGGCGTGTGGTTGTTTCTGCATCATCCTGGGTACCACGGCAGTCACCGGAAGCACGAGGCTGCGTGCTTGTCTGGCCACTGCAGGTTTATTCCCACCACCACAGCTTGCGTTTCGCGCTCGCAACCTGCGAAACGCACCTGGTCCTCAAAGAGTAAATGATCAGAGGTTTCAGGAACGCCAAACCGTCATAGCGACAGCTGAGCATGCGTGTTTGCCCAGTACTGGATCGAATATTCGCTCGACCGTGACACTGTTGGGACTGGAGGAATCACTGACACGCTTTACGGGCCGCCCGAATAAGCTATTGTAGCAGCCCCAAGCCCTCGTACTTTAGACGGAAGCTTCCAAACTTCGATTAGATAGGGCTGCGGAAGGCTGGATGGGATCGATGCGAACCGCCAGGTCCTACCAGGCCAGCTTCCAGCCTTGTGACCCTTGCGATCATGCCGGTCAATCAGCGGGTTGGGGCACCGCGGGATGGGCCGGTTTCAGAAACAACCGAGCCACGGGGAGGATTCTTCACCCTCATGCGCAGGCAACAGAGCTGACGACTGTGCCCCGTCTGGGAGGCGGAAGAGAGCGAAGCCATATGGACCGGCGATGTGGCCCGTGCCTGGCTGTTCACCGTCTGCGTGGCTATGCAGCCCGCCGGTTCTGTTGAAGATAGTCGAGCCAGCCGGTGAAATAGGCGTGGCAAAGAGAGGTGTAGCAGCAGAGTGAGGTGGCCTCGTGGTGGGCGTTGGGGACAGGTTGCAGAGTAGATAGCTGCGCAGGGCCCATGCCAGTCCACCGGCCACACGCCTTCCTGTGGGCATCTCCAGCGCGGCGGCCGTGGGGCTGCGTCTGGCGGCGAGGCACTGCATTCTGTCGTGTCCTCAACGAGGCGGCAGGCCGCGTATAAAGAAACAGGCCCTCGCCTCCCCGCGCACGGCTCTGACTGAGAGAAAGTGAGGTTGTGCAGAAGCCGGTGACATCATCTGATATCCCAACTTGGCAGCGTCTTCGTCGCGCCTGACCCGCCTCCTGTCTTGCCTGCCTCGCCGTCCGCATTCCTTCTCGACGGACCCCCAGCCGCTTCACTGCTGCAGCAGCCTCCATCCTCGAAACCACCACTTTGTTGCGCGTGTTGCTGTGTCAGACCGAGTCATCCGCGCAAAGATCGGCATTACGCACCGGCACCGACGCACCCACCGAAGAACCCCTCCATCGCACCACGACCGCTAGCTGGGCGCAGCAAGTCATCTGCTTCTGCAGCCTGCCTCGCCCGCCGTTGTCGCAACTGGTCCAGCTAACGAGCCCCTCATCCCTCAAACTAGCTGGAAATCCCAACACAAGCTTCTTGTCACCTCGACGTCGCGCAACGGACCCTGACTCCAAACCGCTGCCACTGCACCACGGTTCCACGCCGTCATGTCAACCATCTACCGAGAACGAGAACGCGAGCGAGACTGGGACGCTGTCTCTTCCCGCGGTGGGGGGCAGACTTTTACCACGGTCAAGCGCTACAAGGTTCCTGACAAGCCGTCTCACTCGCACTTCGACGAAGAAGAGTATGAGGACGTCAAGGAGACCCGCATCGTCCGTGAACGAGAGCGCTCGCCGCCTCGTGACGTCCGCGAGGTCAGGGAATACGTCGACATCCGCGAAACCGAGCGCGAGCCTGCTCCACGAGAGATTCGCGAGTACCGCTACGTCGAACGTGAGGTCGAGCGTTCGCCGTCACCTCCCCGCCGCGAAGTTCGCGAGTACCGCATCGAGCGCGAGATCGACCGCTCGCCGTCCCCTCCACCCGTGAGAGAATACCGCATCGAGCGCGAATGGGAGAGAGAACCACAGAAGAGCCCGTACGAGCTCGAGCGATACTCGAAATCGACCGAATACTTCTCCAGACCCGAACCCGCTCAACCCATCGTCATCCGGCAAGAAGTGCCACAACCCATCATCATACAAGAGCCAGCCCGGCAACAAATCATAGTCAGGCGAGAAGAGCCACAGTACGAGATCATCGAACGACCAGAGCCTGAGCCTGAGCGCCAGGTCGTTCGTCGGGAGCCACGCAGGGAAGAAGACTACTATTACGAGCGAAAAATCAAGGAAGTGGATCGTGGCGGGAGACCTGAGGAACGATACTACGACGAGAGAGAATATGGCCGCGACCGGCGTGGACGTGATGATCGCGAGGCGTACAGCGACGACGACATTGTGTTCATTCGCAAGGAACGTGATACCTGGGGCGAGCGCGATGTTAGTCCTCACCACAAGCGCCATCTAGCTGAAGGTGTCATCGGCGGGGTGGCCGCTGCGCAGTTGATGCGGCATCACAGGAAGAAGCAAGGGGAAGACCCAGGCCATCATATCCGGCAAACCGTTGGCTACGGTGCCTTGGGAGCAATCGGCGCCGAAGCCGTGAGTCGTTTCCGACGATCTAGATCACGCTCTAGGTCGGGATCTCGAGATCGTGGTCGTAGACATCGCTCTTCGTCGAGAAACAAGAAGCTGGGCACTGTTGCTGCCATTGCTGCGGTCGGTGCTCTCGCATACGCCGCGAGCCGTAACAACAAGAACAAAACAGTTATCGAGGACCGCCGAAGCAGATCGAGGCGCAGGAGGTCCTCTGTCAGTGTGGTCAGCGACACTGAACGAGATAGGTCTTCTAGCAAGCACCGAGATCCCGAACACCGCAACCGTCGCGTTGCACAAGCCGGTCTTGCTACTGCTGCCGTTGCTGGCTTAGTCGAACGTGCCCGAAGCAAGTCACGAAGCAGGAAGGGTAAAAAGTCACGGAGCCGAAGCCGAATAAAGACTGGGGTCCCTATCGCTGCAGCTGGTCTCGCCGGAGCGGCGGTCGCTGGATTGTACGAGAGGCAGCAAGCCAGGAAGGAAGAGAAGCTGGAGAGGTCGAGATCAAGATCAAGATCCAGGTCGGTACGTTCCGGCAGAAGACATAGCACTTCAAGTGACACTGCCCTTGTAGAGTACGGTGGTGAGCCAATATATACCGACCCTCCTGTGAGCAGCCATGCGCGCCATTCTCGCAGCCGTGGCTACGACGACGATCCAGCAGATCGTAGGGGCAGACATCGGGACTCATCCAGTTCGTCAGATGGTGGTCGCCGTCGGTCAAGCCGCAGCAGGAGTAAGAGTCGGAGTAGAAAACTAGCAGAAACAGCCGCTGTTGCTGGTGTTGCTGGTGTGGCTGCCCATGAGGCTGCAAAACGACGAGAAAGGAAAAAGGCGGAGAAAGAGGAGCGGAGGCGTAAGTCCTGACCTACCTATTCGTACTAGGTGTCTGGCTCACAATATACTAGGTCATTCTGAGGAAGCCAACTACTCTAATGACAGCTTCTCTCCTCCTCCTCATCCTCCTCCTCCTCCAAATGGACAGCCCGATGCATACTTCCCCCAGTCGAATTACTTCCCTCCGCCGCCCAGATCAGCAACAGAGCCCTACCCACCAGAGCCTTATCCACCAGGTCAATATCACCCTTACAATCCAGCAGATTACCCACCCCCTCCGGGTGCCGTGCCTCCTCAGCAACAAGCACCTTACGGTTACACGCCTCCTCTCCAGGAGCCTAATCCTTATGCACAAGATCCTAGGTACCACCAACCAGGTGACAATGTGAGTGCTCAGTCTACTCCAGGGCACAACGATGGTGGGTCTAGGCATTTGCCATAGACTCCGAGAACGGACAGCTAACTAATTATCATACAGATGGTTTAAGCACACCTCGTAGCTCTTCTCCGGCGGACACTTCCAAAACCGTTAAATTTAACCTCGATCCTGAAGAGAAAACACTATCGCCAGAGCGTCGTACGTCTCCAGATCGGCGGCACTCATCAGAAAGTTCAAGAGATGGACATCATGATAGGGGAAGAAAAGATAGGCGCTCGAAACATCGTAGTCGCGACGATTCCCCTTCTTCGGTCTCATCGGGTGAAACTATCGATCTTCCGCCCCGATTCGATGAGTCCGGCCGAGAAAAGTCCGACGATCCTATTGCTGATAAACTCGAGGATTTGCTTACCGGTAAAGGAACGGCTGGGAAGCTTTTTCAGCGTTTTGCGGGTGACTTGCTTGGCTCTTCTTCGTCTTCTTCGTCTGGACGAAGGAGATAAAACCTACCTTTTTACTGGTTGGTTAACTAGGACAATTTCATTGGGTGGGTTTTTGTTATGGGCTTATGGTTTTTCTTTGATTCCACCTTTTTACTTTTTGATTGGTTGTAGTCAAGTCTAAAGGTTGGCTGGGTTCACGAGATTATGATGGATGCCATGCAGTCACGATAGGATATTTAATGAGAAACACAATGGAATGAGCCATTTGCCAACGAAATCCTCGATCTTGCTTGCCTGATTTCAGATATATGCGACGTTAATCATGCGAGTTCCAAGGTCTATTACAGGATTGCAGCGTGCTTTACTCACTTCAAATTTCTCCTCTATCCAACTTTGCACCATGGCCCTTGCTTCTTGGTAGACAACCTTTTAAACTACTACTCTAATTTCCCACAAATTAAAACCTAAAGCACGTTTGAATCTAGTGAGAGTCCTTGGGCTGGAGTTGGTGGTGGCTTGGCGAGCACAATGCACGTGACGCCACAAACTCGCTTAGCTTTTTCAACCTCACAAACTCAAATCTGCTAGAACGACCTCCCTCAGATACTAACCACAAAGGCCACCCAACATGCCTACCCGTCTCACAAAAACCCGCAAGGTTAGTCGAATGTCCTGGCACGCATACGAAATTCTCTGCCGCCAGCTTTCTCGCGGTTGAAATCCGACGCGATCAGAGGATCCAGTATCTGTCGCAATTCCGCTCTAAGCATCTGCTAATTCATCCCAGCATCGTGGCCACGTCTCGGCCGGTCACGGTCGTGTTGGGAAGCACCGCAAGCATCCCGGTGGTCGTGGTATGGCCGGTGGTCAGCGTATGTAGTCCTCAACTCGCCCTCCGCCGCAAGCTTTTGCTAATTGAATCGCGCAGACCACCACAGGACGAACATTGACAAGTACCATCCTGGTTACTTCGGAAAGGTCGGAATGAGGTGAGTTTCATAGCAGTTCGCCTGCTAAGCAACACCTTCTCACGCTCTGAAATTAGATACTTCCACAAGCTGCAAAACCAGTTCTGGAAGCCTGTCATCAACCTCGACAAACTGTGGTCGCTCGTGCCCGCTGAGAAGCGCGACGCCTACCTCGCTGGCAAGACCGGCGACACCGCGCCCGTCCTCGACCTCCTCCCGCTCGGCTACTCGAAAGTCCTCGGAAAGGGCCGTCTGCCCAAGATCCCCATCATCGTCAAGGCTCGCTACGTGTCGAAGGAGGCGGAACGGAAGATCACTGAGGCTGGAGGCGTTGTCCAGCTCGTCGCATAAGGGTGTGCTTTGGAAAAGGTGGCGCTCCGGATACAGCAATACAAAATACCTGTGTGGTGGGGAGGATAGGACATTAGGGTTGCTACCTGCTCAGGCAGTGTGCACCCTTTAAGCGTGGTGGCTGAGGAATGGTATTTAGTTCTCAGAACACAATACATTCCTGAACAAACCAATATGTCCTGCCTGGCGGTGACTGGATGGCCCTTGTGGTCATTGAGCGTCCTGCTGTCTGTGGGGTCTGAGAGACCTGACGCCGGTTTCCGACCTCAGCGTGCATGGGCACTCTGGAAGGATTTCCGTGAGGTCCTGATGTCGTGATGTATACTGTCTACGTTGACGTCCCCATTGTTGATCACCAGGAACGAACCAAAAGCCGGAATAATGCTAACATGTAGGTTGTCCGACTACTAACAGAACTAACCGTAGCAACTCGTCGGTGGTATTTTAATGTGCGCATCCCTGCTACTAACATATGCAATTCTAGAATTTACATATCTAAACTGAGGACTGCATAGCCAATAGCCAATTAAATGCAGCAGCAAAAAAGATCATACAACCAATCTCCATTTTCTTGTGAACTCACCTCTGCAGACTTCATATCGAACTCTGAATCCAATATAAAAACCGCACCCTTACAATCCAGCGATAGAGCACAGACCACCCCAACCCTCCCATCTCAAAAAAGTTCCGCGAGCCCCCTCCCATCCGCACCTACCTCCCTCGATGCTCTCCCGCCGCATCTTCCGCGAGCTGACGGACAGCCTCCTCCTGGGCCCGAGATTCCAATCCGCCTGCGCCCGCTGCGCGTCCCTCCAATGCGCGCCCGCAAACCCCCTCCGCCGCGGGAGGCGTCCCAGTGCGCCCCAGCTCCGCGCGGCCTCCTCATCCTCGTCCACGCGGTGGAAATCGCGCCAGGGCAACGACCACTTCGCGAAGGAGGCGAAGGTGCAGGGGCTGAAGAGCCGGGCGGCGTTTAAGTTGCTTGAGGTGGGGGATCCCACTACATCCTAGACAATTGAACCGGGAGAAGGGCGCGGGCTAAACGCGGTTGTTTATTCCAGATAAACGAGAAGTACAAGCTTTTCAAGCCCGGGCAGACGGTTGTGGATCTGGTAAGCTTTGATGCGCTTTTTGGGGGGTTATGGAGATGGTGGGCTGATTTTGTGTGGGTAGGGGTATGCGCCGGGGAGTTGGTCGCAGGTTCGCTATTTTTTTTTCCTCTATTCACGGCTTATAATTGCGACTGTATTGGGGGGGTATGGCTGACGATGGGGGTGCATAGGTCGCTGCTGATCGGACATCACCTAATGGCCGTGTTGTGGGGATCGATATCATCCCCGCCCAACCCCCGCGCGGTGTGTCGACGATCCAGGGCAACTTCCTCTCCCCGGCTGTTCAGGCTGAAGTGCGCGCGTACGTCCAAGACCCTGGGCTCGGCCGCCCGCGGCGCAGGGCGATCTCGACGTCTGATGAGGCGGAGGAGCATTCGGTCACGGAGGACGAGCTGGATGAGATGGAGCGGGGGTATATCGATCTAGAGCGGCACGCGCACCTCGACGGGGCCGAGAACGGCGCAGAGAGTGCAGAGGAGGGGGGGAAAGAGAGGAAGCTGAGCCGCAAGCAGCGGGACGAGCAGCAGGGGCGGGTGGTCGATGTGGTGCTGAGTGACATGTCCGCGCCCTGGGAGCAGACGACGGGGTTTTATAAGAGGAGCCTTAGTGACCCGTATTACAGGATGATGAACACGAGCGGGGTGGCGTTTAGGGATCATGCGGGGAGTATGGTGAGTTGCTCGATTCCTGACCTCGTACTCTTTTTGTTCCTTTTGTGGCTTTTTCTACCCGTTTCGTGCCCTCTTCTGGTCCTCTTTCCGCCATTCCCTTACTTTCGTTCCACCCACCTCTTAGTCTATTCTTGCCTTCTCCGCTATGTATGCGTTGTGGTAATGAGACGATACTGTTGGACAAGAGGCTGATTCACTTCAATACAGGACCTCTGCATGGCCGCCCTCACGTTCGGCTTCGATACGCTTAGGACCGGGGGCCACTTTGTGTGCAAGTTTTACCAGGGGGCAGAAGAGAAGGCGCTAGAGAAGAGGCTAAAGCGGCTGTTTCGGAAAGTGCATCGGGAGAAGCCAGAGTCCTCGAGAAGTGTAAGTATGCTTATAAGATGCTGAAGGGAGGTGCTAATATGGAGCAGGAGTCGAAAGAAGCGTATTTTGTAGCGCTGAGGCGGAATGAGACGTCGTCGAAGGAAGACGTGTTCCAGGATTGAGGAAGAGTAGAGTTGGACTACGATGAGGAATTACTGCAGGATAAGACGCGCATGTATCACTAGTTGTACTATATATAAGATACCTGCTGGAAATGCAGATTTTAGATCACGTGCCGTTATTGTCTGTGTTTCAGGATAAAGTTACAAAGCCCTGACCAAAAGGTTCAAGCACAGCAGGAGACATGCAGGCTACAGGCACATGACGTTGAATCTAAGACAGTGTCTTGAATGGAAATATTACTTGCAACGTGGAATGGAACGAGGTCGCACTAGCGCACGAGCTACTGCCTTTGCGGCAATAGCAGATCCACTCCCCCGGGCCCAGAAACGGCTATCATCCCTGGGCTTGGGAAGCTGCCACAGTCCCAGACGCTGGAAATGGCTGGACTTCTTCTCCCCTCCATGAAGATACTCCCCTCGTTCTCTCAATAGCTTCGCACTTTGTGGAGAGCATGGCCGTAAAACGCGCCCTAAAGCCCCCCGGCGCCGCTCCGACGCCGTCAGCAGGGGGCAGGGGGGCGTGCCGAAGGATCAGTCTCGCCAGGCGGGTTTTTGGTTATCGTCTCCTCTCGATGATCCCACCAGCCAGCCCCTCTCGCGACCCCCATTATCCAATCTAACCCGCCGTGTGCGACGCCCTCATTGGAGAGATGGACTTCCAGCGCCCGCTGCCCTCGGCCGGCCTGCAGCCCTTCTCGCAGCAGAACCCCCCCGCTTCCATTCCCGCCCAACACTCCCCGCAGCATGCACCACCGCCGTTCCAGAGCCAGCAGGCCCGCCAGCAGCAGCACCACCCGACCTTCTTCCAGCACAATGCCCAGCTCCAGCAGTTCCAGGCGGGCTCGCTGCCGGGCGCCATGGGCGGCATGGCCGCGGGCAGTAGCGCGGCCATGATGCAGCCGCCAACACAGCTTCACACGCGAGGTGAGTTCCGTCCACGCTTCCCTCCCACCCTCTGTGAGACTCGACCGAGTCCAGTCCACTCCAGTCCACCTTCCACCGCAATCAATCCCCACCCCGCTCCACCCCGAGTCCAACCACCTCCAGCCCTCCGCTGACCAGCGACTCCATCACTACCAGCACCACCCCCCTCGAGCCCATACTCAGCCGCGCCCTTCTCGCCCGCCCTCCAGTCCCCCGCCGCCAACTCCGCCGCCCACAAGTTCAGCCAGTTCGCCAAGCCCGCCGCTACAGCCTCGCCCGCCGCCAGCCATAGCAACGGCAACGGCACCAGCCACGCGTCGCCGTATGCCAACAGCGCCGCTCCGCAGCAGTCGCCGACCCACGCACAGCAGCTCCCCATGGCCGCGCCGCCCACCGCCCAGGCGAAGTCGGTGCCGCAGTCGCCCGTGTCGCCGGGCGCGCAGGCGCGGGACAAGGAGCGCGTGACGCTGTTGCTGGAGATCAACACCGAGCTGTTGCAGGAGATTTGCCGGTTGCAGGAGCAGGGGAAGAGCGGGCATATTGGGCCGATGCCGCCACCGAAGGAGGAGGGGAAGGAGGATGTCAAGGCCGCGAGTAAGGAGTATATCGAGTACGTATACCTGCCCTACATCTCTTCATTTCTTCTTGGATACCTTGCGAGTTTGCAGAGATATATATGTCATTTCTCTTTCGCACCAGTTGCTGTCTGCACCTACCCACGAACCCCTTCTACCACTCATTCCGGTATAAGCAACTAACCCACCCCAGCTGCATGCGCCGCCTCCAAGCCAACCTCTCCTACCTCGCCACAACCGCCGAGCGCGCCCACAAACCCGCCGCCCAAGTGCCCCCCGGGCCCGCCATCATGGCCACCCCCTCCACACCGCCCGCGCTCTCGCAACTCTACACCAAGCTCCAAGTCCTCTTCCCCGGCTGGAAAGGCCAGCAACAGCCCATGAAAGCCTCACCCGGACCGCAAAGACCAAATATGCAGCAGCAACAACAACAGCAACAACAGCAGACGCAGACGCAGCAGCAGTCACAATAACGACCCACGTCAGCGCGGTTGAGAAGAGCAGGGTTCAGCTGGTTTAAAATTCCGCAGCGGGCTGCGTTAGATATGCAGAGGCAGCGTTGTACTTTTACGCATTGAGTGAGGTCTTTCTGCAAGAGGTCGGACACAGGCACGGCGCGAATTACCATTCCGGTTGGCAATGGCATCGAATTTGTACTATGGCATTCGCTGGTGGCTTTTTGGGCGGGTTGGGCAAAAGGTGGAACGTGTTGGAGGTTTCGCGTTTTGGGACATGGTCCGAGAACAGGGGTATTTGGGAAGCTTGGACATGGAAAACGGTGATCTGGGGACGAAGAGTTGTCGATCTCCCACACAATGAGGAGCGGGGAGGGGGTTTCCCAAGACCTGGGATAAGAGACACAAAACCACCCTTCTCCAAACCAAACTCAGGGGCCAGAGTCACATAACCAACGCGTCCCAGATCACTACAAACAAAGTCAAAAGTCAGAAATCAAGCTCAAAAATCCAAACAGTGCTTGCTTTCTAGATAGCAAACTGCAAGTCGCACCCGGGGGCACTTCTACTTCTCCGTGCCATGTGCCCTTCCGTCCCCCCTTCCCCTCCCTTCGCCCCCCCGCCTTTGGTCTTTTCATCGCACGTTCCCGTCCACACACACACCGCCTTCACCTTGCCCGGAAAAAAAAAGTCAAGTATAACTCCAACGCTTTACCCAATGTAAGGGGGCATCCCATGATGCTTTGCTCGCCCCTCTGATGTGTCCCCGACCTAACCGAATGCAAAAAAAAAAAAAGGGAAATCGGACAGAAAACCCAGGGTGAAGGAAAAATCGAGGTCTTTTAGGGGGGGGGGGGGGCAGTATACAAGGAGTTGTTCTCGGTTGTTTCAGTGGTCAGGGGGGTAATATAATGGGTTGTTTGCATGAGTTTCTTAATCGTGTGTATGGGTTCCGGTGGAAAAAAATCTTAGAAGGTTGCCTATTTCCCCCCCACCTTTAGGTAGGTAGGTAGGTAGGTTCCGGGGTATCTTGAAAATCTATAGGTGGCCCTCGCGGCGATTGCCCATGACGAAGTCGCGCGTGAACTCGAAGCTCAGCCAGCTGCTGGCCATGCTGGGCGCGACTTTGAGCAGGTTGGGCACGATGCCCTTGTAGAGGCCGCGGAAGCCCTCGGTCTTAATGATTTGGCGGACGGCGCCGCCGATGGAGTTGTACTGGTAGCCCATGCCCGACATGGTGTTGATTTGGAAGCGGCGGCGGAGGACGTCGCTATATCAATGTTAGCGTTTTCGCTCCTCGAGATTAAATAGGGTGGAAGGAGGGTAGACGTACAAGGGATACGTGCACGTCTGCGCAAAAGCTCCTGAGATAGCTCCCGCGCCCAGCTTCCCGAGCGCATTGGGGTCCTTGTCGCCTTCTTTCGTGAACCAGACGCGCATGGTCTCGTAGGACATGAAGTTCAGCCCGACGTAGGGCGCGACGCCCGCTACGGTGGGGATGATGCCGCGGTATAGCGCTGAGAAGCCGCCCTCGGTTTTGTACATTGTGACGAGGATGGACCACATGCCGGGGAGTTTCCGGCCGGATGCTTTCTGGAGGTCCGCGAACGAGGCGGATTGGATGGACAGTCGCGTCCGGACGATGTCGAGTGGGTAGGTGAATGTCACGGAGGTGATGCCAGCAAGCCCACCGCAGAACAGGCGCATGTAGGGGTCAAGACCAGCGCCGGGGGAGTCTTCGAAGAACTAGATTTCGTTATTGAGACCGGTTCAAACAGCAACATTCCTTCTCCGCAGGAGTCGGTCCGCAAAAGTCCTTAAGAGTCTCCCGACGCACCTTTTTGTAAATATTATACGAGCTGAATTGTACGGCGGAGTAGGGCACGATTCGGATGCAATTGGTGCCGTTGCCGGCCATGAAGCCGCGCCAGCCCTCTTCTCTCCACATCTTCGCCAACGCTTTGTGGACGGGCATTTTGTACTCGTTGCGCCCCACGCTCTGGATCTGGAAGAGGATCTTTAAGCGCTCGAGAGGGGAGACGACGGTGCGCGACACGGCGCCCGCGACGCCGCCGGCTATGAAGGAGGCGAGGACGGGCTGCGCGACGATTTCTTTGAAGCGTTCGAGGCCGGTGTTTGGGGGAGGTGTGAGGGGCGAAGGCTGGAGCGCATTGGGGTCAGTCAGGCTCTCCTACAGATACCCAGAATCTCGAGGCTCCTAACGTACAAAGCCATTCTCCCCAGAAGCTACCTTGAAAGCTGGGCGACCATCTTCAGCGCGTTCCGACGACGGCGACGAAGTCATGGCGGACAGCTGGCTCGAAGAAGCTCGCACCCTCGCGCTAGACGCACCGCTCGCTGCAACGCTGGAGCAACTCGGCGACTATCGGGGTGGGTGTGGTGGTGGTGTTGGAGTGGATATGCGAATCATGGGTCGGCGGGCGTGAGGCTCTGCGGCGCGCGGAGGTACGTGTTCAATAGGAAAAAAGGGAGGGCGGGTGGTTCTGCAGCGAGGAATAACGGTGCCATCCAAACAGCTCGCGTTGGTGTGTCAGCTGCGATGGTGGGCGGAATTGCTGCTCTCATGGATGGGCGGGCGCCGGTGTAGGTAGAGCTTGGTGGAGAGGAAGAGGAGTATTCGGGTTAGAGGAATGATGGGGCTTGGAGATCGGTAGCGGAAGAGAGTCGCGTTTCGCCTAGGCCCGATTTACCTGCTACCACAGCTTCCGTTGTGAAACCACCCCAGACAGCTTGCCGGCCTCTCTATCTATCTATATTCGGAACTGGCTTTAGGAAGGTGAAAGAGGCACTTCATGCGTCCAGACCGCCAGCCAAGCCCCGGCGATGCGCTCGACCAGGCGCCTCCTGGCCTGACGTCTGTTTCAACCGCATCGAATCACGTCGTGCAACTGAGCGCGCCCTCTACTCGTCAAGTGCCTGGGGCCTCGCACGAGGTCAGGAATCAAGCCGGCTCGGGCTGCACCGCCGTCAGCTGCCTTGGGGTGCACGACACGAGGGGTGATGGCCTTGGACCCCGAGTTGCGGTCATTCCGCAGCCAGCGTCAGCATTGTCCATTTCTTCTCACGAGAGCAGAAATGTGGAAATGGCTGAACGGCCCGTCCTTCTGGACGTCAAGGCAAGGATCAAGAATCCTCCGGGATTCCGAGCCATGCACGCATCAATCTTACCCCAGCCGGTGGGACATCGGTGTCTTTGCAGGGCTGAAGAAGTCGCCGAATCAGCCTCCAGACGTTACACATCTACTCTACAGCACCTCAACATTGGGAGCAAGTTCTGCCGTTAAATGACGCAAATGTACCGACATGAAGCCATCGAAGCATCTCCGCGTTTTTTTCATCGTCGAATCTGCAGCTTGCGGCAGGGTACATCCGCGGCCGCGACAACGAAACTCTGCAATTGGGAAGATGAGGCCGAGGGCGAGAATAAATCGGAGCCCCCCCCATGGTGCCATCGAGATAGGAATGCTCGCCCAACTCCAATGTCGGAGCTTGCCGACGATGATGGAGGTAGAGGTGATAAGAGACTTTGCTGTTTATGCATCGAATGAGGATTAAATAATGGTAAGTTGACTGTTCCTTGTAAGAGCAAGGTAAAAACGTAGGTGGATGAGTAGAGTTTGAGTATGTTAGAGAGAGCTCTAGTCCAACGGTCATCTCTAGTAGCGCATTATCTAGTAGGTATCAAGAGTATTCTGTCGAGCTCTCAAGTCATGTAGGTTTCCTGCTGTTGGGGACGGTATGGTTTCAAGAGTTGTAATCACCATCTTCTTCCCAGTCACGTGTATCACGTGTCGCCCTTTTTCCCTGGTATCAAACCACGACTGGCCACCGGGCCCAGCTTCCGACCAGCAAAGAGACAAGGGATGCATCGAACTAAGCTTCCAGCATAGTCCATGTGTCTCCCGTCAAAAGACAGTAAGGATGGTTACAATGGAAGTGTGGAAGTTGGGTGAATCGTTCAAAACTAGACTGCTTCGTCAATAATGAGTTGCGCGGAGGCGAACCCCATCACTTAAAGATTCTCATCGCCAACATCAAGTCTTCCTATCCCTCACAATTTCTCATCTTGAAAAGTCAATATTTTCGTTTCGTACTCCCCGTATCCACTGAGAGGTATCACTGGAGACCATCATCACTATGAGGCAATACCAGCGCCAACACCAAGGACCATGTCTCTGTCTGTCTCGAGCTTTTCAAACACCCCGACGTCCCAACCGACTCCCACTTACGCGATTCTGAGTTCCAGTGTTGCAGCCATCATAAGTAACCCAGACAGAAATTTGATAGGAACAAACAAAGCAGCCCGGACTCATGGAGTCGTTCTTCAGTAGAGTTTTGCACATCCTCTCAGAGGTTGCTAATGTTCTGAGATTGGAAGAACGAAGGTGGGAAGAAACTTTATAAGTGAGAAAGTACACTGCACGTGACGGATTAGTCATGACCACACGTGACCAAGGACTGCTTGTCAAGAGTCGACTAAATCTCGTCGACACAGCGGAGCCCCTTAGAGGGTCATCGGTGTCGAAATAGACAACGAACCTCACACGAAGAAGTAAGAATGCATTACACACATTTTCATTAAGTGCTACTTAGAACCCCGCTGCGCCAATTCTGAAAACACCTTTGGAATCGTAGCTGAAGCGAGTGGTATCGACGCCTGCCGGGTATCACAATGTACTAAAGGAAAATGTCCGAACTTGAGATCCAGCCGTAGCCTCTCATCCTTGCATAGCCCGCATATCCAGCCTGAAACATCATAAAGTAGAGTACAACGAAACAAAAGGCTCTTCAATGGAGATGATGGCCTCCGAAATTAGTGGTTCGGTGACCACGTCCTAGTTGGCTGCGGCTTTACATGTTCTCGATGATGCCAGCGTTGATGGCACTTTGAAAGCCAGGGGTTCCGTGTCCGTATTCCTGGTCTGCGCCCTCGGGTCCCTTGTACTTGTACTGGCTTGGGCCTTCGCCATGGGCATCCGCCATTGCCATGGCAGACTGCACGGTCTGGTTCTGCGCCGGCAGGAAGATGACCTTGGAGTTCGCGGACTTAGCCATAGCTTGCATGGCCTCGAGGTACCTGATTTGCATAGCGGGTGCGCTCGACAAGATATCGGCGGCCTGCCTCATCAACTTGGCGGACTCGACTTCGGCGCGAGCGGCGATGACCTTGGCCTCACCAGTTCGCTTGGACTGGGCGGCCATGGAGAGGGACTCCTGGAGGTCCTGGCTGAAAATGATGTCCTTAACAAGCATGGATTCAACCTCAACACCCCAGCCTGTCGCAGTCTCCTCGATGATCTCGCGGATCGACTGCGCAATCTCCTCGCGACGCTCAATCACGTCCTGTAGCACGCGTGCGCCAATGACGTGGCGGAGGGTGGTCTGCGTGCGCTCGATGAGAGCTTGACGGATGTTGCTGATGCCGAAGGCGGCCTTGTGTGGCGAAATGATGCGGTAGTAGATGACGGAGGTAAGGTGGAGCGATACATTGTCCTTGGTCATGCAGATTTGCTTGGGGACCTCTGATATTACTATTAGCTATGATCGCGACGAAATCATATTCAGAAGCTCGGAATACATACCGACAATCTGAATCTTGACGTCCACCTGGATCAGCTGTTCAGACAGCGGGTTAACCTTAACGAGACCTGGATCCACGGCTCGTTCGAATCGCCCGAACTTGGTGATGAGACCAACGTTGCCCTGGTTCACCGGCTTGTACGGGTTGGGGCAGACAACGCAACAGGGAATGGCACCCAATGTGCCGATACAGCTGCCCAGGCCATTGATCATGGCACCATACCAGCCGTGGTCGCTCTCGTCGGCATCATCAGGCTTGATGACGCGTGCATAGGAGGGCTGGAGGTCCTCGCGACGTGGAGGCTGGACCTTGACAATAGGGTCGTTGAGGCCAGCGCGAGTGCCGTTGACACCACTGCTGACGGGATCCAGTGGAGCTTTGCCGTTGTGGTCAGTCATGATGGAAGTAGAGTCGCGGATGGAAGACTGTGCGAGAATGCTGCGGGTGAAGGTGGAAGCCACAGTGAGGGAGAAGGGGCGGTAGATATAAAGAAATGAGGTGGTGTGGTGGCGTACGGAGACGTGTTGGAGGCAGCGTTTCGGATGGTGATGTCGAGACTCTTTAGAGGGTGGGGAAGCTGTCTCAATACGGCAAGAACAGCGCACTACTAGAGCTAAGCTTTAGCCCTGCGCACATCGGGGCTATGCTGCCGTCCCATGATCCTTCACCTAACTGCAGCCCTGCGCGCCAATTTCCCCCTCGTTGCAGGGCTCAGCAACGGCACAGCGCCCGCGGCAATACTCAGAAAGCATCAACACGGCTCTTTTGAGCAATGCGCCATGGGAGAGACTCTCCTGCGCCATGGTAAATTGATGAGGCGTGAGGTGTGCTCAGCGTCTAGGCACAGAGGACCGCCAGGACAGGTCTCCCCATTAACAATATCGATCACACCACGTGAATACTTTTTATTCCCACAAGGCGTCCTCGGCCTCTGAGAAAGCCGGCCAGAGAACGGCTAATCCGGCAGTAAACGAGGTGCGAGCCAGCAGACACGAGGCATGCGAGTTCGCCACCATTACCTACAACATTGGCCAGTAAGGCCATCTGCCGTGGCCCGTCAGCGCAAGGCAGACTCAATACACCAAGATACCGCCCAAGAAGACGGATACTTGTCGCATTTCTCGGCCTTACATCAAGCGCGCGGCACTGCTGTCGTGGCAACTAATCAGGCATTAATTGAAGGATTTCATGAGCCCGCCTTGACTTAGCGGAGTATGCGAAGTTCATTTTCGAGGCTGAGGGCAGACATTCCTCCAAAGCGGTTTCTAAGCGGGATCCGCTGCTTCAGCCTGTTCTTGGGCTGATCTGAAGGCGCAGACGACATCCTGAGGCATAATCCCCCTCCATCAGCATTCAGCACCACCAAGTATCTCCTTATCGCTTTCGTATATTACTATCGGGGGGAAAATGCCTCGTACTCTAGATTAGGCGATCTCGATCATCATCGCTTTACTCGCTTTTGTACATGTACATTACATACTAGGTATCCGCTGCGCCTCGAACACATGCAGTTCCTAGACCTAGAGGGGCAATCCCATCTTTCTATTTGGCATTCTTATCTACAACCTGGTTTTCCTCGTGCCGTCCAAATGACAACACCGAGTTGCCATTTCTCGTCCAGTGTAGGTAGTCAAACGTTATGAGCGGATATCCCGCAGTGGCGCAGTAGTCTCACTCACAGAATGCTCATTCCTCTTCTAAATTTTCGTGGAAACCTTCCTCGTCAAGGTAGCTATGTTGCTATTCTGGGCCACGAAGCAGTAGGAGAGCATCGAGAGCACTTGAAAACTACGTCAATCGGGTTCTACTTCTATTTTATCCACAAGTACATTTCACAATCGAAAGATCAGAACCGCAAGACATCCCCAGACATCTACAGTCCAACCATCACCTTCCATGATTGCCGCAGAGCTCTCTTATGGCTTGAAATACAGTACGAAGAACTTCACTTGCTGTGCGAGTTAACCGAAGTCGACATAAGTTCCTTCATTAGCCTTATAACTACCGAAGTGGTAAGCTGCGAGACTTGAAAAAGAGAGATTCAAACTAACTCGTAGATCCAGTTGCTTAACTTAGTATGCCCGCCTCTATCGTATCCATAGACCTCCTTAGTGAAGCCGTTCACGCACTTGTCAACTTTGATGGTACCATCGGTGACACCATCTCTGGGCACTAGAACGAAGTTTGCGGCCCTGGGGCACGGTATTAATACGTCGTTCCAAGATCCTCCTAAACTATATATCGAATAAACGCACAGCCATGATACTCGTGAAAGCGTAGGACTCTCGAAGGTGATAGATCAGTGCTGGAGAGGCTTCGGGGAGGGCCAATTGCCATATTATATGCGGTATGGATTTACTTGTTGGCTACGATCGCCACTGAATGTCGCCTCACCATCTCAATGTTTCCAGTTCGATGTCTCGTAGTTCATGCAAATCATTGTAGAGAATGATATGGGCCAACTACGCCATGAGTGTAATCATTGACCATTCTGTAGTCAAAGAGTTCCCCTTCCAGCCTCTCCATCGTGATTGGCACATCGTAGCTGAGGTGCAGAAGCTGAGAATCCATTAAAAGACGGCATTATAGGAAGGAACACGACAGCTCACCCTAGACAGAGTTGTTGCATGAACATAGCCATGTCTGCTTGGGCTAAACTGATACTTAGGTGACTCTGGAGGTAGATCCAGAGCTACATGCCCGGCGATCAGCTTCTTTGAAACCCGGACGACCAGCATCTTCAGGCTCTGCTTCACGCTCCAAACGTCCAGAAGCGTTTCGAGGACATGGTCCCACGGCCAGTAAAGGAAGTCAATCTCAAGCGTCAAGTGGGGAGCATGCTGCAACGTCTCTTCGCCGACAACCTCCGTGATACCATAGTCAAATCCAGTCGCATAACAGCGCGGCGGTGGCCCTGGGATTATGAGCGGCTTCTGGCGCAGAACATCAATTGCCTCCGTGTAGAGTTGCCGATTGACGAGAAGCAGGCCCGGTGTCTGGAGCTGGGGATGTGGCCTCGGGATGCGGCATCGCGGCTGGCTTTTATGGAGCTTATCATGCTCTTCTTCGGTCTTTTTCTCTTGTTCTTCAAGGGCCTTGAATACGTTGTTAAGGTTTGGCCAGTCGAGCGCGTAGTAGTATATTTCGTCTCTGATCTCTCGCGGAAGTGCTAGGAACCGTGAAAGGCGTTTCTTCTTCCTGTTTCTGTTGTGAGGTTTCGCGGCTTGGGGCATTGTAGTGCTATAGCAGGTAACAGGATCGTTCGACGGAAAGTAAGATTATGCGGCGTAGTCTTAGTTTCGGCGCAGGTAGTTCTTCGGGGTTTGCAGCCCGCTTAGGATTAGCTCGCCGCTACTGCCCCTTTGGGCGTAGCCTATCAAGTGACAGTGAACACCCCAGCTTATTCCCCAACACTTCTTCTCCTTAATTCATCATCAGCGATGGCATCGGCTTGACCCGTGTAATCATTGATGAAGGTGAACCATGCGCTCTCTTATTGACCAAGAGCAGACTACGAAGATATGGAGCCAGAGGTCATCCGCAACTAATGCACGATACTACAAAGGTAAGAGGCATTGATATTTCCCAGAACGAGTAGACTCAGACTGTCTGTATAATTATCGGAAAGACTCATGCTCTCACTACAATCGGCACATATAGTTGCTAATGTGTAAACTTCATCAAAAGAACTCGGAGCTAGAATTCCTACCTAATTGGAGATTAATCAATCCCAAACATATCTCTTTTATCCCTCTTCTCATATCTACATCCGCAACGTAAACGTTCCTGCGTAACTATAATTATATCATATAAACGGTTTTTGATTAAACTATGCACTACAAGAAGTTGCAGACCTGTCTATATACTATACAGATAATACAAGTGTGCGTTAGTGTCAAAATGTTTACTGTTGGGTGTGTCGGCTCGGGATATGCAGCTAATCAGAGCTGGCGTATAAAGGGTTGTACGATTAGCAATCCTCCTTAGTATTGCAGCTTATCTCGAATTCTAGATTGTACGTACAACCAGAGGGTCAACTACCAGAAATTGACTTATCTTTTCTCCTCTATCACTCTTATCTAAATCAGTCAATACTCAGCCAAGGGAAATGCACTGTCAACTCTTACTTATGACCTCACTTCACTGATTATTTCTACAGACCTCTAAATCTTCTCAAGTTTTGTTTGTAGCTTCACGAACCTAGCTTGCTCTCCCTCACTCCCTCATTCCTTCCACAAACCTCTCTACGTTCTCCACCATGTCTACTGCTCCAAGCCTGCTATCACAGCTCATAGCAGATATCTCCAAAAAAGGTACGATCTTGGAGGACTACCTGACCCGCAATGGTCTCCCACAACCCTCCTTCAAGACCTCCGCCCCCATTGACCTCGCAATCCCCGCCTCGGAAGAGAGCGTCATCATCGCCCGAGCCACCCTAATCAACGCCTCGAGAATGATTGACCCAGCTCATTGTCGGCCCAGCGGAGGGCCTAAAATGGATCGGTATGACCGAGATCTACCTCCTCACCAGCCTCCAAATACTCTGCCACTTCAACATCGCCCAATCAATTCCCCTCGGCTCCCCAATCGCTTTCAACGAGCTTGCTAAGAAGACTAGCCTAAACGAATCCCTCCTAGCTCACTATCTCCACATGGCAAGCACACACCACTACTTCTACGAACCCGCACCCGGATTCGCAGCTCACACTGCTGGCTCTCGACTCCTAGCCGAAGACGAGGGCTACCGAGCCTGTGCTTGGCTTCGCGCAGACATTTTCTTCACGGCGTGCTCGAAGGCACTAGAGACGATGACGCGGTTTGGGGGCTCTGCAAAGCCGGAAGAAGCGCCGTATGCGGTGGCGTTTGGAGATGTGTTCTTCGCGCATCTGGAGAAGGAGCCGTGGCGGAGGGAGAAATTTGCACACTCGATGAAGGCGATGACGAGTGGTAGCGAGGTAGAGGAGATTGCGGTGGTGTATGATTGGGGTAGCGTGGAGGAAGGGGGATTGGTTGTTGATGTAAGTCCCTATTCCTTCTCCCTAGACTTACCTCACTGACGAGCTGATTCTCTCTAGATAGGCGGTGGCATGGCCCACATCTCCGCCGCGATCGCAACCGCCCACCCCCACCTGCACTTCCTTATACAAGACCTCCCCAGCCTCGCTGACCAGGCCAACACCCACATCGCCTCCCGCTCAGGCCCCAAAGCCTCTCACCTCACCTTCCACCCTCATGACTTCTTCACCCCCCAGCCCGCCATCGCCCGAAACGCCGCCGTTTATGTCCTTCGCAACATCCTGCATGATTGGTCAGACGCGCACTGCCAACAGATCCTAGCGCATATTGTTGACGCCATGGGACCGAAATCGCGGGTCGTGATCGTGGATGTGGTGGTGCCGGAGCCGGGTACCTTGGGAATGTATGAAGAGGCACAGATGAGGACGCTGGATCTAACGATGTGGGCGCTTTTTGCGGCACGGGAGAGGAGTATGGAGGACTGGGAAGGGCTATTGAAGGTTGTGGACGAGAGATTGGGAGTGCTGAAGGTGGTAGAGCCGCCGAGAATGAGAAGGTATGCGGTGATGGAGGTTGGCCTTTTGGGGGAGGGGGTAGGAGGCATGGAAGCTCGCCCTATTTGACCTGGTAATGGGCACGAAATTACACCAGTTTTCGACAATTGATGAGTAGAGATGAGCATGAGATACGGGTATCTTACTGAATATCGGAAAGGACAGGCTAGGGGGTGCAAGATAGAAAATCAATATAGCACACTCTAAATTGCTTTATCAAGTTAGGCTTGCTGCTAACACATTAAGTGGTTCAAAGGGAACTTAGTTCGTGCGATTACCGCTTTCTTTTGGCATGTTTTGTCCAACACCCCACATAGGGTCATTGAACTGGATCACATTCAGTGCATTTCCGCTCGACTTCCAGTCGGTGATGCGAGAAGAGGCCCTCTTACCAGCAAAGCAACCCCTGACACAGCTTACTTTTAGTCCAAGCCCTGTCGTACCTATACGGCCACTTGAGTCCTCCGAAGTTCCTGCAACATCCCGTGAAAGATGTTTGTAGGCAGGCCGATTGCGCGCCGCACTATTAGAGTATAGAATACTGCGGCTGAAAAGTTTGCACAATCTCAAGATCGATCACAAGACTACCAAGCTAGCTGAAGCTATCAGAATGATAGCATCCCAGATTCCGTTGTAAGCAGGTCGATGTCATCGGGAACTGTGTGACGAGAAAAGTTTGGATGAACAAACCGCGTTAGGAAGCGCTAGGCGAAGCTAACCCCTTCAACGACGCCCATCGTCTCCCATCAAACTTCATCGACATCGCTCCGTGCTCCCTAGTCTCTTACACAGATACCTCCCTTCAGGTTGTACCGCAGCCATAGACCCGCTGACTGCTTCGATAGCCTCCTAGTCCTTCATCTGGTACGTACTCATTCCTCGGGTCCATCCACAGTGACACGGCCATCAACATAGCTCAGTCTAGGGTACAATGCTCCTCGGGATACCATCAGGGTGTTCTGGAACTTCCAAAGACCACTGACATAGCATTTATCGTGGCAGCCGCATAGCGTTCTACGTAGTCTACCAGCAATGAGATCGAATTGTCTATCCTGGTTGCCTAGAATCGACTATAATCGGATATTGGTGAGTACAGATTATTGAGTTCAGACCGAGGTCTATTATCTCATATAGGATCATCAATTCGAGTAGTGCGATCAATTTTACCTAGTCCGCAGAACGTGCTAATACCTAATTTGGCCTTAGAGAGTACCGACACTACGTATAGCTGCAACCGTGGCTACGATCGAAAACGGGATACGAAGTCCCGTGCTACTGTACCGTTCCTAAACCAACATCCAGTCTCTTATTTACCTTCGCTGTGGATCATGGCGGTCAAGGATCAAACTAGGTCTCATGTCGCACATTTTAGCGTCTCTTGAAAACCAGCCGATGCCATTCCGATCGTCAACTCCGCCATTAGCTCAAGCCGTGATCACTCTGCTAAGTCTCCTTAACTTTTGGTGTTCCTTAGTCGTGAAAAGTGATGTCTAATAAAGAGCCCCGTTGCCACCGAATTGCAAGCCTAGGTCTCTTGAGAAAACGCAGTGAACCTATCTTTCATCCTTCTGTTATTTGTATTATGGCAGCTAGTGCCTCTCCTTTCCAATATGATGAGATTTTTCCGATCTGAAAACTTTGCACAACGGGCTTTACAAACCCTCTTTTCATGTCTCTTCTTCGCGATCAACGTGTCCACGGAACCCCTCTCAGGAAATACTGACACCATCACATGGGGAGGGGACAACTCCCGCTCAGGCTATCAAAGGCAAGCTCCTGTTTTTGATAATAAATTCAATATTAGCATACTAACAGTGTACAGTAATCACAATCTTGACCCAACCGTCGTTTCGAGTGCAGATTTTGGCCAAATATTCAAGGCTCTCCTCCCTGGAAATTTCAATGGAATAGGACCTGAGCAGATATTCTCGCAACCGTTGGTATATACAGGATCAGACGGTGCTCAGTATGTTTACGTTGCAACAACACAGAACAACGTGTACAAACTTGATGCGAAGACTGGTGCCATCGTCAAGTCGAGAAATCTTCATGTGCCCTTCCTTACCGCTGATCTAGACGGTAAGAGGAGACGATCCCACTGATTCCGCCCGCTTGCGTTCGCTAACCGCAATCTTATCATATCATAGGGTGTGTCGACATCAATCCGACTGTCGGCGTCATTGCCACTGGCGTCATCGATGCTGAAACTGGCATTTGGTATTTTAATGCGAAGACCTATTCAGAAAGCTTCCAAGATGGGAAATTCAGCCCCACAAACCCTCCTGGACGCCTCAATGGACGATACTATCAACACGCAATTCACACAGAGGATTTGAGTGAAGCAGAAAACTTCCCGGTCTTAATTGATGGTACGGTGTTTCGAAACAACCCAAACCGCATGTTCATTGGTGGCAACCAGCTCTCTCGGCCAGCAGCTCTGCACGTAGGTGACTATATCTACACTGGATTTGGGTCTCATTGTGTAAAGTTCAACTTCACTGGAGCTATTATCGGCTTTCACAAGACCACTGGTGCTATCATCGAAGCCTTTGCTACCGAAGGAGGCCTCGAGCCAGATACTGTAAAAGGTGGTAGTGTATGGATGAGTGGGGGCGGCCTAGCATACGATGGCAAAGAGAGCATGTATTTTGGCACTGGAAATGGATACGCTTCACAATTGAAGCCAAATGGGAATGCAATTCAAGGGCGCAGCCCACCCACTGCTCTCGAGGAGGCCGCAGTCAACGCCAAAATCAATGACGATGGGACGATCACTATCGTTGATTTCTTCATGCCCTGGGAGAAAACTCAACTAGATGGAGCCGATAAGGACTTGGGTACCTCGCCACTAGAGCTGCTGCAAACAGATACGTTCAGCTGCCCGAACCACAAGCGCATTGGTGTCATAACGGCTAAATCCGGAAAGACATACTGGCTTAATCTAAACAATCTTGGTGGGTATCAAATGGGCGCTAATAGTCTTGACGCAGTTATACAAGTCTACCAAAACGAGAATTCGGTTTATTCTGGCGCTGGGGTGATGCCTCTGGGGGGAGGTTATGTCTACATCAATGGTACGTTAAAGTCTATATCGTACATCATGTAGCTCGCTGACTATGAGTTCCAGTGATCCAATACCCGACTCATGCTTTCAAGTTTAGCTGTGACCCTTTTGGAAATGCCGTTTTCACACGTATTGCGGATACTGCGGAGAAGAATGCATACATCCTAGGAGTCGGACACGGTACCACGATCTCTCTTAATGGCCAAGAAGGGACTGGCCTCCTTTGGGTTTCCGATGTGGAAGGACAAAATCTACGAATCTACGAATCTACGATGCTATTCCTCCTTCCGATGGTGGCAACATGACGCTCCTCAATGCATTCAACATTCCCGGGGTTACGAAATTTACGCGGCCTGTTTTTGGAAATGGGAGGGTGTACATTGGTAAGACTCTTGAGAAGCTCACGTAAGGTGCATGCTCACACTATATTAGGTACCACCAAAGGTTACCTTTACGGCTTTGGGTCTCCCGTCAATTTGCCTCTCAATTGCTCGTCTCCGTATCAGTTTGGTGCTGTCGCTGTCGGCACCATCTCCAAGCCAATGGCCATAATTTGCAAAGCCAATATTGCCACGACAATAACAGGTTGGACATTTTCCGGCAATGACAATTTTGATGTCTCGAATTTCCCAATGACTCCCTTCTCGCTCGCCATAGGGCAATCGCTGACGTTTGAGGCCGTTTTTCAACCGAAGGCTGTTGGACCCTTATCCAGCGACGTCTTAGCCAATACTACAAATGGTATTATGGGGTATTCTGCGAGCACGCCGATTTCCCTGAAGGGCACTGCCAACTCAATAGCTCCTCTTCTTGCCATTTCACCCAATACGGTGTCATTCAATGCCATAATAGGCCAAGACAGTCAGAGCGGGTCTGCGTTCTTCGACAACCGGGGTGACACTCTTCTTACAATAACAAATGTCAGCTATTCCCTTATATCAGAGAGGGGACCTTGGATTACTCCTGAAATCAAGTCAGAGGGAACAGTGCAAGTAGGCATGTTCAAGTTCACAAATATACCATCGACCATCCAGAATCAGACCTTCGAGACAGTTGGGATTATTTATGCTCCCAAAGAAGTCGGCAATCATGCGGTATATGTCAAAGTGTTCTCCGATGGCGGGAATCTCGTCCTTGATGTATTTGGAATGGCCAATACGCCGCCTATAGCTCTCATTGAATTCGAAAAATCGGACGGATCGAGATGGCTGCCATTCTCTAATAGTGCAGCCTTTACTTTTGGAGGCGTCTTTGAAGGTCAAACGAAGTATCTTAATCTTCGCGTCACGAACAATGGCTCAACAACTGCGGGTCCCCTCTCCATCACTGTGTCAAAACCGCCTTATGGCGTACCCGGAATTATAAACGCTGTGAACGGGGTCGATCTAGCCAAGGGCTCGAGCATCAAGGCCGGTCAGAGTCAGACAGCCACATTGTATTGCGCAGTACCGAAGTCTCAGGTCAATCTACCAAGCTACAATGGCACTGCTACCTGGACCATGAATACTGGAGATCAGACCATGGGCAAGCAAGTAATCAACTTTATTTGCAACGCGGTCGTCGAGCAAGTCGGCCCACTTCTGTCGAACGGAACAGCCCAGTATGAATACGTGGGGTGTTTCAAAGAAAACAACCCTGGACGCCAGCTCGCTACTTCTCCATACGGTGATGCCTCCAACAACAACGGTCGTTGCATCAATACATGCTCAAGTCTCGGATATGAATTTGCAGCCACTCAATACAGTTCAGAATGCTGGTGCGGGAACGCTATACCTATCCAGAAGGACAACGAGAATGACTGCAACTACCCATGCAGCGGCAATGTTAATCAGACCTGTTGAGGAAATGGCTACTTCCATAATCAAGCCCACATATCACTTTTTGCGGACTCCCTCGAATTCGACGGGAACACGACATCTCCTCCACTAGCAATAACCAGATCAGTAGGCCCATATAACTACATCGGATGCTATGTCGAGAGTGGGACCAAAACCTTGAGAGAAAAGACGACGAACTCAAATGACATGACGGTGGAGGCTTGTGCAAACTTCTGCTCGGAATATACTTACTTTGGTCTACAATACTCCGCAGAATGCTACTGCGGCTCCAAACTTAGCAGTAGTTCCACTCTTGGGCCCGACAATCAGTGCTCCATGACTTGCAAAGGAAGCAATAGCGAGTATTGCGGAGCTGGAGGAAGAACGCAGGTCTATCAAAAGAATGGCACAGCTCCGAGTCTCTCTTCTGTAACCTCATCCTCCTTAACCGCAACCTCATTTTCTTCGTCCCCTTCATCAATCCCCACTGACTCCCTTTCTGGATACCTCGCGCTAGGTTGCTACAACGAGACTCATGATCGTAGAGCTCTGGCCAGCGATAGCACAAGCGGCGAAGCCAACACACTAGAATCATGTGCTCAATACTGCTCGAGCTACCGGTATTTTGGCGTTGAGTATAGCTCTGAGTGCTACTGCGACAACAACATCTGCTCTCTCTCCATCAAACAGAACACCGACGACGGTTGCTCGATGCCCTGTGCCGGCGACTCCACCGAAACCTGCGGCGGCCCAGACTTCCTGAACATATACTACTCCAACAAAACCATCCCAATAACCTCACCAACACCTCCCTCCTCTTCAACCTCCCCAACAGCCACGCCAACCTCCCCTATCGTCGTCCCATCAGCAGGGCCCTACACATCCATCGGCTGCTACAACGAAATCCCCGGCCGCGCCCTCACCCTCAACAGCGCCGCCAACACCTCCATGACCGTCGAGCTCTGCGCCGCCTTCTGCTTCCCCACCGCCTTCTTCGGGGTCGAATACAGCACCGAATGCTACTGCGGCACCGCCATCCCCCCGTCCTCCACCCCCACCACCGACGGCCGCTGCCACATGCCCTGCGCGAACAACAGCGCTGAGATCTGCGGCGGACCAAACGGGCTGAATATGTACCAGCTCCAGCTAAACCCCAGCTCCCCTACCAGCTTTACGCCTACACCTACCCCAACCACCGCCCCGCCGACCGTCGGCGCATACAGCTCGCTAGGCTGCTACGCCGAAAAGCCCGCCGGCCGCGCGCTGCCGACCCCCTATTACAACGACAGCATGACCATCGAGCTCTGCGCCGCGCAAGCTGGGGCAGGGCACTGGACCTACTTCGGCCTCGAGTACGGGCGCGAGTGCTGGATGGGGAACGCTCTCGACCCGGCTGCGCAGCCGGTGGCTCAGGCGTTCTGTGGGATGCTGTGTCCGGGGAACGCATTGGAGTGGTGCGGTGCTGGGAATGATCTGCAGTTGTATAGTTCGAAGCTCAGTCCCGCGGATACGTCGAGTGTATTGCCGACGGCGTCGGACGCGGGTAGGGGATGAGGTTGGTGGTGAGGGACATCGCGGGAGTCGTACTACACGAGATAGTTCTGCTTCTCCATGGGTGGTGAGTGCGAAGGGGAGGCTTGTGGGGGGTGTGGAGTTTGGGATTGGGGGGTTGTGGTCGTTGGGACTTGGATCACATGACCGCGCCAAGTTCCAAAACTTTCCTATTCCGGTTTCGTCTGATCTTTGAGCGCTGGAAAGTGTGGAGCGCTGTCGCAATCTGTTACTCCGGCCAAAAACAGGTTTGCAATTATCTAAATTCAACGGATCGCTTTGAGGTCCTATGCGATTTATAGGAAGTTCGTGGGATATGGATGGAGGGTTCTATCGCTCTGAATGGATATTTCTTGTTTTTTTGGTGGAATGGTTTAGGTTTTCAGGTTGTGGTAGTTGTGGATGAGCTTTGTTGGCCGTTTCGATAGCAGGAAAGGGGACAGGCGGAGGCTACGCACATCTAGCCTGGGGTTTCGAGTACATCCAGACATATGCTCCACTTTCTCTCTAGGTAGTTGATATCTTTGCAAGTTTTCCACCTGCATGCTCAGCGTACATACAGCAATCTTGACTGTAGACTCCATTTGGTTCGGGACAAGAGACCCTCTTTCAAGCTTCGATATTATGGCCCTTGTAACAGAGCTGATCGTACATACATTGCCGTGTGTACGTCAAAGAATACGCCCAGTAGCCATACGCCAGTGCCTGTCCTCAAACGCTGCTCCACCTTCCCACGCAGTATCTCGAACTCAGTACCCCAGTTGTCTCTTACAACGCCTTAACCCCCTTGAAGAACGGATTCGCCAACAACCTCTCATCCGCCCCGACTAGCTCCCTCATCCTCTCCACCTGCTGCTCCCCACTCAACCCCTCCGCCTCAACCTCCCGCTTCCACCTCACCAGCACCTCCTTCAGCAGCCTACTCCCCTCCTCCACATCCTCCTTCTCCGCCGCCACATACCCATCCTCATGTTTACCCGAGAAGTCCTCCAGCTCATCCGCCTTCCGCTTCGCCATATTGATGACCTTCGCCGGAAACCGCACCAGCTCCGCAACGTGGATGCCGAATGACTGGTCGCACACGCCTGGCTGGACCTTGTAGAGCAGCGTCACCTCGCGCCTGCTCTCCGCGTGGGCGCCGTCAGGGGGGGAGTCGCTGATGTGGGCGACGACGTGGAGGTTCTGAACCTGTGGATACGTGTCGCTCAGGGCGGTGAGTTCGTGGAAGTGGGTTGCGAAGAGAGCAAAGGCGCCGATTTCCTTAACGATGTGCTCCGAGATGGCCCACGCGAGGCCAAAGCCGTCGTAGGTGCTGGTGCCGCGGCCGAGCTCGTCGATGATGATGAGGCTCTCCTTAGTCGCGGACTTGAGGATGTTGGCGGTTTCAAGCATCTCGGCCATGAAGGTCGAGACGCCTTTCAGTTGCGAGTCGCTGGCGCCGACACGAGCGAGGACGCAGTCGAAGATCGTCAGTTCGGCCTCAGAGCAAGGTACAAAGCAGCCGATTTGGGCCATCAGGGCGATGACGCCGATTTGGCGGATGTAGGTGGATTTACCGCCCATGTTGGGTCCAGTGATGATGACGAACTCGGAGCTGCCTCGTTCGAGAGACACGTCGTTTGTGATGAATTGAACGTCGTCTTGCATCTCCATGCACGGATGACGCGCTTCTTTGAGAATGGTGTTTCCGGTGCCTCGAGGGTGCATCTTTGGGCGAGAATAGGCGGTGGGAGCGTGTACCGATACGTGGGCGAAACTGACAATGACATCGAGATGTGCAAGAACGCCGGCCAACTTCTCGATGACGGGGCAGTAGGATGCTATTCTAAGTTAGTTACTGTCCTCTAAACTACTCAAAGTGAGCTTACCCGCAACTCCAACGACCTCATTGACGAGCCCGCTTTGAGTGCGATTGTAGTTATCAGAATGCTTATCAAACTCTCGCCGCAGTCCTTGAAGGGTTGAAGTAGTGAAGAAAACGCCATTCTTCTGAGTCGAACATTCTTGATACTGCTTCTTATTCCGAATGCAGCCAGCTTCCGTTCTAGTCAAGCGAAAGCACCAACCGTGCACTCGGTGATTCTCCATAAACAGTTTTTTGTCGATTTCCTGACCAAGGTCTTTTCCGACCCTAGCATGTTCAACTCCCATATCATACTTTAGCCGGTCCAGCTTCTTCCTGATTGTTCGTAGCCCGTCGTCAAACTCTGGCTTGATGATGAATTCGTGATTGTCAAGGGCGTCGAGATCTACAGTAGTCTCAACCATCTCCTGGAGTTTCGCTAGGCTGTCGGAGTATTCCTGGCGATGTTAGGGGAAACTACAGATTAGGGATACAATACGGTGGACGTACTCGTAGCTTTGAAGTGTACTCAGCTTCCAACGGATCCTTGTACTGTTCGTCCATGATTCCCTCAAGGGTTCCGAGAAACCCAGGAAGGCGGATAGCAACCTGATACGCTCTTACCACGTCCTCAAGATTTGCCATTTTCCTCTGGAACTTCTTCGCAAGCCTGTAAAGATCTGGGATAGACCGTAGATGATCCTCCTGCATAGTCTGTCGCAGCTCCGTATCCTCCACGAAAGCCTCGACTAATTGCTGTCTTCGCTCAATCTCTTCAACATTCATCAAGGGCTGCTTGAGCCACTGAGCTAATAGACGGCTGCCCACTGGAGTCTTGCAATGATTCAACAAGCCATACAAACTCATTGTCTTGGATCCGTCCCTTGGTCCAGGCATCAGATTCAAAGCCTTCAATGCCGCCGCATCCAACTTCATGTATTGCGACAAGTCGTGCTGGTACAGCTGATATTGCCCGAAATTCGACGAATCCGACATGACACCCAGATACTTGATCAGCGCAGCTGCGGAACCCATTGCCAGCTTTAGGTCCGTCTGGGCCATGCTTCCAACGGCCATCTCATCCCGCAGCAATCGGGTCAGGTCTTGGTCGATGTCTTTTGTGCCGAAATCCGCGAACCCCCTCTCCGAAACCGCGCATCCACAGCTGTCTGCAATCGTCCGCAGCTTGTTCAGCTCTACGTCTTTCTTCGTGCCATCCGCTTGTATCAGACACTCCTTAACACCGAGCTGGATGAGGAGAGATTCGAAGTTGGAGTAGAGGTCATTGTCCAGGAACTCGCTCACGCCAAGCTCCCTCACACTAGCATCCGCAAAGCAGACACCAACGTTCCGAGCTTCGGAAGCCCTCGCCGTTACTTTCACCGCCAGTATTATAGGAGCGCTCTCGAGCTGTCCGCCGAGCTCCTCTTCGATGTCTTGGAGGTTTCCTGGGGATGCCTATCCACGTCGGTCAGCACCACTCTGCTCTCCAGAGGCAGTTTGTCAATCATACATGTTTTTTGACCTTCCAGCTCATTTTTCCGGATGACTCCCATATTTCAATGCGCTTGCTGAGGCGGAACAACGCTTCGCGTAGGAAGTTACGGAACACTGTAATCGACATGGTGACGGACTCGAGACCTGGTTCTTTGCCCAATTTGCGGAGGACAGAGGTGGTGCGGTAGACCTTAGACAATTAGCAAACAGTCCATCGAAGTTTAAGGTTGAGACTGTTCTACCGTCCTAGCAACGAAAGTAGCATCCTCGCCGTGAGCTGTGTAGTAGTCGCCTCGATCGAATATCCGAATGGTGTCGCCGCCATTTGAGGGGAGGTTCCGGAAGAACCTGACGAAGCCGCCTTCATCTTCGACTTTAAGTTCCGGTCGCGAAGCCATATTGATTTCAAGAGCAAGGTTACTGAGAGGCTTTGCAATGCCTTTGGAGAAATTCGGAGACAGTCCGCGTCAAGTCGCGTTAAAGTGGATCGCGTGCGCACGGACCACATTTTAAATCATGGTCTATCACATGTTCTAGGGGCGTCTTGAAGGTAGCAACTTATTAATATGTATTATAATGAGTGTGTCGAGTATGTCTTTACACCTATGTTCACACTCAAAGACCATTTTGATGCAAGATGGATGAATGCGCCCACGACCAAACGCCCTTCCCCAATCATGTGATGCAATTTTGATGCTCCGTCCCCGCCGTCAAAAAAGTAGGGGTATATAGTTGTTGATGCCAAAACCCGCCATCGTATACTCCGGGGTCAAATGAGAGAAGAAAAATGAGATCTTTTCCGTTTCCTTCCTCCATAGCTATTCCCTTTTACTGTCCGAGATAGCAACGAATCCATGTCCTACAGATACGAGCTGGCAGACACTCGGTAATCATTTAGTATAAGAATCGGACATGAGTGTCTGCAGGTATTTAGAAAAGCCGCTGTCGAACTCCGTGCTTGGATTGACGTTCTCTATCGTTCGGGCCGGGACCGATGTTGCGGCAGGCATTGACGGTGGAACCGAATAGGGTTCCCCTTCTAAGCTCTTGTCAGTTTGGTCTATAGCCGATTAATCCATGCATCGAAGACTGACCTAATCCAGTATACGGCACCTGCGTGTAATCGAGAGGGATGTTTGGCACGTAGTATTGCTGCGGTGGAATGCCCTGCACAGTGTTGAAACCGGCGTCTGGGTTGAACACGTAGTGCCGCTGCTGCCACGTCATCCAGTCCATCTCTGGCACTGGGCCTTGATTCTGCTCATTGCTAGAAGAGGTTTGAGTCTTCTCTTCAGAACTTCCTCGAGGGACAAACTGAGCTGACGTTGTTCCGATGTCATACCTTTGTCTTTGTTTCTCACGCAATCGCTCTTCGAGTGTGTCCAAGTTTTCCATCAGCGCCAATGGTGTTCCCCAGACCTGCGAATATTGTTCGCAGTGGCTCCGCAAGACCTCGCATTTAGATACAATGAGGTCTGAGTTGGAGTTACCAGAGAACACCTTGCGGAGAACTTGCAGTGCCGTAGCCAGCCAAATGGTGCTGGCGAGGAAGGGGTTGACGTATTGCACATATTGCTCTGAGCATCGTGTTAGGATTGCGAGGATGTCGTCCGCCGAATCCATACAGTTCTGAAGGCCTTGAGCATTTGTTGGTACTTCTGGCTCTACCGTGTTCCAGTTTAGGCCCGTGTATCTTGAATTCTCGGTTGTCCTTTTACCAGCCGCCACTTCCCTGAAGGCGTAATGATGATTTATCATGATCTTGGTGAGCTGAAAGGTAATCTGGATGCTATATTTTGCAACGTCTTGTCTCCTGGCTAATATGGTAGCGCTGGATAAAGTTTCGCCCTTCATAAAGCTAAGATATTCCCCGGTATAAGAAAGCTCTGTCGGGAGGGTCGCATTAAACGAGCGTAGAGCATTCTCCAGTCCCGGTAGCTTCCTCTCTGCGTCCTCTAACTTTTTCCCCTTAAACTGATTTTGAAAGTATTGAATCATTTGTGCTACGTTGTTGTCTGGGTCGATATCGGGCAGAACAGTGGACATATTGGAGAGCAGTTGGGCATCGTGCATCATAGAGTTGAGGACGATGAACCAAGCGTCGGCACCTCGATTGCCGGAGTCTCTTAGAGAGTTCACTCGGTCAGTGGCATTCAGCTCCAGGAAGCAAGATTTCTGATATCGCCCGTTGAACCAGCAACTGTCCTTGGCCGGAAGATAAGTTTCGTTCGTTGTCCAGTCGATGGCAGTGGGGCATCGCCTGATAGAACTAGCAAATACGTCCTGCAATTCGTTAGCAGGAGTTTCTTTCGTATCAACAACTAGCAACAGAGGCCATACCATCTCCCATATAGCCCACCAACAGCGTCTACGTTCTTCATCTACGCACCACTTATCTACATCAGAGCTGTAGTCTGGCCGGTCAATGTCGATGAAGTTGAGCCGTAACTCGTATGCGATCCTAACGCACGTTCCCAGCAATCTCCAAGCTCTTCCACGAACTCCTTCTGTTAATTTATAGAAGGTCGTAAGTACTAGAGCTTGAAGAACGCAAAGTGGAGGAGTCTCGTCTTCGCATTCATTGAGTGCTTCCAGGACCCACTTCATCGCAAGCTTGTGCATGCGTTCGTGGTCCTGTATAGGTGGGATTTCTTTCGGAGTTGTCTCTGGAGTCCTTGGTGCGTCGGGATACCCGGCAACAAAACGTGCTGCGAAGGAACAGATGGCCGCGATGAGTGCCTTGCTGTGCAGTTGATTTTTAATGTTATATATCTTTTGGCGAATTGTAGGTTGGTGAAAGAGCGTGAACGCTGTCATGTTGGCGAAGTATGTCCGAGCCCTAGAAATTATACGTTAGATTGGTGATCGAAATCATAGAGTTGAGAAGGCTGAAGCCATCCTCCTGTAGTGATAGCGCTTGTGTCAAGGTGGACAACTTCTGTATGGGCTTTTTGACATAGAATGAAGGATGCGGCGATCAATTTGACAAAAGAAAAACGGAGGCTAAGAGCCTTATAGCACTCACAATACTCTCAGTTGATCTATATGAACACCTAGCTCGTCGCAAGACTGCAGGATAATCTGTCGACCAGGATCTGGCATTTGCGCCGATGGGGGGCTCCAAAGCGGAGGGCTCCTGTTAACTTCTGTGGCCGCCTTTTCATGGGTTGGATGCATAATGTTGGCTAGGTTCATAGTTTCCAAGAACGCGGCAGCGATGTGTGCAGCCTCTTTGCCGCCTTCCCCGGACTCTTCATCAGTGCCCGAATTAGTTGGCGGCGAGAAGGAATCGGGGCTCCGACTGTTGTTCAAGGGCATCGTTTGAAAAGAGGACTGGGTGCTGCCACTCGTCTCTCTAATCGTGGGATACGCAGAAATCGAGTTGCGAGCTGCTCTGTCATTTGGCTCTTGGCTACTCGCGATGTATTCACGCGCGGTCGAAGCGGGGACGTCTTGACTGGGGATGCTGCCATGGCTGTTGAAACGGACCCTTTTGCGGCCACGCTGAGTCGAACCTCGAAGAAGTGAGTATGCGAACACGAATTTCAGAAGGTAGGAAAATGATGCCCCACCAATTTTAGGGCCCGGCTTGAGTCGCTTTGCAGGGTAAATGCAGGTCTGCAGAGTGCGGGCACACACATTGCAGCTCGGAAGCAGACGGTCACTGAGAGCCGTGTGAGCACGCACAAAGCGAACAATTGCGAGCAAGCAGGACCTACCATTTAGCTTTCCGCCTGTGTACAGCGTCAGTTGGGGTTATCTTCAGCGCGCGTTCGTGGTCGAGGGAATACGCACCTGCGGCATGGCTGGCAAGCCAAGGTTGCTCGGTCCGTTTGCGGGCTCCCAAGAAAGACAGGCGTAGGCCTATCCTCGTGGGAATAGGCGTCCATGAGGTTGGAAGGCGGCGGATTACGGCGGCTGGGGCGAGTTCATGTGTACCACGGTGCCACGCTGTGGGGATGTTAAGGAAGACTAGGGCCCCGTGGGGAAGCCGGGCAGACGTTGAGACTCATCGAGGACGCCTGCTGACAGCGCGCCAGTCAAGGCTTGAAATGTCGTCGGCTGCAAGTCACAGTGCGTGCTAATTCGACCCTTCGATAGCTCTGCAGCCGTGGCGTTGGAGCTGAGCGCCACGTGACCCAGGCCCCTGACTCTCATCGCATCGTGGCCCTATTGCAACGCCGCTGCCTCACCTCCGGCCCTGTCCTGAGACTGGCGGCAGGTGAGAGGCGTCTCCAGCCGTGCAAAAGATCGTATTTTGCTGGCGGATCGACAGAGGGGCATTCGACAACTGCACCGCGGAATGCATAATCCGCTACCGGAAGCTCGAAACCGAGTGCTCCGGAAGCCGCCCACGACTCAACGGGCTTCCGCATCTTCAGCTAGCAAGGTGTTACTTTCTTCACGCAGTGCATCAAACAGGGGATCACACATGGTGACATGGTTTGGCTCGAGGAGGCCGTCGCAACCATGCCCCAACACCGCCGCAGTCAGACTAAGGTGAGTAACGACTTGCGATCCGCATCCCCGCTGCAGACGATCGGACGCTTGCAATGGGAGGCTCGGGCATGTCATCGTGCCTGAATGCGCAATGCCTCGTGGGCAATCGGATCTATGTGGGTCCTGGAAACTCCCAGGGGGAATCGGTGTAACATGAGCCTTGTGTTTATCCCCTGCGATTGCAAAGGTATGGGCTATACAAGAAGCTTCTATCGCTTGACGAGCCCGTTGTTCCATTATACAGTAGGGGTGAGCGATAGAAGAAGCCACAAAGCCGCCGTCTTACCGTTATCATTTTCGAAGACGACCTCGAAGTCAGCTCTCTATCTCAGTCAAGAAGTCTTTGGCTTCGAGACACTGTCCTCGGCGCATCGTCACGGTACGGAAGGACGACAGGCTTCCTCAGCAGTTCATGGAAGTCGATTCGCAGTTCCTGAATCGTATGCATTACAGCTGTTACCAACAAGGCCAGAGCGTTTGCCAAACCCGCCACCAGTGCCTCCCTACCGCCGGCAATGCATCCCTTCCGCCCCAGTGCATGCATCTCGGCTTGCTAATCCAGGCACCGAAAGCATTGACTTTTCGGAGCCGAGAGCCAGGGCCTGCATATGAAGCATCGTCAACAATGAACTCGTCGTCCCGTTTGCCTGCGACGACGTGGCCGTGTCACGGACAGCAGGACGGTCAGCGTCATCACAACTTCTCGGCGGGGTTACTAAAACGGATCAGATCATCAACAGTGTTCCTTGAGTTCCATAAGGCATTTCTTCTAGCTAGTCGCCTCCTCGACCCCCTACATTCTCCCGAGGTAGAAATCCGGCTGAAATCTCACTCCCCTCAGGATCACTCCTCTCCCCCCAACGTCTCACCCACAAAGTCTGCGGTCGAAAAGACTTGAAGCAGATGACTTACGCGGACTTGAGGTACTCATTGAACCAAGCCACAGCCTGCAGAAACGCCTGCTCCTTTGCAAACTTCCCCGGCTTCTTGCTCACATCCGTCCTCACAGCAAACCCGTGAGCCACGTCAGAGAACAGATTGAGCTGATACGGCACCGACAGCTTCAGCAGAATCTCCTCAGTCTCGTGGCGTTTTTCGGCAGGGAAGATCTGATCTGTCTCCGCGGTAGAGATGCTGAGCGGGCCCTGGATGCCCTCTAGCTCCTCCTTATCCACAAAGGACGGATGCGCGGTGTACCCGACGTCGATCTGACCGGTCTTGAGGAAACGGCACAGGTACTTGCCGCCAAAGCAGTAGCCAACGGCGCCAATTCGCTTGCTCCCGAGCGGGCCGCGCAGTTCCTTAATTGAGGCGGCGATGATTGGGTCAATGTTATGTGTTTGGAAGTCCTTGAGCCACTCCATGACATTGAAACCTTCTGGCGGGTTGAGCTGAACAGGGTTGTCTCCGAAGAGGTTAGGGATCACAACGAAGTAGCCATTGGCGGCGAATTGGTCGGCGATCCTGCGTGATAATTAGTGTGTGATAAATAGGCAGGATGAGGTTCCCAGATAGTCTAGCTAAGTAGGCGAGGGATAGTGAGACCGTACAGCTGCACGTTGAGGAATTTATGGCCGAGGACGTCGGTGATGATTAGGATGGCATTCTGCGTGCTTCGGTCTTTGGGGTAAGAGAAGTAGGCCTCGACTGTTGTTACTTGCATCAGCTCCCGTTCATCTTCAAGATCTTTTGTTGTTGTTTGTTGTTGTAATATAAGATCTCTCGGTCAACACCACGTACCATCGCCGAACTTGCCCAATTCGCCGACAGCGGCGCCCTCATGCTTGACACCGACGGTGCAGCAAGCAGCTGGTTGATGAGACGTCATTTTTCAGGGAGATGCCAAAGTCACTGGACTGAGACTGCGAGCAGACCTGGTGTTGCGGGGTGAAAGAATGACGAGGAAGTTCGGCGAGGGGTGGTATTTGAAATGCCGGAAGGATTTAGCAAGGCGAAGTGGATCCTAGTCGAACATTAGCTATCAGCAAACGAACAGTCAAGCTATTCATACGACTACCCACCGAAGGTACTTTGAATAAGGAAAATGCTTGAAGAGTCGAGCAAGGAGATCAAACCTAGCCTTTTATATTGCCCCCCTCCAATAGCTGTCGCACCGATTGTAGCAAACTCGTCCGGAATTAAGGCTTCAAAGGCATCCTCGGATGACGAGGAAGTGGGGTGAAAGAAGCTCATCCCAGCATCACCCCTCCACTGGCGCGGCAGCTAGCGATGTTTCCCCCTTAGGGCAAGCCTTGGAGGCTCCTTCGTGTGAGAGAGTGGCATAGCGGACGGGCTTAACCTCAAGCTTAATAATGTGACGCTGAAAAATTGTTTCGGTATAGGGAACGGCATAGGAGTAGACTAGTGAGGAGCTTCGAATGCTAGCTCGAGTTTTGCCTTTCCAGCGCCGACGTCTCGTTATTGAAAAGTGGTGATGATTTGTCAGAGAGCTATCATCAATAGGCCAGCACGAGGGTAGAAACAAATAAACTGGTCTCGATATACAGAGTTCCATTGAAACACCAGAAAGAGTGGTAAAAGTATGTGCACAGAATTTGTAATGTCCGTATATGAGCCGGTGGAGGACGAGTGGCCAGAATGTAGTGTCCAGAATATAGAGCAAAATATTGAGACGCCGTGCATGATGTTTGCTTTTTACCGTCGAACCGCAGATTGTCGCAAATGTTACACTACATTCAAAGGCCTACCTAGATAGATATAGTGATTTTTGTCTCACCATCCATTCTAGTATTAGACCATTATGTATATAGTCCGTCAACACTTTCCCAAAGCTACCTGGGTGTCTTAAGGTTGTGCCTCTTATTAGGCATCCGATCATCACATTCATCTAAACTCGCGCCGAATCTTACCTTAATATTATTGACATTATGTCTAGAGAATTAGGTATCTATTGAAACACCCCTAACTAGCGAACGGGAGTGAACAGACTGATATCCTAGTGCTGCACACGACCGTATTTGTCACCTGACTTCCGCTCGTCTCTATGCTTTCTTGAGCCATGATGATGTCCGCGAAGCTTGCTAGACTCCGGGCTTCGATCTCGGACTGGACTTCGGCTTCGCCTGCGCTCGCTGCGATGAGAGGACCTTCGCTTATGGCTGTCCTCTCTGCTCCTACTTCTATGCTGCTGATGCTTTGAACTCCTCTCCTCATCTCTACGCCAACTTTCATGCTTGGGTGACTTGTCCAACGAGAAGCTTTCCAATTTAGCTTGATCGTGATGCCCTTTTTTGCTCTTGCCATGCTTCTCCCGCCTCCTCTCCCGCTCGCCCATTGCCCTTAGCTCCGTGATTTCCTGCTCTCTCTTCGCTGTCCAGGCCCTCCTGTCCCTCTCCGCTTGCTTGAGTTGAGCCTGCGCCTTCTGCATGACGGCGAACGGATCATTCGTGACGAGTCTCTTCTTTTCCCGTTCTTCCCGCCTTGGGTCTTCCTTGCCCCACATATCCTTTGTGGGCATGTTCATCAGCATGTCGTCCCCCCGAGCCCCATCATACAATACCTTTGCCGCTGAGTACCACGGTTTTTCTGGTGCTTTCACTCCTCCTAACGGCATACCGTTTTGCAGCTCATGCTCGTTCTCCTTTTTCCTCTTCTCCCGCTCCGCCTTATCGTTCCGCTCACCCTTCCGCAGCCTCTGCATCTCTGCCTTCTCATCCACCGGAAAGAGACTGATATGCCCTCGGTGATCGACAACCGGCGCATCAACAGCCACCTTTGGCTTCCAGCCTTTAGCTTCTAGGTCCTGGTTATTTTTAGCACGAGGCGTAGTCGTGACCTGAGCGAGGCGAATATCACGATCGGTATCGTCTTCGCCACGGAGGCGGCGTCGCTTTCTGTCATGACCCGAGCCATCCGTATCTCTCTTCTCCGCTTTGTCACTGCGATCTCTCTTGTGTCCGGTTTGGAGATTGTCTGCTGGGGCTGGGAGGAGTGGAGGGGGTGTCACACCGCGTAGTATGGCTATACGGCGTTCCGCATCAGCTTCTTGCATGCGCTGCTCCTCTGCCTCTTCGCGTGCGGCGGCGGCGGCCTCGTCGGCGCGCACGCGGGCGACGTTGGCGGGGTTGTAGACGTTCCATGACTTCTTTGCGAGGAGGTGGCTGAGAGTTGTTAGATATGTTCGAGGTAGTTAAATAATGCGGTGTACTCACAGAGGCATATTGGGTGGTTGAAGAGGGGTGGTACAAAAGTGAGGTCGAGGTACTTTTGCAGGAACTTTCCGTACGCGGAGACCGAGCAGGCAGGTGCGAAGGCGAGACTCGACTTAATGGACTCGAAGCATTGGATTATGCCTCCGAGCTATATGGATCCCCATGAGAAGGCCGCAACAGTGTCGAAACAACGACACTCGCAGCGGTGGTTGCACGATGGATAACCCCGCCAGACGAGTGACAGCTCACCACCCGCTGCCATGAAGCACGCCCCGCAGAGCGATCATCCCGGATCATCATCAGCTTCAGGCATGCACATCGGCTCTCCACGCCTATCCAGGTACCGCCGAATCGCCTCCAATCCCACGCAGCACAGCTTGAGCCTCCATCGTGTGGTGATTGCGCGGCTCAAAACGACGCGATTAGCACTCGACGGCGAGGCCCACGTACCACGGTCCTCCCTTCTTTTACCTCATTGAGCCTGCGCGACATGTGCAATCCCACCCCATCCCAGCGCCGACTCTTGTGTACAAGATAAAGCTACCGCCGTCCCCCCAGGCCAGCCTCGAACCCCGGATTCGAGGTGTTGAACCCTTTCCCGAAGGTGCCATCCCAGCACCACTCACCCGACATCAGCCCTAGTTAGTTAACCTCGCGACCACACGTTTGCAAGTATTAGTCCGGTTTCAGGTGCTGAGGTCAGGATTCGACGGGCAGCCCTTGCTTTGACGCCCACGGTACGCGCACACCGGTCTATTGTTCTGGTAGAGAGCGCATATCAAACAAGACCACGAACCCAACCACCTCTCGCCCCGCCAAGTTTCACGAGCTGAGGACGAAACCTCAGGAAGGACATCTCACGCTTTGTGAGAGAAAGAAAAAACGAATACCCTCCCTCGCCGTGGCAACCTATACAACTCTCTACAATGCCTACCTACCTCTGCCACGGCTTCCGCTGGCCCCGTCCTCTCATCCGAATCCACATCATCTTGCAAAACCTCGACGATGCCGCCGCAGAATGGCTTATGGCGCCGCCTACCACCGCAACTTTGACCCAGAACTTCCACACGCTCTACCCAGAGCTCATGGCCTCGCTTCCCTCGCTCCGCTTCATTGAGCAGTATGACCCCGCCGACACCTCCGCCAAGTCTCAGCCCTTCGCCTACGTTTGCGACCAGGTCCACGAAGTACAACTAGGAGTTGATATCGATGAAGTGAGGGGGAAGGGTGTGGCGAACGAGGCATGGGCCGCTCTGGTCGATTTGAGGGACAAGATTGCGCCGGGGGAGAAGGTGGCGTGGTTCGTGGTTGTGAATGGAGACGTGGAGCGGTGGGCACCACCGACAGTGGGGTTGTTAGAAGGAAGTAGCGCCGGAAGCGGTGTCAGCGCGGGGAGTGCAATCAGTCCAACTAGTGGGAGTGGGAGCAGTGTGGGGAGGGAGGAGGATGGAGAGGTAAGCTGGTCGCCTGATTCTTCAATATCACCAAGCCTTGCTTCGAAGGGACTTTCACACAGGATTAGCTAACGAGGTGATCTTTAGAAACAGCGCAAGGGATTCAGGAAATGGTTTGGCAGGAATTCGCTTCGCAAGTCGAAAAGGTATGCTTCTTGTCTTGTAACGTTCATGTATTTTCATCTGATTCCTCGTACAGCATGCGCGATCTCAACATCGACGAATCCATACAGTCGCACCCTGGCACCCCGCCTTCTCTCTCTCAGACTGCTCCTGGTACCGCCGTTTGATGTGAAGAATCACCACGAGTACATACGACGTGCACAATTCTGATTCAGTTTGTTCACAAAGTTCCCGAAGCAAGCGATTTCTAAGCTTGAATTTCAGGCCCTTTAAGCCTTTGATCTATCTGGCGGATGCGGCGTTCATCAAAGCTAGGTACAGCGCCTGAGTCTCCTCGTCATCTTGGCTTATGTCAGTTGCAATTGGCGGTTTTCTCAGAATATAACGTGTCGCTTTCATTATGATCAATCAAGTACTCGGGCCCCGTCGGGTTGTTTCACAATGATCGAAGATCAGCCCGTACGTAGTACGGGCCTACACCCTCAACCGAAAAACACCCTCAACGAAAATTTACCCCTCTATTCACTGCTTTACACCTACGCCTACGTACAACAACGTACTACAGCTACAAAATGACTCGGCCAGTTTATTCAGAATATACAGATGAAGCTGATGAGATTAATACAATTGTGAAGGAACTCAAGGCGCTCGGCGGCAAGCACAATCTTATGCAAATCTCAGCCACCCGAAATGTCACCTACGGCAAGCTTTGGAGGGCCTTTCGTGGTAATGCAACGAAGTCAACACGTAGGCCTGTTGGCCAGAGGTTGGATAAGGCTCAAGCACTTGCCTTGAAGCAATTTTTGGACCATATAGACAGTATTAGGTTTAGAATTCGTCGAGAGATGGTACGCGATGCCGCCAATTCGATTTTAGCCCGAAATCACACTGTACTTTACAACAATAACGAAGCCCCCCCACGCGTAGGCATTCACTGGCCAATAAGATACCTTGAGAATACATCATACAACAAAACCAAGGCCAAGCCTATTGAAACTTCACGGAAAAGGGCACAGGATCCCGCCTACATACAGACCTGGTTCGAAGGGCAAGCTGCCTACTGCAAATAGCATGGAATTATACCAGATAACTACTGGAACTTTGATAAGTGCGGCGTACGCCTTGGTGTAGCATGTAGCCAGCTAGTTTAGACCGGCGTAGGGAGGGAGATCTACGTGCCTTATTTAAATAGTAGAGAGCTAGTAATACTAGTAGAAACAGTGCGTTTAAACGGTAAATATATAGCTCTAATAATTATTATTACTGGCCAGCACTTAATAGAGGATTGGTTCGAAAACCTACTAGCTGCGTACCTAGTTGGCAGGTAAGGCATATTATAATACCTGGCGTCTAATTTATTTAGAGCTTTTAAAAACACAGGCAGTATAAGCTGCATACAACAGCCGTAGATTAGGTGCTAGGAAGAAGCTACTTTCTGGAGGCCTAGTATACGCTAAAGAGGCTCGATATATAAAAAGACAGCGCCAAATAAATAATAAGGATAAAGAAATGCAGGCTCTAATATTAAAGCGTAAAGAATAGCATTAAAAAGCGTATACAAGATATATAGATGAGGTTCTTCCTGCATTTACCAAATTCTATTGGGGCAACTATGTAGAGGTGTATAGCTTTCAAGGCGAGCTTCCTCCTACGTCACCAGCCAATCAGATGGTGAATTGGAGGCCCCTGATTAAGCCTGTATATAGAAAGGCCTATATTAGATGGGTGATGGGGCCGTGTACGAAGATGGGGAGAAAACGGGTGGCCAAGATGATTGACTATGCCAAGGCTACAAAACCTAGGCCACCAACACCAAATGAGGATGGAGATGAAGGCAATACTCAGGTTGATCCTGCATTAGACCGGATGGAATGGGGGCCCTAGGGGAGGCCTATTAATTGAGAAACAGTGAATGTATAATATATTTTCGTTTGAGGGTGTTTTTCGGTTGAGGGTGTAGGCCCGTACTACGTACGGGCTGATCTTCGATCATTGTGAAACAACCCGACGGGGCCCGAGTAAGGTGTTTCATGGACATATGGGCAAAAAATCGCGTTTTTTAGGGATTTCGTGGCCGGTTGCATACCTGTCGAGCGGCGTGGGCATAAAGTCTTGTTTTGCTAGTGTCCTTCGTTTTGAAGCGTTCCGCGGATACGAGTTCGGTTCCGGTATATCCCTAGACCTCGCTTTTCGCTGAGAAATACCATTAGCCTGCGCTGGCAGGCAATGTCAATATATTGGTATCATCTGGCATCTATCCGAAGCATCCACGATCTTCATCGTTATTCATTGCCAAGTCGAGTCCGTGCTCGTGATCATCACATCATCTGTCCTAATGCCAGCCCTACCTCTTTAGCTGCGCGAACCTCTTCGCCAACTCATCCACATCGGGTATTTTCCCGCCAGGCCCGTCATCCTTCTTCTTCGCCGGCGCCGCAGGCTTCACCTCCCCTTTCCGAACGTTCGCCGCATCGCTCTGCCCTGGCAGTCGCAGCTTCGGTGCAATATTATCTGTACTCGGACTCGGCGGTGTGATGCGCAGCGGGCTCTGGGGTCCAAACTTCCGTGGCGGCGTCGCTTTCGCCAGCTCCGCTACCTCGTCCTCCTCACGCTGCTTCTTCGGATCATCGCCTGGCTCCGCCTCCAGCGGCGGCTCCAGCAGCCTCTCCTTCTGCTTCTTTCTCTCCGGCTCCGCTAGCTCCCCAATCCCACCTCCACCCTCCCCATCATCATCCTCTTCCTCTTCCTCCGCCTCCCCAAACGGGACGCCGTAGAACCGCGCAATCTCCGCCAAATACGCATCCACGAGCTTCCGATCCGGCGTGTCAATCCGCAGCTTGTTCAGCACGCGCTCCGCGACCCCCTCGCCCTCCATACTCGCCAGCGCGACGTCTTTCCCGAATTTCTCGACCAGCAGCGTGCGCGCTTGGTGCAGTTCCTTGATCGAGGTGCGGGGCGCCGCGTAGATGAGGGAGCGCACGGCTTCTTCGAGCGCGGGGTCGAGCGAGGCGACGCCGTGCGGGGCTGGCGAGCTGTGGGGGGAGGAGGGGGGGTCGAGGAGCTGGGAGCGCGCGAGCAGCAGCTCGCAGTACAGCTCGAGCATCTCGTGCAGCTCCGTGGTTATGTCGCTGCGGATGATGTTTTCGACTCGAATGCGCGCGGATTCGAGCTTGCCGGCCTGAGGGGTGGGGAGGGGGGTTAGTTGGATTGGTTTTAGGAGGGGGGTGGAGGGGGGATCTGGGGATGGGGTGTACCTCTAGTAGTTGTGCCATTGCGCGCCGCTGTTGCTTAGCTAGTGCGGAGTCTTTTTGCTGCACCATTCGTAGGCGCGATATCGCCAGCTTGAGCTGTACCTTCAGCTTTGACTGGTGCCTGTTAGCTTTGTTTGTGGACTGGGAGGATGCCCAGGGGGGAGCATACCACGACTGTTGAGGGTGGCGCCATGGTGGAAACGGGCTTTCTTGTGGAGAGGGCGAAATGTAGTAGTTCGTGGAGATGTGGTTGTGGCGGAGGATGTAGTTGATAGAGTGTGAGGTCAGGCTCCCAAGGTCAGTTTCCCGATAGAGGGGCTGGGGTGGGGCTTAGCTAAGGCTGGAGCACAAGATTGGTTGTATCACCAACTTCCTGAAACCATCAGGCACGACCGCGAACTATGAAAGAACGATCTAGTTCATCGCCATAGATCTGCGTACACTCTTCCGCCACTACTAATGGTACAATAAGGTTATTCCACCAAAATGTAGGTGATATCCTATTATCTTGTGTAGCCGTCCGAGGTTTCCTGGTAAGCCTACAGGTTGGTGAAACTGATGAACCTCTATGCACACTGCTCGGATTCCTGAAACACCTTGAGCCCCCCACTCGGAAAATAGAGCGTGTACAAGAATGATACAAGAGAGGAGCGAGCTAACATATTGCTTTAGTATACAGGTGAGGAGTATAGACACCCTCCGAATAGGGGTTCTCCAATGAGAAAAAAACTGACAAGAGCGGGAGTCGAACGCGGACCCAGACAACGGATATAAAAAAGAAAAACAAGACCTAAGGTAAGCATATTGGAGATACGGGGCCGACGCCACTAGGGCAAAGATCCTGCTGGTTAGTACGAGTAGGGTTGAAGTTTTTCAAAGTATATGGATAAGTTGATCTGAGGAAGGGTTTTTTGTTTTGGTAAGGGCACGCGAGGGAGGAGACGGCTCCAATGAGCGGTGTCATTTCACCTCTACAGTGCTTTGAGATCTGTTCTCGCTGGGTCCAAGAACAGCCGCCATTACAGTTCATGTTACTCAGAGCACTAACCCATAGTCTCTTCCACCATGCGTCCAAACTTTAAAATGTCTTTCGGCGTACTATGATCTTTCAAAGCCCACGGACAGTCAAAAGGATCACCAAGATGAAACGTATCAGAAATCGACATCCCTTTCCTGGGCTTGAGGAATTGCTTTCCGAGGTGCATCCCCGACGAACAGGCCGATTGATACGCCTTCGTAGCCGTAGCATCTTTCCACATCGCGATTAGGTCCTTTTCTGCCGTTCGCCTTCCCTTACCCCGACATCTTACACCAAACTCGTTCTTATACTCGTCACACTATTTGCACTCTGGTCATTTATGACGAGCCTCACGCCTCTTCTCTCTCCTCTTCTCATTTTGGTCCTTCAATGGCTTTCACGTCCCCGCGCTGCTCTCCATCACCCCTTTGCTTTACTTGATGATTGTCGCGAATTAATTCAAGGGCTACCGAAATCCCAATAGCACTGAAGAGTAACGTACTAACACCGATACGTTTGAAGATCAAGGCAGACGAGAACCTAGAGGTTGCTTCGTCAAGTAGCTCTGCGCTGCCTGCTTTCAAATTTGGCTGCGTTCTCGAGTCCTTGGCCCACATCCGAAGTCCATGTTGCTGGACAAGCTGGGATTCGAGTGTAGGGAATGTGTGTAGACGAACTGGAAAGAACCATGCGATTTGATGGAGTCTGAGTACGGAATGAGATAACTGTCGCATTGCCAGGGATGTGCGGAGCATGCTGGAGGACTGGCTAGAGAGTGAAGTCTGGAAGCCTGTACGGAGAAGGGGAATATGACGGTGCCTTGAGAGATGATCCAGAAGTGTTGGTTGCACCGCATCGACTTCATGATTCCCGAATGGCCATCGAATGGTGGCACAGTGCTGGGATTTCATTTCGTTGACACCTACTTGATGCTGCTTGAGGCACTCCAGCGAGCTTAAAATACTCTAGTACTTGGTCAGGAAATAGGTTTGCATCTCATCTAGATCTGTAGAGCTTGTTGGAGCAGTGTCTAATTTATATACTATCGTGGATTACGCCTTGGTAGATTGTTGAAGAATTCGGGAGAGCACCCTTGACAGTTGCAAAAACTGAGCAACACGGTTAAGCTCTGGTTCAGTTTGCATGCCCTAAGAAGTGACATCTTATCTTGATTCATAAAAGTGCTAGGAGGGACTTAAAACGGCGGCAAAAGAGTAGCACGCACAGACCATCTCGGCTTTCACTTTGAAGCTTCAACGCGTCAGGCGCTTTTAACCCACCAGCAATGTTTTCGCGCCCCTCCAGCTCTCTGTACCGCGGTGCAGCTCAAGGACGATATGTGTGCCAGGCCTGTCTCCGCGATGTCCGAGTTAGGCGCCAATTGGTAGCCAACGCCCAGTGTCTCCAGCTTCGAAGTCGCTCACTTCAAACTACGACAACTGCGGAAGAGGTCACGCCATACAGGAAGCAATTGAAGGATGAAGCCAAAAAAAAGAAACTAGAAGGAGGACCGAAGGCCTCCAAAAAGAAGTCGAAAACTAAGGATCCGAGACTAGAGAAATGGGAATTGACCGTGGGAATCGAGATACACGCTGAGCTCAATACCGCCCGGAAGTTATTCTCCAGTGCTGCCACTTCAAGTAGTGACGCGCCAAACACTCATGTTGCAGTGTTCGACGTTGCGTTTCCTGGAACCCAGCCTCATTTCCAGCGGGAAACTCTCATACCGGCCCTGCGTGCTGCCATAGCCCTCAACTGTATTATTCAGCCGAAGAGCAGCTTTGATCGGAAGCATTATTTCTATCAAGATCAGCCGGCCGGGTATCAAATCACACAATATTACGGTAACTATAAATCCTCAATTGGTCCTGTAGCTATGCTAATGTGTGAGCAAATAGAACCTTTTGCAAAAGACGGCCATATCACGCTCTTCGATCATGATGGAATTGCTCCAGAGGACGGGAAATCGATTACAATCGGCATAAAGCAGATTCAGATGGAGCAAGACACCGCAAAGACAATCCAACGACCACCATCCACCCACCTCCTTGACTTCAACCGTGTATCTCACCCGCTCATCGAAGTCATAACCCTCCCCCACATCCACCATCCGTCTACTGCCGCCGCTTGCGTCCGAAAAATACAAGCGATCCTTAAGACCATTGATGCTGTCACGGCTGGTATGGAGCTAGGCGGTCTCCGCGCCGACGTGAATGTCTCGGTAAGGGAGAGGCATAACACTACTGGGACCGGACCAGACAATTCATATTATGGCGTGACGGGGCTTGGACAGCGGACAGAGATCAAGAACCTAAGCAGCTTCAAGGCCGTGGAAGATGCCATAATTGCTGAGCGAGATCGCCAAATCGATGTTCTCGAAGCTGGTGGGATCATCGAGGGCGAAACTCGAGGCTGGACCTTGGGGAGCAAAGAGACGAGGAAGTTAAGAGGCAAAGAAGGGGAAATTGATTATCGATATATGCCTGATCCGGATCTGGGGCCTGTTATAGTCGGAGATGTCAGTTTCGAGGCTTCATGTGGTTAAGCTCTTTGCTAATACTGTCTAGGACGTTGTTCAAGCTCTTCGAGATACTCTACCCGAGCTACCTGATGATATAGCAAGCAAGCTTGTTTCCTCAGTAAAATATGGGCTTACCATGAAGGATGCAAAAACAATGGTTGCATTAGACGATGGCGAGCGGCTTGACTATTATCTAGACGTAGTCCAGTTACTTCACAAGGATTTAGAGAACGATACGGCACTACAAGGCTCCATTGGCAGGGTTGCAGGTAATTGGTGAGTTATGATCTGTCTTTTCACAGTCGAAATTGCAGTTGCAGAACATTGACTAATCTCAACAGGGTCCTTCATGAGCTTGGTGGGCTTTTCACGACCTCGGAGGAGGGCTGGACAGACACCAAAGTAATGTCCCAGAACCTTACAAGCATAATCTCTCAACTCCTCCGCCGTCAAATCACAGGGCGTACCGCAAAGCTACTCATCGCAACAATCTTTCATGGAGACCAGCGTACAGTGAACCAGATCATTGAAGAAGAGAACATGACGCTTCGGCCAATGTCCCGCGAAGATTATCTGGCTACCGCTAAAGCTTTGCTCTCGGAGAACCCCGATGTCGTGCAAGCAATCAAGGAAAAAGGACAGCACGGGAAAATCATGTTCCTAGTTGGGCAGATGGTTCGTCGTAGCGAAGAGGGAACTGTGGAGGCAAAGACGGCAGAGAGTATTTTGAAAGAGCTACTGGAAATACCACGTGACGAATAGTACGGCAGTGGCGACGGCGAGTCAAAAATTCGCACGACACATGAGAGGACGCATCAATCGTCTTTTCCCGCGAGATAACGCCGCGGGAGATGGTCAGGATAGCTACCAAAATGCACAGATGAAAGTCAAGAGCTACAACGGCCAGCTTAGAGAACGCGAAGTTATAGATCTTTTACGCCGAGCCGACGTAACTGGAGGCGGTCTGTTCATCCCCAACTGTCGCACACGGAAGATGTGGAGAGCTTTAAGACGGATATTGCAAAGTCTGTGATCATAGCTCTTTACTACGAACCACGCCGCCAGAGGTGATTGATTCATTGTAACACTCCTTGGACGGATGTCAATAATTACAGCGCCGAAATCAGAAACGTTTGACGCACAAGGTGCGGCTCTGTGTAGGCCTCCCAATCCATCCAAAAGTGCCCAGAGCTAGTTAGACGGCGGTATGAACCTCAAAAATTCATAGGGATCCACCAACGCCTCGCTCAATCGCCCCCCCCCAAGCCGCCTAGTCTACACCACGAAATGCCTCAGTCCCGCACAACCGGCGTAAGCTTCACCATCAGCGGCGGCTTCTCCCACAGGCTAAACACCTTCTGGTCGAGCCAGTTCGTCTCCTTCTCCACAAGCTCCAGGTCGAAGGTCCAGAAGACTCGGGCCATAATGAGGCGCATTTCGGCGTAAGCAAGTCTAGAGCGGATGTTAGCCGTGATATTTTTTTTGAGACAGAGTTGGGTTGAGGAAAAAGGACGTACTGCTTCCCTAGGCAATTCCTGGGACCGAACGAGAACGGGTTGTAGACGGCCTTCTTGTCGGCCGCGTAGCGCTCGTCTCCTAGCCAGCGCTCCGGGACGAAGGAGTCTGGGTCGACGAAGTTGCGGGCGGAGTGGTTGGCTGGGTACTGCGAGACGTAGACGGATGACTTTGTAGAGGCTCGTCAGGAAAGATCTACTATCAGGAGTCGACTATCAGACAGCCAGCCTTGAAAGCAGCTCAGAATGAGCCACATCGAACTGTATGTCCTTGTCTAGTCTTCAAAAGCACCTTAGGGTACTCCCAGCAGTGGCAAACGAGAACAGCACTTACGCCCTCCGGCACCCAATGCCCACTAATCCGATCCCCCCCCTTCGGCACCACCCTCGGAAACCCCGTCGGCACCGGCGGATAAAACCTCAACCCCTCCGCACACACCGCAATCATATACTCCAGCTTACTCACCGCCTCAGCCGTAATCTCGCTCGCGCTCTTAAACCTGCCGCGAATCTCCCTGACCATCGTCTCCAGCACCGCGGGGTGCTGCAGCAGCAACCACGTCGTGCCGCTCAGCATCGTCGCCGTCGTCTCGCTGCCCGCAACCATGAACACGGCCATGCTCGACTCGATCTCGCCCGTCGCGAGCGGTGTGCGCCCGGCCTCCTGGTTCTGGATCACTTGCGTCAGGAAGTCCGGCCGGTCCGTCTCGCGCGCCATGCGCACGCGCACGAGGCCGAAGACGCGCGTGATGAAGTCCAGCTGCTTGGCGAGGACGTCCTTGGGCAGCATCCGGCGCGCGATGCTCTGGAGATGCGGGAAGCGCCGGATCGTGGAACTGAGGCCGAGGCCTTTGGCCAGAAAGAAGGTGAGGTTGACGAGGGGCTGGTAGCCGCGGTCCCGCAGGCACCCAAGGGGCTCGCCGAAGGTTAGGTCCGCGATGATGTCGAAGGTGAAGCAGTTGTACCACTTCAGGATGTCGGTGGCGCCGTTGACCATCTCCTCCTCGAGGCGGTTGATGAAGAGGTCGACGTAGCCTTGGATCAGCGGCTCTTGTTCCCTCAGTGCTTTGTCCGAGAACGCGTGCGCGAAGTTGCGGCGGAGGCGCTGGTGCAGCTCTTCGCCGGCGCCGACGATGCTGGGGTAGCCGTTCGGGTAGGCGGCATAGAAGGCGCTGTCTTTGAGGTAGGGCGGGGTTTTGTTCTTGCCCGTGCGGAAGCCGTAGACGTCTTGCCAGGCTGTCTCACCGGAGATGAAGGAGACTTCGGTAGGGGAGAGGCGGACGGCCTCGCCATATTTGGTGTGGAGTTTTTGCACCCATTTGACTTGGTCGCCGCTGAGGAGGTGGTAGATGTACGGCGCCCAGGTTGCGGCTGCGAGCTTCTCGCCGGGGATGTGGGATAGTGGGTGGAAGTAGATGTTGTAGATGGCGGTACATAGGAAGTAGGATGGTATCTACTATAGTTTAGTAACTGCATTCTAAGTGACAGTGCTAGCTTCGTAAATCCGGGCACATGAATATACCACTGCTTGGGTGCCGCTCTTGGCTGCTAGACACCATTGTCAGACTCGACCCTGCCAGGGAACCGGCCAAACAAGAGCATAAAACAGCCCAGATCTCGGCGTTAGACTTTATGTCGTATCTAAGATCCTTGACAACTCACGACACCTCAAGCAGTGGCACACTAGTGCACCCAGATTATTAGCAAAGCACTGGATTTGAAGACATACGATTAGAAGGATAGTTCCAAGGATGGTTGCGAGTCCTTGAGGACTATACAGCGCTGAGCCTGAAACGGGCGCGTCCATAGTGACTCCCATGGTCGATTTTTTGGATGACGGAGACGTGAAGAGGACACGATCGAAAGAAGGGAACGGGTGCTCTGATATGTATGTGCACGTAAGCCTTTCAATGGTCACAGACCTGTCGTCAGCATCGCGGATGCCGGCACGAGTTGGTGTGTTGTCTGAAGTAAGGATCGGACGATCCGTTAGGATGGGAGGCCTGTAAGAGTTTTTGTATGTACTAAGAGTAGTCGCTCTTATGTCACTCACTAGACCTTCAAGACTGTCCAATCCCACCCCTGACGTTGAGGCCGCATGGGAAGGTAATCAAGTCTTATTCCTAGGATCTGCATTGTGGGGCTCCGCGGCGACTAGGAAAGCTAATATATAAGACCGGAGAAAGAACGAAATAGGATGATTGAGTGGGGAAATCGTATCCTCAGAAATACTATCTTCTGTTACCACTGGTAACGACAACCTCGCTTCCCAAAGACTGTTCAGACAATATATCTTACGATATTGATCCAACACATCATACAAGAGTACTGCCATGTGTAGCGCTATTCCTTTTTAGCTCATAACGCGACCAATATGATCTCACCCTATCCTTTCAAGACTTGACTGGATGCTTAATTTGCTACGCCATCGCCACGCTTAACTCCGCCCTACTCGTCCTCGCGAGATCGTGTAATAACCTTGCTAGTAAGGTTCTATCTAAAGCATGCATTGCCATGGGCCTAAACGCATTCGGGAAAACAGCCGAGTGATTTCTTTCCGTGGGCCGTGAGTGGTTAGAGCAACGTGCACATGTGACCGACACGGCGTCCCGAGGTCATAAAGGCGTATCGGTTCCTGGGGTAATTGGTGGGGTATCATCTATCCGAAACCTTTATAAAAAAGACAGAAAACGGCTCATTGAGTCGGCATTGATCTTTGTGGGGGGGTGGAAATTCCAGAAGCCTGCAGAAGGTCCTCTGCATAATTGAAAAGTAGTTTCCATCTTTTCTAGATCAGCCTCGAATAAGAGCTGTGCTCCGCTGACTTTCGAGAATCCGTTGAAAGGTTCCGCTCTTTGGCTAATAAGCCTTTGTATATTTCCAAAAAATAAGGCCATGTAGCTGGGCCGAGGTGCTCCAAGTATTGATCGTGAGGCGAAAAAGCGATTTGTAAAGCAGCCTGTTTCAGAATTGCAAGAGTAAGAGCGGCTCGTAGCCTCTTCTGTCGGTAAGAGCTTCTGGCGGCTCCTAGAATCTCTCGTTAGCACTTGCGAATGCAATCTCATACCCCCAAAGAGGAAAATTTGACAAACGACATGAGATTCGTCCCGACTCCATCAAGATGTAGTCTCGATAAGCAGTATTGCTGTAAAGGAAAAGGTCGAACCCGAACCATTATCAGCGCCCATGCAATCCCTCGCCCTCTCTCCAACCAAGGAACATCATACAAGCCCGTGATGCCTGCGGTACTGGGTATCCGTTCCGTCCGTAGACGCTCGCCCGACGCGTCCTCATCTCGCTCTTGAACCATCAAACCGCCCTTGCACCCCCCAAACCGTTCCAGAATCCTAGCGTGTTCGCAAATCTACTTCTTCAGCTTGCTCGACGACGACGACGACGACGACCTCGACGCCGGGGGTCTCACAGCCGGCGAAGGCCTATCCGCCACAATTAACCCACATGCCCAAGCATTTGCTGCGGACAATCCACTTACGTCGCCTCCGTATTCCACCCCAACCGGCTCTTGTACGCCGGGAAACTGGCATAACTCCACGCCTTCACCAGCACACTACCACACCCCTCCCGTATTAGCCTCATCGTTCTGGCATGGAGTAGGTACGCAACCCGCGACTGCAGGGCCTCCGCGCGAGAGCACGAACTCACCTCTGCGTCTTATCCGCGTACTCCTCCGACCGCACCTCCTTGACGCCGACTTTCATGCCGTCCTTGGTGAAGACGACGTTCTTCTTCTCCATCTTCTTGACGCCGCGGTCGGCGAGCTCGTTGGCGTAGAGGTACATCTGAGGTACAAAGCGAGGTGTTAGCCTTGCGCTGGTATGACGGAGAGCCAGAACGGGCTGCGCAGATTTCGTACCTGGTAGCCGATGTATGCGGCGCCGCCTACGAAGGCGAAGAGAATCACCAAGGGGATCAGATTCCCAAGCGCACCCATGGTTGCTGATGGGATGTGGTGGTAATCGTGGGGTGGAGGAAACTCGTCGGGCGGCGGCAGGCGACGGTACAGTGTCGTCAGCGGTGCGCAAAGCGTCGGAGTCGAGGCGGTTGTTGAAGTTGGATACCTGAGGTTTCTCAGACGAGGGACTAATGAAGTTGTGAAGTGAAACACCAGATTGCAGGGCGCGAGGTCCAGTCCCTCGCGTGCTATTATTGTGGTTGGCGCCTCATGGATCGGCCCCCACCTGCCGTTCACGCTTTCGGGCTGAAACACGGCCAGCTGGAGCGCTGGCGCCACACCCGAAATATGTCTTGGTATCAATCACATGCAAGTGCTCCAATTGGGTGGTGTCATACTAAGATTATCTGTCTACGTCCCCTTTTTCCCACCATTTACCTATTCCAGCATATCTGATCTTTGCCGAAAGTGTCGATAGAATTACAGCACGCTGATGCCGCTGGAAAATGTGCCTAACGAAGAGAAATCATTGTTGCCCATGCTCATGACTATGAACCCCCCCAGTACGGCGTCCGCAATCCCACAAAACTAGACGCTGATTGCGCCAGCCCATCTCCTGAATCGTCCTTCTTTCGCTGTCCCGCAAGCTAATCGCGCGGGTTAGTCAGGACTGCGCTCTGCTTTACTAGCCCGCGGTGCTTACCTCCAGTTGGATATGGCGGTGCACATGCACCAGCCAGTCCACATAGCTCTGTGCCTCGTTGTTCCGGTCCTCGAAGAGCAGTCGTGCGAACTCGTACTCCGCTCCATCAAGACCTTGCCGCGCAAGTTGCAGAGTCAGGGCTTTCGAGCCCCTCGCATCCTCGAGGTACTGCAGAATGTTCCGGACCTGGGCGTTCAAGTGCGTTTCAAGGACAGGTAGTGTGGATTGGAATGCATCCAATTGCTTCAAGGTGGTCTTCCCTTCTCCAAATAGGTCTTCCAAGAGATTTGGTGAAACCTGGGCATGTATCCACAAGAGGCATGTTTGGCCGTTGTCGACGATGTACGCACCTCCTTCTTCGACCTGGGAGTATGACGCCCGCTCGGCATCTGGCATGCGAAGGTGGCCGTTCTCATTGGGGAAGCCGTCCTTTTCGTCGAGGTTGTGAATCGATAGTATTCTCGGGTAAAGGTAGAGCGACAGTTCCAGGCACCCCATGGCCTTGATCATCCTCATGTCGTGTACCCTCCGGTCCGTGGGCTCCTTGCCTCCCTTGAAAGATCTGGACTTGATCAATCCGAGTATGTACATGCTGAACTCTTTCAGGTTCTCGGGCAGAACTAGTTGGCCAGGCGGGTTGTTTCCTATAAAGTTCTTCCTGTATCCCGCCAGAATGTCCACCGTCTTCTCAGTGAGGGCCCCTCTGATATCCTTGAGGGACTTCTCCGCCATACGAGCTGCGGCTTCTTTCGCAATGATATTGACCACTGCATCTTGATCCACAAACTTCATGGTGTCCCCGGTCCCTTCGCTAACACTAGCAACGATATTGTGACATCGTACCCTTCGCTCCCCGTTGGCGGTTGTGTAGAGTAAAGCGCTCTGGAAATGAGCGTCTAGCTTTGGATCCAACTTGCCATCATAGCTGAACATAACACCTATTGCTTTGTCCGCATCAATGACGCCAAACTCAAGATCGGCTCCGAAAGTGTGATGGTAGAAGTTGCCGTGATACGCCGAAACCTGGAGGCCGTTGGAGCAGCGAACTTTCATTAGAGCCTGGTAACCCGTTTCTCGCGTCACAGTATGCTTGATCTCTTTCGACAGCTTCAGCGTATCCCGTGGAGAATGGAAGTTGGGGTAATAGAAAGTTTCACCACCGGTATGAGCAGACACATGGCCTAGTAAGAGGTCAGCTGAATGCTCGGGTATGTGTTCATTTTGTAAATTTTGCTTGTACTTACCAATAGTAGCTATATCGAGATAGCCACCGCTGGGCGCCGCCATGAAAAAATCTACGCCAATCCCGCTTTCGACCATTTTCGTCGCTACCTTTCGGTATCCAGGATGCTCCGTTGTAAGTAGTTTCTTCTCCGCATCGTTTGCATGCATACTGCCATTATCGCGCATAAACAGAGCACCTGGACCCCATGTGGGAAGAGCAGCTAGAGAGCATACTATTTTCCCTCCTGTTGCACCCAATGCAGAGACAGCTGCATTAAGCGTTGGCAGTAAAGCGGGCTCTGGATTTTTTATCTCTCGGAACATGCTCGGTAATTGTGTGAGCAGTGAAGTGATCACGTCTTTCGACTCCTCGGGGTCTACAAATAGGCCTTCGCTCAATGGTACAAATGGGTCCTCAATATCAGGCATGACCATCATTTGTGCCTGATCCAAGCCGGCACCAAGATTGTAGAAATGGATTTCCTTGTCGAACGTTACGATGCCCACCTTTGCGCCGACTGGTAAATTCCGCGTAGCTGGGGTGTCCGGCTGGTCTGATTGTTTATCGGTGCTCCCATATAGAGAGCTTATTATTCCTTCGCAAAATCCATCAAGAAATCCGCGATTAACTGCTTCAGCACTGACATCAATCAAGAACAGCCAGCGAAGGCCGACAGGTTCCTTTGCCCAATATTCCTTGGGAACCATAAACTCCACTGTCCCTAATGATAGTTCAGGTCTTTGTAGTCTATCCACTCTCACGCCGGATGGATCTGTTGGGGAGAAATATTCCGCTGGGACGTCGTTCGGGAATGTGCACATGTTGCATACGAATTTGCTGCCGCCGGATCGGAACGTCATGAAAGGGTTGATGTAAGCTCTACATCTCCGACACCTCGGAGGTCCTATTTCGCCAAAGTCGAGCACTGGTATTGGTTGTTCGCCCTCTTGCTGCGGCGCAAGAGGCTGGAGGATCAAACCTAGGGGTAGAGAAGTTGAGGCCAATGCATCCGAGGAGCCGGGGATATTATTTAGAGTCAGTCTTGCAAATTTCGGTGACGAGTTCCCCTGATCGAACGCGACGAAAGGAACGGCAGCTGGAGGTGGAACATGCTGCTCCATAGTGGGGTACACGTGTTCCAGGTAATATTTCGCCGGTCGGTCTCGAGACCTAGGTACACTTGGGATTTGTTTCGGATCCACGCGACCTTGCGAAGAGGAGGCCGCTTCTCCGCCCAAAGGAGTGCCGGACCTGGCGGCGTGCTGCATAGAACTAGCCTCATTTACAGGAGCAAACGATTGGTTCCCGACTGCTGCTGGAAACTGTGACATCGCAGGAGTCACTTGAGGGTTACTCCACTGAGGTGTACCGCCTAGTTGAGGTGTGTTTTGGTTTAGGAATTGAGTGGGAGTTCCCATCTCGCCCTGGGGCATGCCATTGAAGGCCTGTGAACTGCCACCCGGTCCTTCAAGGTTGTGATATGCATGCCTGTCCTTCTTCTTATGTGCCCTCGGATGGGCCTCCAATCCTAAACCCATGCCACCCATTTGTTGTGCCAGGCCTGCCACTTCTGCTTCGTTCGCCGCCGGGGGTGCTGGTTGAGGGGGAAAGTAGCCCTGCTCCTGGGATGGAGTGGCTGGGTTTGCACTGAGGGGTGTGCCTATGTATTGATTTGGAGGAGCTCCGTATGTAGGGGATCCGACTTGCTGATATCCGCCAGGACTTGAGGCCACAGGAGGGCGGAACTTGGCAGCTTCTTTTTTCCTGGGGTTTGGCGGGCCGTTGAGACCTGGCGAGCCTACCGGGGAACCTAGCGCGTGGTACATGGAGAATTCGGACATGTTGGCGGCGGTGACTTGGGAGGGTTCTAAAGTTGCGGAGGTCTCCAGCGAGTGCTGGCGCAGTGGAGGATTCGGTCAAGGCGTCGTAATCACAGGGCGGGCGATGGAAGTAGATCGCGCTGTGGCGTTCGAAATAACATATCCTAAGCAGAGGTCTACGAGGCTTATGCCCAAGCAGGAGGGCGTGCGCGTGAAAAGTGTTGGTGGTTGTGGAAATCTGGCTCGTTTTGATGCCCCCTCTGGAATAATTCGGTTTAGCTAGTGCCAAGGACACTCTGTCTCCTTAACCATGGTCAATATTGCAGTCTGATGCGCCACTACCGGAGCACTCTACAGAATAGAGGGATTATCTAGCAGAATTATTCAAAGGGCCAAGATACCGATGCACTACATGACATTCGTGATGGTACTGAGATTTGGCCAAGTTGCCTTACGGTTGGACCAAGCTACAACAAATATTGACTGCTCAGCCAATCACACCAGACGCAACATGTGAATGGAGCTAGTTTATATTTTCGACTTAAATTGCTTAAGTAGACTTAAGCTAACCTAATAGGATTACAGTGCTAAACCATAAGTTTGGGCACTCCTTGCGACTGCTTGGGGTACCCCGATAGGTTTTTTTTTTAAACTCCGAATACTATGTAAAGGTCGATGCAGTGGAAATTAGACATGCCTTTTGATTGACTGAAGTGGGGTCACCTGGGGCACCCCTTACAGTGGTGTCACAAGAGCAAGAGTGAAGACATATCCGTTCTCCCAAATTTATGGCCTCGTACTGTAACAAACATGAGCATCGATAGAAATTCTGATAGATGTTCAACTGCTGAGGGGTCGAATTACATCTACTTTTAGTAGGCTTCCGCTCATTGATTCGTTGCCGTTAGAGGAACCTACAGGCAGTCGAACGCAAGGATGTTTAGACTCTTTCAGAGTACAATTTGTAGGTTTCTTATTAATATTACATTCATCTTATTACCCCAATCGTACAGTACCTACGTCCCAGCGTTATCTAAAAGGCCCTGACCGCTTAGGGAAAAGGTTTCGGCAAGAAGTTTGTAATACAATAGACGAAAGAAGTAACGTGAGCTCGCTCATCCGAAGTACACTCATAGCATACGCATTGGATGTCTCCGTTTCTAAGTAATCATGGATAGACGTATATTGGACCACACGTAAGCACGTGTCGACGCGCCATCGCGAGTATTTGAGCATTGCTGAGCCCAAACTCGCGGCCAATGAGGTTGAGTCGCCCTAGAAACCACTTCCTCTGCTTTATGGGCACTACATCTGTATTTCCAGCCACGAAGAGTGGCCAAACAAGGAAATAGGCCCCTAATGCTTCGGCAGCTAAGTTGGAGTCAGCACAACGCACGGTGACGGAGTATCTAGATACTAACCTGACTGGTCCTGGCCGAGCTGCTTCGCCACTGGCTGTAAGTCGTAGTTCATGTGGAAAGGAACGCTCGCTGCAATCTCGTCTGTCATGGACTGAATGACGAAACGGGCTCGCGCGCACTTGCGTTCTATCTGGTGGTCCTCCCGCTCCAACGCCATCCATGTAACACATCCCAGAATTACACTCTGGCAGAATATCCGACTGACGCGGTAGTCGTTGACGATGTTTGCAATGAAGACGTCTCCGTACGTGTGCTGCGGGCCCGGCCACTCATCCGCATTTTCCACATCCTCCGGCATATCATACACCATTTTCGTCGTGCTGAAATTCCAGTCGTCCGGCAGAGTGTGAGCCCAGTTCTCAAGATTCGCGTCTACCATCTCTGCGTACCCTATCAAGGAAAGCACTTCCGCTTCGGTTTCAGGAGTTTTCTCGCTAGTAAGGAGGTCGTGAGCGCGCGTCCGCACGTTTGGTAGGTCGATCGATATCAAGGTAAGGCGGTTTGCGGCGTTTTCTTCGCTGTGTTCGGAGCCGATCCAGCCGTATTCGCCTGGAAACTCTGTGACTGGTATCGATCGTTGGACGCAGCTTGTGATCTGCGTCGAATCAGCTCAAGCAAAGCTAAAGGTATAGAGCACTCAAGGCTGCGCACCATCATTGTCCGCACAGCTCGGAACACGCTATAAGAAAACGGATTCTTGAATTGTTCGTTGCCTCTGAGTTTGACGAGAGCCACAGCTCCATCGACGTGGTTCGCCCATGCGTTGACCGTTTCAGGGGTTGCCATGATAGCCTGTTACTCAACGTCAGACTAAGCATGTTGGAATCCCTTCGGGATATCATACCTCATAAAGTGAAAATAGCAGTACTGCTAAAATGGTAGCATCAGACTTGGACTCTATTGGATCTTGCAGCGCCACATTAAGTTTGGTCAATGCTTGACCGTACGCTATGGACGCGTCTTGCAGTAGATTTTGCCTTCCAGGGTAATTTCCTAGCGTAGAGAGCGCAACAGCATGTGTAGCAGAGTGGAGGGCGGAGGAGGGCGATTCTTCATTATACTTTGGGACTAGCAATTCAAGAAACCCGCGCATGCTCTCTGCTTGCTGCGGTAATACAACGAAATTACGGAAGAAGAATGCTGTGGCTTGAACCTCTGTCGACGGAGGGAATACTGGGGGTACAGCATTTCCTTGTTGCCACAGGTAGGCCTGGAAGAGTGCGAAATCGGTGGGAAGAATGAAGGGAGGGGACTCGTCGTTCGCCGGCAATGTCTGTGAGCGTGGGCTTTCTGAACGGAGTGCAAGAGTCGACACTGGACTCTGCTCAGAGAAAGAAGAAGGCGATGCTCTGCCCAGGAGGTGTCAGCTCATGGTGATAGTGCTACGCGGGAATCGCAAGCACTGCTGCTTTGGGGAACCACGCGCATGGAGACGATAAGAAGAGCATGTGAAACGTAAATAGCGGTGACACCGATGACTTCGGCTATAAGAAAGAGGCAGATTCTGATGAAAGCTACTCACTTCGAGGACGATCCCTGGGAGGTAGTCGTAGCCCCTGAGGCTTTTCTTGCTTTGCGCTCCTGTACTATGTTCTCATCTCTGAAGATGAGGTCGAACTCGTCCTGGTATCCTATGTAGACATGTATATTAGTACAGGCGTACCATGTCCCAGAACAGGTAAACTGACCTGGACAAGTACGACCAGATTTCTTGCACTGGCTGCAGATGGGACGTTTCTCATCACACTAAGCCACAATCAGCACACAAAGTGGAAGTCGGCGGATGAAGAGTATTGCCACATCGCAAGCTCTTCCGTTCGGGACCTACTTTAATACGGCGGGTTTTGCACATCTGGCACCCCCGGCTTGGCTTTCCCGTGTACACCATGATACGAATAGAAGGCAAGGTAGAAAAGAGCGATGACTCAGACGTAGAATTATGCCAGGCACGAGTCGAGCATTCACCCAGATATTGGAGCCTCAGTACAGGCAGTCCACGATAGAAGTAAGCTATGAAGAACCTCTGGGACAAACTCCGCCCCGAAGCACACGTCTCCCATCAAGCCTTCCAGACGCCCTGGCAGTGAGTCCTCGTAAGCGGTCGAAGCCTGAATGTGACAGTAGGGAATAAAACGGACGGGCCGAGCACAACGGGTAAGTTGAGCAACCGGGGAGACGGCGATGGCGCGTCAAAGCGAGAAGAGAGCAGCGAGCCAAGTGTCCTGATCCATATCTTGGACCGAAGAAATGGGAAAGCTATTAGCCTAGGCACAACGACGGGCTTCGGTTGGTCGAATGATACGAAAATTACACCTGGGGATAGGGCACAATCGACGTGCTTGACTGCATATAGGCATCGGGGCGTCGGAGCGACTGTGTCGCCGTTCGGAGTCGTTCACCTGCGAAAGGTGAGGGTTCGCAAGCATCACGCATTGCGGTTAGCCTGGCGTACACCGACCACGACGGTTGGCTGCGAAAGCCTGCGACGTCTGTGCTTCCTGGTGGCGCAGCAGCAATTGTAAGCGACAGCCCTGCCGTCCTGGACATACGAGCTTCCTCGAACGCTCAAGAGTCGTTGTTGCCTGAAGGACTGCAGTGTTTCGTATGGCTTGCCGCAGCGTCTGACGCAATCGTTGCCCATGGATGCAACGACTCGCACTGGTTGCAAGAATTCGAAATTACCTCTTCCAGGGGCCGTCGACTTGCGACCCAGTATCAGTTCGTCGGGCATGTTTCGAGTGAGATCCTGCGCCCTGAGCCACACTCCACTGTCTCGATGCGGGCTCATTGTGCGTGCCACTAGCATTTAAGCTTCAATGTATGCTTGTTGACGTGGATTGTGGCTCGGATGGCGGCGGGAGCCAGCTGAATCTGATATAATGCGCGGCTATTCTGCAAGGCACACTTCTCCTGAGTCTTGACAGCGATTCGATGCTATTTTCGTTGCTCCCCCTTCCAGTTATGCCCTACCAGATTCAACTGACAGTACTCGGGTCCTTCGAGTTCTACAAAGAGCCTCCCTCAGGCCCGTCGAGTTCCATGATGAACTTCACGTGTCCGTCTTTCCAGTTGACGTATGCAAACAGGACACTTACAGCTGTTCTCCTACACCCACCGGAAACTCTTCACTATCATAACTAGACTATCGACTGGAGCCATTGTAGCTTTCTCCACGTGATACGTATCTTGGTCTAAGCGAGGAATTAGTCCCAGAATACATGAATTGGTGGTTTGTCGCTCACTTGACTTTTCGATAGCAGTCTTCTATTCCAACATATCAAGTTTATCATCTCCGTCCGGTCAATCAATGGCAGGTGGATCTTTTTCAACACTGTCTACAGCCTATTTCAGATATCTACTAGAAGGGGCAAGATGTAGCCAAGGCATGAAAGGGCTTTTCTTAACGACACGCTCATTCGTAAAAGTTCAAAGTCACTGGGGTCAAAATCTACATGTATAAGGAGATCTTTGTTATCTTATCTCTATCGCCACTTGTGTAGAGAATTTTTTTTTGTTTTATTATTTTAAACAAGTTATAACTCCAATTCAACGAACTCAACACCCCGAAAACGCATCCACCACCCCATATCATCCTTAAACCCTTCCATCCAAATAACCATCGACAAAACACTACATCCAAGCCTCTCACCATTCCAGCCCTCAATCACCCTTCAAACTCCAGCACGGCTATCTCAGAAGAGACCGTCACACCGCCACACCAACACCATCAACCTTCACCCCCTGCGACCAAACCCAGGCTCAAAAAGCACCTTACACCTCCTCATCCAATTCCCATCCTCCCCCACCATCCTCTGCCACTTCCGCACCCCCTTCTTAATCTCCTTAACAATCCTTTCCCCATCCAGCACCTCCCTCCCCTCAGCTCCCGCACCCTGCCGCTCCACGCTCCTCGCCCGCTGCGAATCCTCACCACCCCGCCTCTCCCCACTCTCTCCCCGCCGCGCCCGCTCCCCGCCCTCCCTCTCCCGCCCACGATCCCTCTAATCTCGCGGCACTCGCAGATACCGCGGGTTCTCCCGCCACTTCACAGCATTCGCCCGCCTCAACCCACACGCCCCAGTCGCGCCCTCTCGCTCCGGTGGACTGAGGACCAGCGCCGGCGGCATACCCACCCCCACCCCCTCTCCCGCACCCTGTGGCTCTAGGACCGGCGTCGGCGGCACAACCACCCCCTCCTCTCCCTCCCCATAGTCCAGTGGGCGCAGCACCGGCGTCGGCGGCATAACCCCATCCAGCGGGCCCAGGACCGGCGTCGGCGGCGTGACCACGATGGCGATGGCGCAGTGCGCGGCCGCGCGCTGGTGGAGGTAGGCGTCCCACTTCTGCAGGACGCGGTGGCGGGATACCAGGGAGCGGGGGGTGAAGCACTTCCATGAGGGCTCCTTGGGTAAGGTGGTGCTGGAGTTGGGGTTGGGGAGGGCGAAGGTGTGGGAGGTGGTGTGGGTGGTGTGGGTGGTGGGGATGGGGTCAGAGTTGGGCTTGGATTTAGACTTGCACTTCCACTTGCACGGGGTGTATTTAGCGGCACGGCTGCACCTGGACTTGGACTTTGTGGATGTAGAAGCTGGGGGGATGGGGATAGCCGGCGGAGGGAGTGCGAGAGGCTCGAAGGGGCTCTGAGTTGCATGGCGGTTTGTGGATGGTGGTGGTGGCGTTGAGACCGGGACCGGCTGGGCGTGGGCCAGGGTTTCGTGGAGCCACTTGTGAATTTTACTGGTGAGGCAAGACGAGGAGATTTCGGAGGAGTCGGGGGAAGAAGAAGTAGTGGTAGAATAGGAAGACCAAGAAGAGGAAGAAGAGGCGTGAGACGCCTTTTCTTTCTTGCTTTTAGGTGCCGAGTCCATTGCGAGTGGTGTCTGGGTGTCCAGGACGTGAGTATTGGGAAAGTATCTCAAGTAGAGTTCGGAATTTGCTAAGGTATTGGTGTCGTAGCCGGATTAGAACTCTTCTAGGCGCATATTTATGCGAGAAGTATTGGAAAAAACAAGTAGTCCTGTGTGTGAGAGGTATTGGAAAAAGTAGTACTGTGTGTGGAGGTATTGGGAGATAGTTTTACTGTGTGTGCGAGGTAAGAAGAAAATGTGGGAATAGAAGATTGAACATATACCCCAGATCGAGTGCGCTCTGATTTCGGTTCCAAGTTTCGATGCGTAGCCTCAATAATCTTACCAAGATTCTCGCAATGGTGGATGATTCGGTTCCAGAGATAAGATGCGAATTTGCTGGTACAAGGTTCGGGTACCATGGTTAGGAACCACGATAAAATTGAGGATGGGTACAAAGGCAGGTACTGTTTGTGTGGCTTTGGTGTACATAGGATATCTAAGTACAGATCGCAGAGCAATGTCATAGTTAGCACGGTGGCATATGATGCATGATCAAAAATGAAAGTAGAAAGACTTCTTGTAGACATCCAAATATCTCCAATTAGCCATAAGCCCTACCTTGTCACTACTTGCGCTCTTTCGATACGCTCTGAAGATGCGGACCAGGTTTACGCTGCTCTCGAGCGCGATTTGGGTTGGCTTTCCAATACGTACCCGCCGGTACCGAGTTAGATGGTCCCAAGAGGTGGAAACCAGGGGTCACTTCGGCTATTTCCTAACATTCGTCAAAGAGCCGTGAGCTCCTCAATACACCAGCACAGCAGAAAAGCTAGGTATTGATGCCAGGCACATTGCTAGTATTAGCTACGCACACACGAGAGCACAGGTTACAGGAGGGAAGAAAGTAAGATGCTAAGGTGGATGACTGAAAGGGACAAACGGGCTCCTCAGGCAGAGACACTCTCGTGTACGCCAGCCAGGTTCTAGCTTCTAAACCTCCACACCCACGTGTGGTATGCGCCGTCATGCTATTTCGTGCCGATTGTGAATTGGGATGTACAAAGTGTTGGGGTATTTTGATCAAGAAGGGAGAATAGTGGCAGAAGGTAAGCAGAGCGAGCACATCGATCTACAGAGGCACGGACTTTTCGGGGACCAGGACGATGTGCTCTTGCGTGGTTGACGGTCGTTCCGCAGGCTGAGCATTGCTGTCCGTGGAATCGAAAGTCGAGCCCCGGCGGACTTTGAGCTTGTTCTCAGCATGCTCTGAGATTCTTGTGAGCTCGCGGACGAAAGACTGGCCCCACCACGCGCTAGAAACAGAGTTAGCTATCGGCAGGAGTCTTTGTGAGTATGTTATCTACCTCGTGTACTTGTTGACATATTTGGCCATTTTCTGGTAGTTGATGGCACGCTGTTCATCGCCCATGGTCACGGCGTCGTGGATCGCGTCGGCCAACTCTTCCGTGTTCCACGGGTTGACTATCAAGCTGCCATTCAAACTCTGTGCCGCTCCCGTAAATTCGGATAGTATCATGACTCCGTGACGTTTCTGCTGCGTAGCGATGTATTCGTATGAGACCAGGTTCATGCCATCGCGGGTGGAAGACACGAGACAGACGTCGGATACGGCGTAGAGAGCGATCAGCTCGTCGAATGAGACAGATTTATGCATGAAGTGGATGGGCATAAATTCGATCGTGCCTATTAATGTTAGTAAGATGGTGCGCACTCCTGTTCCTAAACGTACCGAATTTGCCGTTTATCCTTCCCACAAGCTCATTCACAACAGCACGTAGATTCTGATACTCCTCGACGTCTTGTCGACTGGGCACTGCTACCTGCACTAATACCACCTTGCCTATTTGATCAGGGTGCTCGGTGAGGAAAACCTCAAGAGCGTGAAGCTTCTGAGGTACTCCCTTGATATAATCGAGGCGATCTACGCCCACGATGAGCTTGACACCCTGAAACTTGCGCTCCAGAGTAGCTATGCGCTCTTGGACTTTTGGCTTCTTGAGACCTTCTTCGAATTTCTCGGGGTCAATGCCGATAGGGAATGCACCCACGGTCACAAGCTTCCCTTGAAACTCAACCCCATTTGGCGTAGTCGCCAATCCACTGTCAAGAAACGTCAGTGCACGCTTTTCGGGCCAAACCGTCTGGTCGGAGTAACCTACAGGATTCTTGAACAGCTGCTCAGGAAATGGCGGGCGTAATCGTAGGTATGGAACCCGATGAGATCGCAATGGAGTACGCCGAGCAATATTTCGTTGCGGACCGGAAGAATCCGATATATCTCGCTACTCGGGAAAGGTGTGTGCAGGAAGAAGCCCAGCTTGACATTTTTCTTGGAAGTTCCAATTTCCTCACGTAACATGGCAGGGAGCAGCATCAGATGGTAGTCGTGGACCCACACCATATCGTTGTCGTTCACATCAGCTGCAATTGCTCGCGCGAACAAGCGATTCGCTTCGGTGTAGGCATTCCAGGCCGACTCGTCGAATGTGATTTCTCCAGGATGGTAGTGGAAGAGTGGCCAGAGGATAGAATCTATAAGACAGCTGTTAGCTTCGTGTCGCATTACGCACACTGGCAGGTGCCGCAACGTGTATACGAACTTGAGAAGCCGTTGTAATGCCTGTCCGCGAGCTCGTCATCCAGCATTATTGGTACAGCATTGTATTCGTCCTTCAGCCGGGCTTTCAGCTCGGGTATCTCGTTTTCGGGCACCTCAAGACCTGGCCAGCCGTACCACTGGAAGGTGGTGGATTTGGAGAGGCCGCTCAATCCGCTAACCAACCCGCCAGAGGACATGGAGAAGTCATATTTCCCCTCATCTGATCGCTTGATTGTAATGGGCAGCCGATTGGAGACAAGAAGCAGGCGGCCGTCGGTCTTGGGCTCTTCTGTAGCGGCCGGCATGTTGGTGGAGGGAGAATGGGTTTCCAGGAAGCTGGAGCTAGTTAGACGGGGAGGACAGAACAATGGTGTTGAGCTGACTCTGGAGATTCTCCACCACAAGGAAGATTTCACCGAACGGCTGGTGGAGGAATTGGTACGGTGACGGAAGAATGATCGGGTAGTTGAGGAGGTGTACTCGGGCTGGTCCGCAAGCGTCCTGTGCGGCGAGGACTGGTGAGTACGAGGGAAATAGTGGGCCGAGGTCGGTGAAATGGAGGTCACGTAGCGAAGGTTCTGGCAGGAGCAGCGGGCGATAGTGGGTAAGGTGAGGCGGAATTGGGTTGTGGTTGGGAGAAACGGCTGGCTGCACAGCTATACAGACAAGCAAACAGCACTCTCATGACCGTTTATTGACGTCGCGGCAAGCATGGACCAGGCGAGGCCTAGCAACGTTCCAAGATTCTTCCATTCTATTTACAGCGCCCAGGAGGCCAGCTCGCCCTCATCTGGCGGTGCAGCATCGGGCAGCAGTGAACCTGGGCAGAGTGCCGCCGCAACCGAGCCACAGCGGACTCTTCTCCCGTCGTTCAGGCACGTCAAAAGCTGCACAGCTGCATCCCGCTGTCCCGCGAGCAACCCGGACTGACGCAACCCGGCCCGATCCAGCCTAGCCGACCAGAAAGCCGCCGGCGCTGTCTCCGCATGGACGATCACCTTTCCCACGCCGCCATTCTCAACACCACACGCGTCTATATCAACAACGCGCCATGTCCGACTCCGACGCGGGACCAGCGCAGGTCTCTGCCGCCAAGATCGAAAAGGCCTTGCGTGATGCTGTCATTGATATCTGGAAGTCTGGCAACACCTACGACCTTACTGTGAAACGCGTCCGTACCGTCGCCGAACAGGAACTCGACTTGCCAAAAGAATTCCTTAAGGGTGCTGACTGGAAAACAAAAAGCCACCAAATCATTCACAACCAAGTGGTATGTTTTCCTGCACGTGCACCAAGCTGTATACATAACTAGCACAATCTATATGCTGCATTGTGGGCTGACTGTATGTGTGTACTAGGACCAGTGCCAAAACGATAATGCTCCTTCTAGCCCGGCATCCGAACCCAGTCCTCCGAAAAAGAAGGCCGCCCCTGCGAAGCCGACCCCGAAACCCAAAGCTGCGCCAAAGAAGGCCAAGGCGGCTGATCCTCCACGAGGCGTGAAGAGGAAATCTCCAGCTTCCAAGCCCAAGCCCCAGAAGCGCAGGAAGGTTGTTTCGTCTGACGAGGACGAGGAATCAGATGCCCCAGACTCAGTACAATCGCCTAGCGATTCTGATTTGGAAGACGGCCCCACAAAACCTACTCGACGAGCAGCTGCGAAAGTCAAGAAGGTGGACTCGGACGAGGAGATGAGTGATGCATCAGCAGGAAATGGCAGTAAAACGTCAGACGATGAGAGCAGTCAGAAGAAGGAGACGAAAGCTAGCAAGGCCACGAAGGATGTCTCCGAAAGCGAGCTGTCAGACGTACTAGACGAACCTCCACCGAAGGCACCGCGAACGAAAAAGGCCACAAGCGGCCCCAAACCGCGCGAATCAAAGCCCAAGCCTGTTGGAAAAGACCTTACTCCCCAAGAGGCCGAGATCAAGCAGTTGCAGAGCCATCTAGTGAGCTGTGGAATCAAAAAGGTGTGGGCTCGGTATCTCGCTCCATACGACACCCCGAAAGAAAAAATCAGTCATCTTAAAGAATTGCTGAGGGATGCCGGGATGGATGGACGATACACCCTTGAGAAGGCACAGAAAATTAAGGCGAAACGTGAACTGGACGCCGAGTTGAATGCTGTGCAGGAGGGTGCAAAGGCCTGGGGCAACCCAGAAGATGTTGGGGGAAGGCCACGGAGAGCAGCGGCGAGAGCTTCTAAGCCAGTTGCTCCTATCAAATTCGATTCAGATGATTCGGGGGAGGAAGAAGACGGCGGAGACGGTGACAGCGACGATGCTGTTGAGGACAACGGTGATGGTGAAGACGACGAGGACGAAGAGTCGGAGGAGTCGGCCTTTTCAGGTTCAGACTCGGACTGAAAGGAGCGTCGATGGGTTACCAGGATGCTGCGAGTATTACTAGCGTCAGGCGTCCTGGAAGCGTTTGCTCTGTGGTATGAATGTAGTGTGATGGTCTTCATAGCGGGCGCGAGAGAACTCATTGCTGGTAGAAGATGAAAACGTGGTGCCAAGACGAGGGGAAGGAAAGGCGGGTTGGACTGTGTCGAGTGTCGCAAAAGCGACCGGAGTAGTTCTTATATCAATATACCCAACATCAGCTGTGGTCATGGTAGCCAATTTGATAGTCAGTGTACCACTGTCTGTGGTGCTTCAGTGAGTCGAATCACGATTGTACAAGATTAAATGTCTGCCGCAGTCTGATGCGGGCCAACTCTTGAACACTTTGCCAGCCCTTTGACCTTGCTAGGCCACCCCATGGGTATTCCAGATAACGCCAAGCTCTTCATAATTCGTGAAGCCCAAACGCCTTTTCTACGCCTATGCCTCCCGGCACAGTGAATGATAATGCTATCCTGGCGTACATCCTCTGGAAATAAACTTTTGAAATAAAGCCGATAGCTGTCCTCAGCCTGCAATCCGTTTCTCAGTCATGCGTTGGGCCGCAAGACTAAAGACTGCAACTGAGGACATGAAAAGAACTAGATTGTAGAACTACAACCCATATTAGATGTATTCTGAATGTATACTTGCATAGATGGATCAGTACCGCGTTTCTTGAGTAGGCAGTCTCTTCAGCGTCAGTTCGTGCCTCTACGAACAGCCTCCGGAGATTGGGGAGATTAGAAGGCTGCGATGATATTGAGCTGAGCCAAGTAATATAGCCATTTGAAAAGAGACAAACCATTCTCTGTAGCTTCTACGAAGCGCTTGCCTACTGGCACTCCCAGAATATTGACGTTGTTTGCGGATGGCGTGGACGAGAGGTTCGAGCCTCGCCAATCGCCATCGGGGACTTCCCGCCATTCACGACAAGGCCACCACTTCCGCGACCTCAAATCTGATCAGCATCACCACAACGCCTTCAACCCACCGCTTGCACCCTGTTCGAAGTCGAAACCTCCCGCTAAACCTCCCCAAAACGAGTTCTCAGCCCCGTCGCCCCCGCGCACACCCCTCCGCGAGCTAGCGATCACCACCTAACAAATCTCGAATTACATGAGGGCGGCGCCTGCGGTCGTCACCTCTGCAGCTGAAGGGTAGAGATGGCGGTCAACAGGATAAGAGGCGCCTTCGCGGTACCTAGGAAAGGGGAGACATTCGAGCTGAGGGCAGGTCTGGTGTAAGAGCATCCGTAGCATGTTAGTCTATTATGCGCCGTACTGATCATGGCTCCAGGTCTCAATATGCATACGAAAGGTTCGTCTGCGCGGAACTACAAATGTTTGAAGCTATCTGCTAAATCTCTCATAGGAAAGAGGCTATCCAGAAGACGATCATGTCTATGACGTTGGGCAAAGACGTGTCCGCGTTGTTTCCAGATGTCCTCAAGAATATAGCAACATCTGATCTGGACCAGAAAAAACTAGTCTATCTATACTTGATGTAGGTCTGTCCCCGGCGCATACTCGCACCTGGATCTAACAACATTGGTCAGGAATTACGCCAAATCACATCCCGACCTCTGCATTCTCGCGGTAAACACTTTCGTTCAAGACTCCGAAGACCCCAATCCTCTGGTGCGCGCGTTGGCAATACGGACAATGGGTTGCATTCGGGTTGACAAAATGGTGGACTACATGGAGGAACCTCTAAGAAAGACTCTACGGGACGAATCTCCTTACGTTCGGAAAACCGCTGCCCTATGTGTTGCGAAACTCTTCGACCTCAACCCCTCGATGTGCCTGGAGAACGGATTCCTGGAGTCTTTACAAGAAATGATTGGCGATCCTAACCCCATGGTGGTAGCGAACTCCGTAACTGCGTTGGTGGAAATTCAAGAGTCAGCACCAGAGACGAAGGCATTCGCTATAAATGCAGCCACGTTAAAGAAGATGCTCATGGCTCTCAATGAGTGCACGGAATGGGGACGGGTCACCTTACTCACAACTCTCGCGGACTACAAGGCAATAGACACAAAGGAGGCAGAACACATTTGCGAAAGGGTGTCCCCGCAATTTCAACACGTCAATCCAAGTGTGGTGCTCGCAGCCGTCAAAGTTGTGTTCCTCCACATGCGACATGTTGGTCCTGAACTTGCCAAATCCTACCTTAAGAAAATGGCCCCTCCTCTAGGTATGTATAGATGCCAATGCTTGTAATAACCGGCGCTAACACCCCCAGTTACCTTGGTCTCATCTGCACCTGAGGTCCAGTACGTTGCCCTGCGAAACATCGACCTAATACTGCAGAAGCAACCGGATGTTCTCAGCAAGGAAATGCGAGTCTTTTTCTGCAAATATAACGACCCTCCCTATTTGAAGCTCGAAAAGCTAGAGATCATGGTTAGGATTGCAAACGACAAGAACGTCGACCAGCTCTTGGCAGAACTGAAGGAGTACGCTATGGAGGTTGATATGGACTTTGTCAGGCGTGCAGTCAAGGCAATCGGTCAGGTGGCTATCAAGATTGAGAGTGCGAGCGAGAAGTGTGTTAACACTCTCCTTGATCTCATTAATACCAAGGTCAACTACGTTGTGCAAGAAGCCATCGTGGTCATCAAGGATATATTCCGGAGATACCCTGGATATGAAGGTATCATTCCCACGCTTTGCCAATGCATTGATGAGCTCGACGAGCCGAATGCTCGAGGTGCTCTCATTTGGATCGTTGGAGAGTATGCGGACAAGATCAACAATGCCGGCGATATCCTTTCTGGATTCGTTGATGGGTTTAGCGAGGAGTTCACACAGGTTGGTTCGATCCTATGTCTTGAAATTGGCGGAAGCTAACCTGCACGTCAGACACAACTACAGATTTTGACGGCTGTGGTCAAACTGTTTCTCAAAAAACCGGACCAATCGCAAGGTCTAGTACAAAAGGTTTTGCAGGCGGCCACCGCGGAAAACGACAACCCCGATATCAGAGACCGAGCATACGTATACTGGAGACTGCTATCCAGTGACCCACAAATTGCAAAGGTATGCCTTATTGTCTCCCTCATGAATAATAGTACTAATGATTGCTCAGAACATCGTCCTGTCTGACAAGCCTCCAATCACATCCACAATCCAATCACTACCGGCGCCTCTCCTCGAGCAACTTCTCACAGAACTTTCAACGCTAGCGTCAGTGTATCACAAGCCACCAGAGACATTCCTCGGACAGGGCCGATTCGGAGCAGAAGCTATGCAAAAGGCTGCAATTGAGTATGTTTTGCCGTTTCCCAACCTCCGTAATACTTTACTTACCTTCACAGGGAGCAACAACAAGAGGCTCGAGAAAACCCGATCGCGGCAGCCGCCGCTGCTGCAGCTGTCTCAGGAGGGACAGCTCCGCAGAACGCAGAGAATCTCCTCGACTTCGATTTCGATGGCTCGGCGCCTGCATCAATGCAAACAAAGCCACCGCCGGGATCCTCAGGTTTGGAGGGTCTCGCTGGTACACCGCAGAGAGTTGCATCCCCGGCATCCAATGCGCCAGCGAACAACATGGACGACTTAATGGGTCTATTCGGGGACAACAACCCCAGCATGACGGCGCAGATGACGAACGACGACATACTGAACGGGTTTGGAGGCTTAAATCTTGGAGGCTCCAGCCAGCCTCCGCCCGCGAATCAGCAGCTGGGTAGTCCGGCGGGACCAAAGAGCAACCAGGAGCTTCTGGATTTGTTTTAATGCAGGGTGCCGCGGAATGGTGCAGGTGGATTAGCGTGTGTAACACTTGTTAGAGGTTGGTAGCGGGCGGCAACTGGCAGAGCCAGTGCAGTAGCGGACGAGTAGCAATCCAGCAGTAATCACACAAAATACTACAGGGCCTCCTCATGAGTCTGCATGCTGAGCCGTCACTGTTTGAGATGCTTTAACGTGATTTCAGAAATGTAAATACGATGGAGGCTCTCAAACACTAAAGATTGGGGCTACCATAATCTCTCAGCATTATGCTTTCTTCAGCGCTACTTGAGCCGCTCCAAGCAGTTGCATCCGCGAACAGTGGCAAATTTATGTCTCGATTGTTTGCCAGGTTTCCCTGAGGAAATCAACTTGTCTGATCACGGGCCGCGCTGCACGAGCCCGTTGCCTGGGAGAATCTTGGAAGTAAGCGGTGCCCGCATATACTGTCTAACTTTAGCTCGAAATCGCGACTTCAGAAAATGTATCACGAAGTCAGTGAAATATTGCACAGCGGTAAAGCTGACTCTTGTAACTTGAATTTAGAACATATTGCTAGTCTTCTGGATACTCTCAATTGTCCCTGAAGACCTTTCCACGGTTACAAACTTGGGTACTGGCATCTATGTTTGGGTCGGGTTTGGTCTGGATTGCTTGCACTGTAGTGGACACGCTGAAAAAGCCACTTGTGCTGCCTGCCCACCTGCTGTGGCGTAAGCGGGCAGCGTCATAATAATGCATTCACCAGCTCGCGATTTGCCCTGCCTACCCGCCCGCCAGCGCCAAATACCCGTGGGGCCCTTCAAAGTCTCAGACACCCTGCCACCACCTCACCTCGGACCGCCCGAGTTCTAGCTGAACGTCTTTATCACCATGTTCATGCTCAGGAACGGTATGTCTACCCCCGCCAACCCATTGTTTGGAACCCCTTCCTTTCATTTACTGCGCCTCCACTGACACAACACTCCAGTTAGCAAGTTCCTCTTCGGCGACGCATCAAAGGAATCCATTATCGAGATCCCCCAGGGCCAGCTCTACCTCGTCCGACCTCTCTCCGTCAAGGGCTACTCCGAGCTCATCTTCAAGGACGCGGCAGCCTCGATCCGCCGCACTGGCCAGGAGTTCCAATACCAGCTCGTGATACAGCGCGCATACGAGGAAGGCGAGGAAGAGCTTCTCGCGGAGGAAGACGGCGACGACGCTGCTGTTGAGGGTCTCGGCGGGGAAAAGGACGAGAAGACCTTCCTGCTCGACCCAAGCCTCCAGTTCCGGACCGACATCCGCCAAACGGGGGAGAAGGTCTTTGCGTGGCGCGACTTGAGCGGCGACTACGGTGATCTGTGGGAGTTTGTGTGCGACTCCGCTGTCCAGCCAGAGACTGCGGCACTGTTCGAGCGCGTGGCTCTCCAGTGCCAGTACGAGAGGAAGTTCCGTCGGAGCCACGAGCGCGCCAGTGAACAGGATCTAGAGGACCTTTCCTACGACGAAGAGCCAATTCCAGAAGCTAGCCCGCTTGCCAGCCCGGTGTCTAGATCTCCAGTCCTCCCGCCTACTCCTGACGCTACGGCCTTGTTCCCGAATACCACCAAGGAGAAGATGTCTAAGAAGGTCGTCGGCAAGGGCAAAGAGCCCGTGCAGGAAGAGGGACCGACAGTCGCACCTCCATCTGCAGCTCTGCCTGAAAGCCGCGAGGTGTTGGCTGACGACGTTGCGGAGCTACACCTCTTCGACTTTCCCTCTGGAACTTTCATAAAGCAGGACCCCGAAGTCCATGCGAGAGTCTTGGAAGTGGGCAATTGGGAATATTGGCTTCAGATCACTGGCAAGGACCGAGAATGGCTCGGACAGCCTATCATTCCTGAGATCAACCCCGTTTTCAACTTCGAATACCAGTCCTTCATCTTCAATCACTACTTGGAGGATGGCTCCGCTTACTCTTGGCTCTTGAAGTTTCCGACTGAAAAAGGCTTGGAAAACTTCCAGTCTGGGACCATGCAGGCGCTGTGGGAGCATCTCAATCAGATCAAGTGGGCGAAAGCCAAGGAGACTGATCAGCAGTACGTGCTTGATGCCTTCAACGATCTCACGATGGAAGACGCTCCAGATGAAGAAGAGGAAGAGGAGGAGGACTATGAAGGTGCAGATGATGGGAAGCGCAGCGAGCATTACGACAGTGATGAGTCCGAAGACGATGTTGTCACCCGCGATGAGGATGGCAATGTCAACTCTCAGCTCGCTGTGGGCTACAAGCATGATCGGTCCTTCGTTGTCCGAGGATCCAAGATCGGGGTCTTCAAGCATACTCCGGACAATCATCTGGAGTTCTCGACCAACATCTCTAAAGTTCAGACGCCTAAGGGCAAGCTGTTTAGTCCGAACAAGGTCATGCTGCATGCTGAGGATACAAATATGATTCTGCAGAACACGGATGATCCCAACTCGCTCTACCGTATGGACTTAGAGTACGGAAAGGTGGTGGACGAATGGAAAGTTCACGACGACATCACTGTCAGGACCTTCGCTCCAGAGAAGGTAAGTCTCAAACGATCTTCCCGTCTTAGATCTGTCGACTAACAAACTGCAGAAATTCGCCCAAATGACCGGCGAGCAGACCTTCCTCGGCCTCTCAGGCAACGCCCTCTACCGCATCGACCCCCGCCTCGCCGGCAACAAGCTCGTCAACACCGACCTCAAGACATACGTCAGCAAGAACGACTTCTCCGCCGCCGCCACGACCGAAAAGGGCCACATCGCCGTCGCCTCCAACAAAGGCGACATCCGCCTCTTCGACCGCCTGGGCATCAACGCCAAAACCCTCATCCCCGCGCTCGGCGACCCCATCATCGGCATGGACGTGTCCGCCGACGGGCGCTGGGTGCTCGCCACGACGCGCACCTACCTCCTGCTCATCGACGCCCTCCAAAAGGACGGCAAGAACGCCGGCAAGCTCGGCTTCGAGAAAGCCTTCGCGAAGGACGACAAGCCGCAACCCCGCCGCCTCGGCCTGACGCCCAGCCACGTCGCGCAGTTCCAGCACGAGACGAAGCAGCCCATCGCCTTCACGACGGCGCACTTCAACACGGGCCTCGCCGATAAGGAAACCACCATCATCACGGCGACCGGCCCGTTTATTGTCACGTGGAGCCTGAAGAAGGTGCTCGCGAACCGCAAGGATCCGTACAGCATTAAGCGGTATAGCGAGGAGGTCAAGGCGGATAATTTCAAGTTTGGCAGTGATAAGAATCTGATTGTGGCGCTGCCGAATGAGGTGAATATGGTGGCGAAGCGCGCGCTGCAGCGGCCGACGCGGGAGAGTATTGCGAGTCCGGCAAGGGTGGGCACGCCGCGGAGGAGTGGGGCGAGGGGGAGTTATTTGGGGCGGAATGAGATTGTTAATAGTCCGTTTTAGGTTGGGCTGGGGGGTGGCTGGTTAGTCGCCGAGCATGGTTGGGGAGGTAGGTTATGGCGAGGATGATGATGGACGACTCCGGATGGCTGTGGAGAAAAGGCTCTCTCTTCTCACCGGCGTTGGACATGGACGGGTGATGAAGGAGGCGATTTTGATGCTGTGTAACTTGCCCTTTTTTCTTTTTTGCTTAATTGATTCCCCCCTAGTCTTTTTCTTGTTCACGAAAGATGGATGATCGGTGGAGGCAGAAGGGCTGCGGATAGGTAGAGCCGTTAATACAAGGTCTGAGGAAAATGATCTGGTGCTGTGGTACGTGAGGTCGACGCAAAGTGGATAATTCTTTCTTGTTTTGTCTGGTTTGACGAAGATTAACGGTGAAGGTAGAAGATGTGATACGGGTAGAGCCACGAACACGAGACGTGAGCGAAACAGAGATAGGCCATCGAACTATTGTGTTGTGAGGGCTGCGTATGGGTAGGGTTGTGGACGCGAGACGTGAGAAAAACAGAGATAGACCATCGATCCATAGCGGCTCGTGAGCAACGCAGAGCTAACCCATTGACGCACGTGTTGAGAGCGGCTGGCGAGACGTGAAGTTGAAGCAAGAGTGGATGGGTGGGCAAGAGTGGGGAGAGGAGAAGGAGATTGTGCTGGGGAACCGAGCATCACATCAGCATCATCTCTGGCTACTCGAGCAGGGCGTAGAGAGGGGAGGGGGGGGGGGCGATTGCGGGTGCGGCGTGCATGAGTTGAGGCTAGGGGTGCCAGCGGTATGAGTGAGGCAAGCGGATGAGGGTAGTGTGACGGCAGCATGTGAGGCGAGCGGAGGGACAGTCAGTACGAACGCAAGCACTCGAGGAAAGCGGAGACTTTTGGCAGGTTAAATGTGACAGATCAGTTTTCTCATCCCACCTACGAACGTTTCTTGCATTCTGGATCCGGCCAACGCACTTACATGACCATACAATAGCCTCCGGTCCGCCTGCCATTCGCTCAACCCACCCGCGTTGATCACGGCAGAGAGGAGCTGCAGACGACGCTCGACGAGCGATTGCGTCTTCGATTGTGAGGGGAGCCTGGAGCACTGCACGCGCTGGTTCGTCGCCTTGTCGCTGCGGATCGGTGCATCCGGGCGTTCCCCGCGCGCTGTGATGGGATGGCTGCACTGTTGCATGCATGAACAAGGCGGTGTGATGCATGGAATGGTTATGATGTGCTTCAAACTCGCAGCTTGCAGAAAGCAAGTTGCAGGTGCGGATGGGGTCACGGGGCGGAGTGGATTCCGACGGTTCTATCGTCACTTCCCTACTAGGAGGTACTTTCTCACAAGCTTGCAATTGGGGTTGAGTCTTGTTCATTGGTCTGTTGATGCGGACTTGGGAAACCTGGAGAGGGGCGGGTGGCACGACGTCGATGTCGACGTCGTTGATGTTTTGGCGGTAACTGCCCGTAATGCTGCGGTATAGTGGGAGGAGGATGGCGGCGGTGTTGGAGTGTTGTTGGTCCCCAAGCTCTGGGACAAGGCTGATTGACTAGCGGGGATCGGGTCGTAAGGCTGATCGACGGCCGGCCCGATTAGTCGGGATCGGGTCGGAGATACTCCTACCTACCTGTGGACTTCGACCTTTTGCTTTTTCGGTATTTGTGAGATATCATGGTGCTTCAAGTGGGCGGCCTCGGTTTCCCAGTCTGGCGATACTCAGTTGCCCAGGTGGGTATTTGTGATGATTCAGCGGCATGCTTCCAGGTTCGTTCTTAACTGTTGGCTGGATTACCTCTTGGTGGAAAACAAGCATACCCGTGGCTTAATCTGGATGGAGATTTGATTGGTTCCACCTGTAGATTCCTTGAAGAACATGCTCGTTAACAGAGACGGCAGTACAAGGAAGATGCTGTTGTGCGACAGCTGTCAAGAACGTGGCGTCACTTTATCAAACATGGCGTTTGCGGGCACCATGGAGACTCGCTGTTGTGTCACCGGGATTCCTGCATCGAAGGTTGTCAAGAAGATGCAGATGCAGGCTTCTGCAGCATGCAATCCTTCGGGATCGACGACTATACGGCTTTCGATTCGGGTCGCAGTAGCCTCGCCCGATACCTTTCTTTTTCTCCATTAGTTCAGACAGCCTTCTAACCGACTGTCCATCCAGCCAAGACAGTGCAGGTGGGAGGAGATAGATGCCAGAGTATTGATGGATGCATCACCGCCGCCTTGTGTCTCTGGGATGCGCCGTGGACGGTCAGCCCTCCCGGCAAAGATGGAATGAGACGTCGGCATCAAACGCCGTCCCAGCAAAGATGGATGGCAAGTCTTCAAGCGAACCGGCGTACCATACTGTCGGATCTATCTTGCATCCTTCGCCCCGCGCTGCAACAAGTCATACGGACAATTGCATCCAGGCGCGCCGCCTCGATGGATGGCAGACCGCTACCTCGGGACTGAATTCGGCATTATTTCGTTCCAAATCCATGGCGCCTTGGCCCAGGAAAGAGTAGTCATGTTCATGACGTGGCACGGAGAGGAGACAAAATTTTACCACATTGCGTGTTGAAAAGGAAAGGTGGAAAATGACCAAGTGGCCAGCACAGGAGGCTAGCCTCGGAGTGGTCCGCTTCCACCCGTCGTTCCCGTCTCCATGCAGGTGGATGCAGAAAGGGAGAAGCTTCAAAAGAGCCCGCTATGCTGCTGCTTTTGCGACTTGGAACCCCACGAATCTATCAGCACTACCAGCACCATGTCAGTGCAAATGCCGAAGGCGAATGGTGCAAGCTGCTGCCGCGTCATTGAAGACTTGACGTTCCGCACAAGACTGCGACGCTGCTACGCTGAGGAATGATGAAGTGCTATCTGAGGTGGATATTGAGTAGGCGCTGCACCACATCGGGCGCAAGGTGTCGTGCAGGATAACGGCGCCCTATCATGCCACGCTGCAGATGTCCCCATGTCCCGTTGGAGGAAGTGGTACTCGGGGCCGTGGGATTCTTTTGATAAGCCGATGGTATATCGTAACGCCTTGTACCTTGGCCTCCGACGACGATAACTCACGCTCGGCACTGCTCGGCGACAATGGCACCAATTAGAGCCGGGCCTCACCGCCAGAAAGACGACATTCGTCGACGACAGGGAGTTGGCGCCGCACGACAGTGTCACCGTGGTGATGAGTCGCGTTGGCCCGGGGTCGTTCACGATTCATAGCCGCGACCATCGGCACAAGACGACGCAGCATTGGTCACGGCTGCCGATTCAGGAGACCAGCAACGTCCGCAAGAGAGAGAAATTGAAGTGCGCATTTGGCGAGGCGGGGGCCGCACGGGTCAGTTTCAAGGCGAGTTCTAGCGTTGCTCCTCCCGCTGGTGGTTTCAAAACTACACGAACGGCTTCGGCCTTGCGCCCGGCTCAGATATCTACATAGCGCCTAGACGCTCGCCGTGAACAGCACTCCGGGAGCACCTTTCCTGGCCCGTCCTCACTTGTTGCTCCCGGCACCGTGGTCCCGCCAACCAGGTCCTGCTCGGCCATTTGACACGCAACGTGCCCGCGCCGGCTGCGCTCGCGACGGTTGATTGATGCCCTTGCCCGGCCTCGTGGCTGCACAGCAGAGGCATCGTCCAGCGGGCCACCCTCTGCGATCATCGTCGCCGTCGTACAGATCCCGCGACGGGCCCGCGAGGCCTGCACGAAGACCTGTCCCAATCGAGCCGCCCCCACCCCCCATTCATCCGTCACCCACCGCCAATCCTCGTACCGCTCGTCGACCACTCAGCAGTAACCCTCCTGTGCAGCTCCAGCCTCCTTCGGCACGTGTGCCTATCCCTGGCAGCGAGCGCGGAGCCTGGATGCCCTGACCGAGCTAAGCAGCTACGGGCACGAAGTAACGGCATGTTGGCTGCCAGCAAGGTCCGTCCTGCTGCTCGTCTCGTCGGCGCGCCCTGCTACACCGACCCCTCGCCGATTGGCAAGATATATAGAAGTATGTCTCCCGTATGACGCCGTGTTGCAATCCTTGCCCTTCCTTTCATCTCTCACCCCTCCCTCGAGTCCATCATCCCACCTTCCTACCTTTGTACCTCTCTGTACACTCTTCCCGCTTTCCCTCCTGCCGTCTGCGGGCACCATTCAATTCACATAGGCACTTCGTCTCCATGACCGGTTGGTAACCGTTGCAATGGCAAATAGTCAACCCCTCCAGCCTTCCATCTCGGAGAAGCAGCCGGGTTCTGCGGCTCAATCGCCGCCATTGGCCCATACCGACTCTAAATCATCGCAAAAAGAAGCCGAAGCTACTTCTCTGCAGCCAGGCCCACGGCAGATGGCGACGATTCAAGACGACGACGAACGTCTGCTTGCGCGGATAGGCTACAAGCAGGTTCGTGACCTATGCTTCCCGCGCTAGATCCTTCAGCAGTTGACACGCTCTTAGGAGCTCAGACGAGAGTTCAACAAATGGTCTACGGTCTCCTATGCCATATCCATTCTAGGCGTGCTAGGTTCAGTACCTGCTACGTTCGGCAGCCCTATCAATGCCGGAGGACCAGCAACCGCAGTATGGGCATGGTTCATTGGGAGCGTTATGGCCATGTGCATAGCTAGCTCGGGTACGTGTCCCTTGTCCTTCTGAATTCATCTTCTCAGTACTGATATTCACAGTGGCTGAGTTGGTATCCGCGTATCCCACTGCGGGTGGCATGTACTTTGTCACCAAACACGTCGTGCCGCCAGAGCACGTAGCCATCTGGGCCTGGGTTATCGGGTGGTGCAACTTGCTCGGTCAGGCGGCAGGTGTGGCCAGTGTGGCATATACCGTCTCGCAGATGATTCTTGCAGCCGCCGTCATGAATTCGTCTTACGTGGATGGAACGTATTCCTTCACACCGTATGAGTCACGTCCCCCTATCAGGTCTTCACGATCTCACATTACTTCGCAGGACCGCCTTGCAAACCGTACTACTCACCATCTTGATCCTATGCGTATTTGGCGTCATCTGCTCGCTAACCACCAGATGGTTGCACAGGATTGTCATATGGTTTGCTCCAATCAATGGTCAGTCTCTTCTTCTAGCCCTTTCTTACTTGCTTCTAACGGCCCCTGAAGTCATTGCTTCGATCAGCATCTGTATCGCTCTCTTGGTCTTGACGCCCGAAAAGCAGAGTGCTAAGTGGGTATTCACGGAGGTCGACGATGGTACAGGCTGGGGCAGCAAAGGCTTTTCTTTCCTCCTAGGGTAATTACTGGACGTCTCTCACCGATGAATAAACCACTAACCTTGTTAGATTTTTGTCGGTTGCATGGACGATGACGGACTATGATGGGACAACACAGTGAGTTCCTACCCCTGTTCATGCAAGTAAGCAAGTCTGACATAACACCCCTTCAGTATGTCGGAGGAAACCCACGATGCAGCAATTCGCGGCCCTGTGGCGATTAGGGCGGCAGTCCTCGTGTCTGGAGTCGTCGGCTGGATGTTGACCGTGACCTTCTGCTTCTGCATGTCAGATTTCGAAGGAATCATGAGTTCACCAACGGGGTTGCCAGTTGCACAGATCTTCCTCAATGCAGGAGGTCGGACCGGAGGCACCGTGATGTGGTCTTTCGTCATCCTAGTCCAGTTCTTCACCGGTTGCTCCGCCATGCTCGCAAACGCAAGGATGGCATATGCCTTTGCTCGCGATGAGGCGATTCCATTCTCAGGGTACGGACCCTAGTACACCCCTTTCGAGCTAAGCCGTGATGCTAATCGATAGTTAGGTTCTGGAGCAAGGTCAGCCGCCATACGCATACGCCCGTCAATGCTGTTTGGCTTGTCGTCCTCTTCTGTAGCTGCCTTACCCTGATTGGCATCGGCAGCACATTGACCATCGTCTCCATTTTCAACATCACGGCCCCTGCACTAGATCTTAGCTACATTGCCGTCATAATTGCTCACCGGGTCTACGAGAACAGAGTCCAGTTCATCGAAGGTCCATATAGTCTGGGGAAATGGAGCAAGCCCATCAACGCGATCGCAGTCTCATGGGTTATCTTCATCAGTATAATTCTATTCCTCCCCACCATCCACCCAGTTACGGCTGCCAACATGAACTACGCCGTCTGCGTTGCTACTTTCATTGCGCTATTTAGCATGTCGTGGTGGTTTATGGGGGCAAAAGAGTAAGTGCACGACTTTTCCCATTCGCGCCGGAGGAGATGTTAACATTCTGATAGCAAGTACACCGGCCCACGCACGAAAGACCTCCTAGACATGCTTCCAGCCGAGGACCCAGAAGAAATACTCCGCGATTACGCTTGAGCAGCATCGATACCAACCTGACTCAATCTACATCTAGACATTGGCGGCATTTTGCATTCTCATTAGCGTTATACCATACGAACGGCATTTCGGGAGTTCATCTTTCAGCTGGTCCTTTCAGCGATTTTCGATTTTCTTTTTGCATGAAGAAGCATATAGATCGATGCGAAGGGAGGACAGCGCAAGCGAATTAGCAACACATCATACATATTTTAGAGAAGAGAAGATACCCTTAGGAGCATAAGTACGAGCATTTTCAAGATCATATTTATCTTAGCATTTCGGATAAAGAGATCTAATCGACTGGCTATCTCGTTCAACCATATGATTGCACAAGTCATGTGTTTGACGTGCCCTATGTTGCCGTTCTCCACTCAAACTCCACTACCAATCGTCATTTAGTTTCCAACGTCGTGTTTTTCTGATTCCATTACCTAAACCTTCCCCTGCTACCCTGCCACGCCTCCCATCCTTACATACTGGCTCACGCGAGTCAACCAGCACAGACAGACGCACTTAGCTATGTTTTGCCACGTCCGAGCAGATGGGGATCTCCATACTCTTCACTGCGATGTGCCTCATACCAGCCCTACGCCACCCCCTCTCATTTCGAAAGTCCGAGCCGCCGTCCACCGACGCCAAGCAACCAACACGTCTTCTCCGTTCAACGGCCACTCCTTCGTTAACAGCCGCTTTTTCGACGATAAACGGTCCTCCCATTGTAGCTACTCTTGTAACGATATCTACTCCCAACCTAGTAGCTTCTTACCCTATGACTACAGCGGTTAAATCGGAAAGGTTCTCGGGCTCTAAGGAAGCCTACCGGAGCCCTTCCAACTGGCTTGCGGTCGTGTAGTTGTAAGATTACATGTATCTAACCCCATAAAACTTAAGTTGACAGACGCCGAGTGCCCCTCTGCGTGCACCTAACGTGGTCGCTTTTCATCCCCTTTCTGCGGCTTCTAAATCAGCTTGAAACTATCCCTCAAGAAAACCCGCTGAAGCCCCTGCGTTAAGCTCTGGCTCATCCAGTTACAAGTTCTTACAGAACCAACCGCGTAGCTCAATCTTTTATAGACGCGGACTCAGGTTAAATTGATGTGAACTCTGATTTCTATAGACGTCTAGCTAGTTGTATATATACTAGGGGAAGGAAGGGGGCCACCCCCAGGGTGGCGCGCTAGTAAGTTCAGATGAGCCCTGCACAGCTGAGGCTTCAGCTCGGTTCTCTACAGCTGAGATTTCAGCTGGGTTCTCTACAGCTGATGTTCGGAGAGTAGCTTTCTGGCATATGAGTTGTTGATCCTAGGTTGTAGTGCTGCAACCTGAGTCGCGGCGTATACCTCTGCGTGCATCCAACGTGGCTGCTTTTTATCCTTTTGCCGCGGCCCCTAAATCAGCTCGTCGAAAGTACCCCTTCAGGATACCCGCTGAAGTTCCTCCACTAAGCTTTCGCTCCTCTAGTTACAAGTTCTTACAGAAGGGACCGCGTAGCTAAATAGTTCATAGACGCCACGCACACCTCTGCGTATACCTAACATGGCTACTTCCCATCCTTTTACCACAGCCTCTAAATCAGCTCGTCGAAACTACCTCTTGGAAACACCCGCTGAAGCCCCTCTGTTAAGCTTTCGCTTATCTAGTTACAAGTTGTCACAGAACCAACCGCATACCTCCATATTTGACAACATGCAGCGTACCCCTCAACGTGCCCACAACATATTCCTTAAGCCTGCATACATACCTCCTGAATCGGGTCCATGCTTACAAGTTCCAAGCAAGGTTGCGGAAGCATCTCTACGTACCCTCCGCGCCTACTAAATTTTATCTTGCGCGGTTGATTATGTAAAAAGAAGTAACCGATCGTTAGTACAAGGCGGCGGAGGTGTTTTAGCTTCTTTTACTTACTTTAAGCACGTTGACTCGATTTTGAAGGTATAGAAAAGTAGTAAGAAGCAACTACTCCGCGTGCCCTCTGCGTGCCCTCTGCGTCTACCAAATCCTCTTTCACACGGTCAATTTTGTGAAAAGAAGTAACCAGTTATTGTCACGACACGGCGGAAGTGCCTTGACTACTTTTGCTTAGCTTCAGGACGGTGGCCCGATTTCGAGGGCGTGGAGAAATAGTAGGAAGCAACTACTCCGCGGACCCTCCACGTCCATGAAATGTTGCTTCACACGGTTCAATCCGTTAAAATTTGTAACTGCTTAACAGATAAAAGAGGCGGGGGTACCTCAGCAATCTCTCTTAAGTCCACAAGTAACTCTAAAGTGTAGCGTCGATTTGCACGCTGCGGTTTGAGAAACGAAAAGGAACTACACCGCGTCCCCCTCCACGTCTACCAAATTCCGTCTCCTACGGTTAAATCCGTTACAACTTGTAACTAAGCGACGAACTTTAGAAGCGGGAGCACCTTATTAATTACCCTTATGTCTAAGAGCAATCTAGAGAATATAGACTAAATTTCAAGGCCTTAAAAAAGTAGTATGAAGCGACTACGCTGAGGGCCCTCCGTGTCTGCAAAACTGCGTCTTACGCGGTTAGTTCTGTAGAAACTTGCAACCAGGCGACAGAGCTAGGAAGCCTGGGTGCCTTAGCACTCTTTTCTAGGCCTGGAAATGTCCGTTTAATATAGTACCTAATTTGAAGGCCCTAGATACGCAGTTAAAAGAGGTACGCCGCGTGCTCCCTCTGCGTCTGCTAAAATCCGGTTCCCGCGGTTGAATCCGTTAGAACTTGTGACTAGATAAAAGAGGTCGGAAGAGAGAATGCCTCCGCATCTTTTATAGGCCTGGAAACGGTGATTTAGTCCAGGCTCCAATTCAAAAGCTGTGGATATGCAGAAAAAAGGGGTACGCTGCGTATCCCCTTCGCGTCTATTAAACTTTCATCTACCCGGTTAGTTCCGTTACAACTTGCAACCAGGTAACCGAATATAAAAGTGAGGGTGCCTTAGCGTTATTTCTAGGCCTAGAAACGTCCGTCTAATATAGAGCCTGATTTAGGAGCTGTGGATAGTTAGGGAAAGGGGGACGCCGCGTACCCCTCCGCGTCTGCAAAATCGTATTCTACACGGTTGATTCCGTAGGAACTTGCAACCGGATGATAGATTTTGGAAACGGGGGCGCCTTAGCATCCTTTCTTAAGCCTAGAAATGTCCGTTTGATATGAAGCCCGATGTAGAAGCTGTGGATACGCAATAAAAGGGGGGACGCGGCGTACACCCTCCGCGTGTATCAACTTCCTTCTACGCGGTTGGTTCCGTTATAACTTACAACCAGGCGACAAGATTTGGGAGTGGGGGTGCCTCGCCGGTCTTTGGCAAGGCTATTGACGTTCGCCTAATTTGGGAGCTGAGGCAAGAGGATGGAAAAGCAACTACGCAGCGTGGACCTTTCGCTTGGATAAGTGCCGAAAGGGATAATGCTCTTGGTCGTTATTTTAGGAAGAGTATGCCTCCGACTGCTACTACAGCGGAGGTTCCAAGACGTGTATGAAGCCGGTGTTGGTGAAGAACCTAGAGAGTATTTGGATGTCCATTGTGCTAAACTAATTAATCTAGTCAAACCTAACGCCCATCCTCCCTTGGGCTTTATGCGAGTTCTGCGAATATTGTTAGCGAAGCCCTATCAAAGTGGCAACACTCTAAACCAAACTTACCATCAGCTCAATCATCTTCGGCACCTCCTCCAGCTTGTAGTGTGTTAGATGTGCATTGATGTTGTGTTTGGCGCTGAACTCAATACACGACCGCATATTATAGCATGCTATGGCGAGATTAGCCACAACCCACCGATTCTCTTACCTCAGATCACTTACTCCCATTGTTACTCCCTAGCACCCGATACCTGCCTAACGCAATATCCAACGCATTCAGTTCAATAGGCTTCTGTGGGATTCCAACCACCATCAGGATTCCAGACCCAGGGCGGATGATAGCCGGCGCGTCATCGTACGATTTCTTCGAAGCCGTGAAGTTCACAGCCGCATCCACACCACCGTCGGTCAACTCGATAATCTTCTTCTGCCAGTCCTTGTCCGTCATGGTATTGAAGACGTGATCGGCGCCTGATTCTTTCGCGGCGTCGAGGGCCTGAGGCGCGATGTCGAGGCCGATGACTTTGAGGCCCATTGCCCTACCCGTCGTCAGTTCAATCTCCAAACACCACACGCAGATTCTCTCCCCTCCTAATCTCCGCCCACGACGCCCAAAAAGATAGAAAAGCCGCACTCACTTCGCATACATAATCCCCAGATGCCCCAACCCCCCACACCCCACCACCGCCATCCACTTCCCCTCCTCCAGATGACAATCCTCGACCCCATGAAACGCCGTAACCCCCGCACAAAACAGCGGCGCCGCCTTATACACATCCAGCCCCTCCGGCAGCACCATCGCCGCGCGCGCATCCACACACACATACTCCTGAAAGTACCCGTCCACCGTGAACCCCTGCATCTTCGTGTTCCCCGTCACGCACCAGCTGTTGTGCACGTTCCGGCACGCGTAGCAGTCGAAGCAGCAGTCGACCGCGCACAGGAAGCCGACCTTGTCGCCGGCTTTGAAGCCCAGGTCGGCGGAGCCGGACGCCACGACGAAGCCGGAGCCCTCGTGCCCGATGGTCACGCACGGGTTGCTGCCCAGGATCAGGCCTTGGTCGTTGGGCTCGAAGAGCATGACGTCCGAGTGGCAGAGCGAGGCGCAGGCGACTTTGACGAGGAGTTCGTGCGCGCGGGGCGAAGGGATGGGGATTTCGTTGAGGTGGAGCGCGTTGTCGCGCGCGTCGTATCTGGGGGTTGGGTATGTTAGTTTGGGGTTCTGAAGGCGTGGATGGGTGGTTTTGCCGAGACGAAAGGTAGATAGGATGGAGGTTTTGTAGGAGAGGTGGATGTGCTCACTGTTGCGCCTTCATTGTCTTCTTGGTTGGGTGGAGGGACCCCATGCTGTTAATTGGACTTCGGATATAGCTTAGAAGGACAGGTGTGAATTTGACGAGTTCAATTGACACGAATTTGGATTGTTTGGACTTTTCGCACGCGTTAGGTTGGCTACTGGCGATTATATGCGGTCGACGCGGGAAAGCTCAGCCGGGAAAGAGGGTGGACGGGTGACATTAATGGCGGGGAATAAGATTTCCGACGCACATATTCGTACAGTAGCTCCTACATGGTTCCACAGTGTCCCAAATGAGACGTCGCGAGAGTCCTCTGCGATGTTCTTAAGTGGTGGTTGACAATGGAAACGCAGTGTTGCATTGTCGGCTAGACCTTGTTTCAAAACCTTCGGCCACTCCCTAGGCGCTAGACGGACACCAACGTGTCGCAATAGTGACATGCTCACACTAGTGGTGAGTTCTGTACCTGCAAGTTGTATGTGATAGACCTGCAGAGGACAGGAAAAGCTGCGGCATATGCATGATTCACGGCCAGCGATACCCCGCTCCCCCACAGATACAGAACTCATGACTCGCGCTATGTCGACTAGATATCCTCTTGAATCAGTCACTAGCTATAAAACACCAACTCATAAAACAAACACTCGATTGACTACCTATCTACTCTCGCCGCTTGCATCGTTGCTCATCTGCCTCCAATCTGGTATCCAATCACCTGGATCTCGACCTCGAACTCCCAATCACCCAGGAAAATCCAATGCATTGCTTTCAAACATTAAGCACGTCTAAAGCATTCGCCACACGTATCCACATTGGAACGGTATTGAAGAAAGGTAGGGGGCCGGGGTATAGACGAAAATAAAACAAATAGGTTTGAACCGCCACGAGAGAACCCTTCTAAGAGCTCTAGGGAAAGGATAGGCTTCAGAAAGGCAAGTAGGCCCGGCCAATAAAAATGCAAAAAGATGAAGCAAGTCGAATGACGATACATCAATACGCCTCTTACGGCAGTGATGTCCAGCGCCAGGTCAGACATCTAAATCCGCGCGAGCTTTCATTGCGTTCGATATTTGGAGCTTATAATCAGCGGATAGAGATATGATCTGAAGATCGAAGAGATTAAGGACGTAAATATGAAATAGAAGTTAGAAAACCTTAGGCCGGTAGGGCAACGCAAAGAACATAAGAAGTGGAGTGTAAAGGAAGACCGGATAATTTTGTTGCTGGATCAAATCTTCCTTTCAAATCCAACTTCCGGAGATTTCGAGTTCAACGCAGATACATAAAAAATGCATAACCATCTCTCATAAAGCAATGCACCATGTCGCTTCGCTCATTCATCTTTGCAAGAATTGGAAGGTTGCGTGGATCAAAGAGCAGCGAGGCTCATGGTCATAGAGCCATCCCGGGGACTGGCTTACTCGCAGGTAAAGGACCGCCTAGAGGATTTGGGTTCATAGGACTGGGCCCAGGGGGTGAATCGCGACGTGCCCTAACTTGGCTAGCTGAGTTGGAACGGCGGCGTCCACCCGGAACTGGGATGGGAGCCTGAGGTCCGCCGCCATAGGGGCCGGGAGACATGGAGCGTGGGTGACCAGCGTAGGGAGCGTTGCTGTTCGAACGACCACGTGCACCTGGCGGTGGCCCATAAGGGTTTGGTGAGTTGCGGCCACCCGCTGGAGACATCGGTGGGCCAGCGAAGGGGCCTGGCGACTTGCGGCTACCTGCTGGAGACATCGGTGGGCCAGAGAAGGGACCTGGCGAGTTGCGTCCGCCGGCTGGCGACATAGCTGGCGACATAGAGCGAGGCTGACCACCAAAAGCAGGAGAGTTACGGCCGCTGGGAGTGAGCGGTCGTGGTTGGGGGAAGCCGGGGCCCATCGGAGGAGGGCCACGCATCCTGCCACCTTGCGGTGGACCTTGGCGGGGAGGGCCGGTACGAGGCTTCACCGGGTGTTTAGAGAGACACGTGCGAGGGACGACACCTTGTTGAGATTTGTCAAGACGAGTACAAAGAGCCTGCAATACGAGTTAGTTCTGTCGTGTGTATGGGATCGTTGTCAAGATTGTCTTACCCAGCCGTCATCGTATTCGTGCAGCATGCGAACCAATTGACCAGCGCGCAGCTCAAGCTCATCCTGCATGGATGGCTTGAAATCTAATTGAACACGATGGACATTGTTAGCAGGTGGGGTAGAAACAGGTCCTCCAGCAGCAGCCGCAATTGGTGGGGGGCCAGTGGGAGCAGGACCGGGGGAGGCAGGGATATCCTCAGTCCAGGTCGGGCTGGGAGTAGGACGGGACGCTTCCAATTCAACGGGAGTAGCACGAGCCACATCCAACTCGACGGGAGCGGGCTGTGGGACTTGCTTTCGCACTACAGGGGCAGCAACGGGAACGGCAGCAGCCGCAGCAACTGGGGCAAGGTGCTCTGGAGCGTCCGAAATCGCAGATACAGGACTACTTGGGGATGGATTCTCGACAGTCTCTGCATGGATACCGAAAGGATTCGAAGGATCGCTGGCGGCACTTGCAGCACCTCGTCGCTCCCAGGCACTGGATGGCTGAAGAGATGGAGATAAGAAGTCGCGGGAAGCGTTGTTGGAGTTGGCTGAAAGGGCAGCAGCGGCGGCCATGTCTAGGGTATTCCCTGCACTCTTGCGATTGCCTGCCAGGTTGGGAGAGAACTGAGTTACTGGTCGAAGGCTCAGACGTGGTGCAGTCGACAAGGTTCGTGCGGTTCTGATGCTGGCAGCGGGTGCGGGAGCATTGTGCATGCTGGCCTTTTCATCGTCCATCTTCTGATGCTCCATAGCTCGCTTCTTCTTGCGGTAGAAGAGAAGAATGCAAGCAAGAATAGCAGCAATGACAACGAGAATGCCCAAAGCAAGGCCTGCCTTGGCTCCTCCGGACATGCCCTGGGACGAAGATGCAATGGCGGTCGGAGACGCAGAGGTCGCAGCAGCGACAGTAGCGGACAGAGTCGACGACGCAGCGACCAACTTATCAACTGAGGTTGTAGCTGCCGCTATGTCGGTTGTCTTTACAGATGCAGAGGACTTTGCCTTTGCCGTGGCTGTTGACGAGCTATCATCTTCGGAGGAGTGTTTTTCACTCGAATGAACAGCTGCTGCAGAAGTTTCAGCTGCCGCAGTGCTCTGGGCCTTCGCAGAGGTCGCCTTGGGTTGTTCGCTACTGGGTGCAGGTGCGTCCTTCGATGAGCTAGCTTGAATGGGGACTCCGAAGGCCGTTTTGGTGACCGGAATGTAGGTAACTTTTCCCGTATAAGTGTTTGGCAATGTTGCGGTGACCACTTGGAATATCGTCTTGATACCATCTGCAATTTTGTGGGCATCACTTAGGAGTTCGTCGCCGAGGTCGCGATTCTCCACAGCCTCCACCTCTCGCTTCGCCGCACGTGCACGGCGATGGTGGTGAGGCATGATTGCGTAACGGCGGGCTGAGCGCACTCAAAACGGGGTCTTTATGTACTACGACTTGTTGTTGTTTTCGAGGTGGTATTGTCCGGGGTGTGGCGTCATCCAGTTGTTTCTATTGTCGCACCTTCACCTTCACTACGGTAGCACGTGGCCAGTATTTCGAGGCTCGAAGAACAATTGACGATCGCGCGGCTTCGTAAGGATATTATATCGATGGGCTTCTCGGCAAGGGCGTTCTGGACTATGGTGGACGGGCGCAAGGAGTAAGGAGGGTTCCGGGTCAGGCTTCACGCGACAGGTCGGAATGAGGGTGAAACGAATGTTGGTTTGGTGAAAAGAGTGGATGCGACGGCTACGGTCGATAAACGAAGGACGAACGACAGCCGGGCCGCGAGAGAAGGGAATTATCGAGAGTTTCGGTGGATTGAGCGACAGTGAGGTGGAGGAGAGACGGCCGCGCGAGGCAGCGAGAACGAGGAAATGAGACGTCCACAGCCCTGTCGCATGGAGCCGTGTTCCTGCAGCGACTGTGTTCGGACTACGGCGAAACAAGCGTAGAACAACACTCGGGCCAAGGTACCTCAGGGCGCTGATTCGGCGCAGTCCTGTGCGCAAGTCCATGGCGCCGGCGAGGCGCGCGTGCAAGGTTAAGCGGCTGCTATTTTCAATTCGCCAGCCGTGTTGTCCCTCATCTCAGGCGTGTCGCCGTCAGGAGTCCCCTCTCCACGACCTCCCGTGTCCGACTCCAACGGCCTGCTGCGCCTCACAGATCGAACGCCGTCATCCGTCATCCGTCATCCGATCCAGCCGGCAGAATCCCGCACTCAGATTGCACGGGTTGATCTGAGAAGGCTGATACAACCGCGTGCTTGGCGCCCTTCATTGCCCGTGCCTCAGGGACTCATCTCCAAACCCGAGTTCGTACGGCCACACCGCCTTGTTTGCTTTGGAAAGGGACGGCTGGCGGTGCAAACCTCAGGCTCGAACGTTGCGTCGTGACGCCGTCTGGGGTAGCTCGACGAGCCTGCACATTGTCCAAAATGATTGATGTGAACCTCTTGCAAACTTCCCAAAAGGTATCGAAGCCCTTCAAACAGTGTTGAATCATTGTGCACATTGAGAAAGATTTCCCTAGGGCCCCGGCAGTGAAAAGGTCGTCGTCACAAGGAACCGTGGTACAGCGTATATTTCATCTACCGTTATGATAGCACCTTGGTTAATGCCGGCGAAAGTCACTCGGCAGTGCCTCGGGTATCAGATTGATTGCTCCTTAATACTGTCCTTGTTTTCCTTCATGGGATCCCCGGCCCACGGCGGCTCTCCATCGTCATCAAATTCTGCCCATTGGAAAAAGGAGCACCTACTTTTGGTTAAACTCTGCTTGTGGCAAATAATAGAGTGTCACTACTTACCCTTCTTTACCAGGCGTATAGTTGGTATGACACATCCACATATATCTACCACGGTTCTCCGTTCGCTTCTGCACGCATCGAAGCACTGTCGGCACCCCGCATTTGCACTTCGGCGTGAGCCGTGGATGCAGGCTTTCCTTGTAGCATCGATAGGTGATGTTGATTCTCTTGCTCTTCGCAATTGGATGTGGGTCGATAGCCTGAGCTGGCGCGATCGAGTGCTTCCATTCTTCCTGCATTTCTGCATGCATCACGAGAAGCGAATTGTGCGGCAGATGGATCGAAACCTGCCCTTCTGTGTCGGCTCGAGAGACATCCCCCTTCTCTCCACTGCTGTCGCGAGAGACGACTTTTCGCACCCGGAATTCTCGCGCCACACCGAGACTGAGGCTCCCAATGACCGCCCGTGGGCCCAGGTACGTCAGTTGATCTGAGTGGTATCCTACGCTATCCCGGTTGTCAACTTTTATATAATCCAAAACGAAACATGGTTACGAACCTCTCCGCTCCACCGTCATAGCAGTTCACAAAAGCAGCATTCGGCACCCATGGACGTGGGGATTGGAACTTCAGCTTCTTAGCCTCAGCGTAGTATGTCTTGATCCGTCTCTGTATCTCCTCATTGACGGCAGCCTGCACTTTCGAGCCAACTTTCCGCATTTCTGGTAGTGTTTGCCGAATATCCTATTGAACCTCAGGACTTCATTGAATAACAGCATTCAGAACATGACGCACCTTGATGTAATTTCCATTGTAAACATACTCTGTCTTCTGCACCTCTGCCTCGTCCCATGAATTCGCATAGAAACACATCGTATGAGGACTCTGTACTGTGTTGCCAAACAACTGGAATGTCTCTCTTTGAAATGTAGGGGCTTCCTCTAATAGCTCGAGCAGTAGCGCATCGGCTTCATGGGAAGGGAGGAAATTGTGAATAATCGAGCACGGTGTATGCGTCTCGATATCTTCTGGCGCATACAGATGCAAGGTTTGACCCTTCTTGGTCAGAACCTTCTTTGTGCTCCCCGATGATCCGGATTGTGTTTCCTTGCTTGTGGTAAATGCTGATAGCGATGATTGATATCCGATCCCAGTGGCGATTTTCTTCCGTGGAGAAATTGCCGTACTACTGTGCTTGAGTGCTTGCGATGCGAGATTGACTGAGCCTTCTGACAGCAACAAAGCTTCGAGGAGCGTGTCTTCGTCACAGTAAGGATGAAGCGACGCTAGCACCGCCAATTTGAAGTCTGTAGGCTCATCGTCGGCCGCTGGGTCCGTCTGACAGGATTTTGGAGCAGTCGACACATACTCTCGATCGTCAGATAATCTTTTCCTCTTTCTGGAAATAAACGCATCCATCCCGGCTCTTGGTGTATTGGAAACGCGTGAAATGGAAGTCTAGGCAGCCCTAAGAAACACGACAAAGCGTCATCCCGTGATCGGCAAATCCAAGACACCTCGGCTTGCACTTTATCGATAGAACTGCTGCCCTTTAATACCACCACATGCCACACGCTCGCTCACTCTTTGCCTTCTAGTCATGATAGAATCCGACTGTGACTACATGCCTTCTCGCTACCGGTAGTGCCTAGTTATTTCCACGCCGCGTCGGCGTAAACCGCTCAACATGCTCGAGTTCCGGACTCAAGGGTACAACGGGTACTCCGTCAAGTACTCACCCTTCTTCGACTCGCGCATCGCAGTCGCGTCTTCCGCAAATTTTGGCCTCGTAGGGAACGGACGACTCTATATACTAGTACTCACAGCAAACGGGATTGCAGCTGAAAAATGGTACCTCCAATACCCTTCAACCACCCCTCCTCCACTTCGCAGCTAACATCCTCCCTCAACCCCCAGGTTCGACACCCAAGACTCCCTCTTCGACATCGCCTGGTCCGAGTCCCACGAGAACCAGATCCTCACCGCCTCCGGCGACGGTAGCATCAAGCTCTTCGACATCTCTCTAAACCAATTCCCCATCCAATCCTGGACCGAGCACGCCCGCGAAGTCTTCTCCGTCCACTGGAACCTCGTCGCCAAAGACACCTTCCTCTCCTCCAGCTGGGACGGCACCATCAAGATTTGGAACCCCACCCGCGCCGAGTCCCTCGTCACCCTCCCCACACATAGCTGCACCTACTCCGCCCAATTCTCCCCGCACAACCCCAGCCTCCTCAGCGCTGTGAGCAGCGACTCCCACCTGCGCGTCTTCGATCTAAGGACACCAGCGAGCGCATCGAACCACCTTACCCTCAGTATACCGACCCACACCCCCCCGAAAGCTCGAATGGGCGTCGCGCCTCCCGTCGGCATACCCCCTAGCGAGGCCCTCACGCACGACTGGAACAAATACCGCGACAGCGTCGTCGCGACCGCCGGCGTGGACCGCTGCATCCGCACCTTCGACATCCGCGCACCAGGGGCCGGCCCTGTGGCTGTTCTCCCAGGCCACGAGTACGCGGTGCGCAAGGTGAGCTGGAGCCCGCATCTCAGCGACATCCTGCTCAGTGCGAGCTACGACATGACGTGCCGCGTGTGGACGGATGGGAGCGCCATGGGGGTTGGGCAGCAGGGGGGACAGGGACAAGGACAGCAGGACCCGATGGTCTTTGGGAACGGGCGCGAGCTGGGGAGGATGGGGCGGCATACGGAGTTTGCGACGGGGGTGGATTGGTGTCTGTTTGGGGCTGAGGGGTGGTGTGCGAGTGTGGGGTGGGATGAAAGGGTGTTGGTGTGGGATGTTAGGGCCATTATGGGACCATGAGGGGTGTGAGGTGGAGTTTGGCGTTTCGACGGACATATTTGGATGCATATATTGGGTTGCATAGCTCGATTTACGATGGTATCATGGGTCATGAGAAGACGTTGTCCAAGAGACGATGTTACATTTATTGCATCACGTCTGGATTTTCTACAAGGTATTGGAGGGCCTCGGACAGTGCTAGACGAGTGTGAAAAGGTGGCTAAGATATCAGTCTGATTTACAGCATGAGATCTTTCAAATTGGCCTCAGATTTTAATCATTCATGAGGGTCACTCAGACGGTGCTAAACGAGTGTGAAAAATAGCGAAGATATTAGCCTGATTTACAGCCTGACGAACCTTACGTTCAACTACATATGTTTGTAATGTGTTGGAGGACTTCAGACAGTCGTAACGAGTGTAAAACATAGCTTAATAACAGCATGATCTGTATCATTGAGCATCGTACGTTCGTTACAATGCACTGCTCGCCTTCCTAATCGCAACTATGACCGAATCTTGCCTGGAATATCACTCTTTTTACCGGTCCAGTATCATGCCGAGCTCCTCCCCAACTTAGCTGTGGAAGCTGTATCTCGATGCCTAAAGATGCAATTAATTGACTATAAATAGTTAATTATTGTCCCAATTAGGAAGGTCTCTCTGACGCTTATCTGCATCCACCATCCGTGCCGCATCCCCTAAGTACCTCACGTCTTCGTTGTTGTTGGCAGCCCTTAAATAATGGTTTACCATCTCTCTCTTTAAACAAATTGACACGTTGCGAAGATGAATAACTCTGCATCCTTCCGTTGTGACGCTTCAGCGGACTCCGCTTTCGGTCCCGCTGTCGAAGGTTGTCGCGGCAACTTTGACTTCACCCTCGCTTTTGAGCAGTATTTCTTTTCTATCGCGCCATCCGCCGCGTTTCTTCTCATTGCGCCCGTGCGAATCCATTATCTTAGCTCGAAGCAGAGCAGAGTCGATGGAAAGCTGCTGAGGTCTATCAAGCTGGTTCGTTTGCTTGTATGATCCCATCAGAGCACAGCTGACAATGATTTTCAAGACTGCTATTGGCATATTTGCCTCTTTACAATTGGCTACTGTGGTGATATGGGCGATACAAAGCCATTCCGAACTCCGAGTCGCATCGTCTGTGGCGGCTAGTCTCTCCTTCGTTGCCAGCTTATTCTTGTGCAGATTGTCTTACTTGGAACACTCTAGATCACTTCGTCCTTCTATCCTTCTCAACGCCTATCTGTTCATCACCATGCTTTTGGATGCAGCCATGCTACGAACTTTGTGGCTAATGTCTACAAGCCGGCTCTCTCGCGATATCTTTACCACGTCATTCGCATTGAAAGGCGTGATAGTCTTCCTAGAAGCCAAGGAAAAGCGCCATTATCTTCTCTCTGGTGGGAACGGGAGTCCTGAAGATACTAGTGGGCTGTACAGCCAGACTTTTCTCTGGTGGCTCAACTCGATTATCAAGCAGGGCTTCAGTCATATTCTCAAGCCAACCGATCTCTACCCAATGGACGAGTCCTTATCATCGGAGACTCTAAATAATAATTTCTGGCAAGAATGGCACAGGCGTATGTCATGATACTCATGGTATCCGAGTGGATGCTAACTGGTCTGCTAGCCCATAGGAAAAGCAAGCATGAGCTTGCCTATGTCGTGACGAAAATGCTTAGATGGCCTCTGATTTTGCCGGTATTCCCTCGATTGGCTCTTCTAGGATTCACACTCTGTCAACCTCTTCTGGTTGGTAGACTCTTAGACTTCTTGCATAAGTCAGATCATCAGAAATCCATCAACATTGGCTACGGCCTCGTTGGTGCTTATGCAGTCGTGTACTTTGGCATGGCAGTAAGTTTCGCAATCAAGACCAAAGTGCCTCGACTGACGCGTATCAGGTCTCGAATAGTCTCTATTCTCATCGTTCCTTCAAATTTCTTACAATGCTTCGGGGGACCCTTGTGTCCGCAATCTACACTAAGACCACCGAGATCGGTATCAGTGCCCTTGATGACTCAGCCGCTGTTACCCTTATGAGCACAGATGTGGAAAGATTAGTGAAAGGTCTTCGGGGCATGCATGATCTTTGGGCGAACACTATCCAATTCATTCTGGCCACATGGCTACTGGGGGAGAAGCTCGGGTGGGCCTGCGTTGCCCCCATTATAGTGACAATAGGTAACATTTCATCAAACGGTCTTTATCAACGAATGGTGCTGATAGTTGATGTACAGTGTCTGCCGCCATAACCTTGCGCCTCTCGTCCACGACGCAGAAAAGGCAGCTCAAGTGGATCATGCGGATTCAAAAGCGAATTGGTACGTAACACCAACACTCCGTAGTACGAAAGTACGTTTACAAGAAGACTCGTACTAGGTGTCACTTCGACTATGCTTGCATCCATTAAGGGTATTAAGATAGCGGGTTTGACTAAAACGCTGACGGACTTGATCCAAAATCTACGAAAGGATGAAGTCAAAGATGCAGAAGGCTTCTGGTTACTCGGCGCATATACCTCTACGTTGGGATTTGTTCCCCTTATGATATCACCCGTCGCTACATTTGCCATCTTCGCCATCATTGCGGCTAAAAATCACTCTACCCTGGACCCTCCACGCCTCTTTACATCCTTGTCGTTGTTGATGCTTCTGACGCAGCCACTGTTCTCTCTATTCGGCGATATTGTCGACCTCAGAGCTACATTTGGATGCTTTGAAAGGATTGAGAAGTTTCTGCTATCCGACACTAGATCCGATCATCGGCTTGTCTCGTCCCCTCCAGGCACAGCTTCCAGTCGGAATTCCCAGTCAGGACAACCGTACAGTAATCAGGCTTGGGATGCATCGACGGACAACATCGAGCTCGTTAGCATGGCTCAAGCATCCAGAAGTCGGAAGAACATGCCGTCTAGCTTCGCAATCGTAAGCGTACGAGATGGCGCCTTCGGTTGGAAACAAGACGGGGAAACCATATTGCGAGACATAAATCTGGAAATCAGGTCATCGGAGCTGACGTTATTGATTGGTCCCGTTGCTTCGGGAAAGTCCACATTGCTGAAAGCCATTCTGGGTGAAACCCCAAGCTCAAAGGGCTTCGTTCATGTCTCAACCCTTGATATAGCGTGGTGCGAGCAAACACCGTGGCTTTCAGTAAGTCCCCTAATTGCTTGCTCGCTCATGTTGCTACTAAATATTTGACCTTTTAGAACTCTTCCGTCCGCCAGACCATTCTTGGGTTCTCGAATTTCAATCCGGAGCATTACAAGTCTGTGGTTTACAGGCAAGTGCTCAGGCGCTGTTCTATTTTTAGCCATACTAATCATTTAAAGCTGTGATCTCGATAATGATATCAACTCTTTTCCGCATGGGGATCAGACTATCGTAGGAAGTAATGGTATATCCTTGAGCAGCGGCCAGAAGCAAAGACTCGCAATCGCCCGAGCAGTCTACTCTAAGAGAAAACTTGCAATCTTCGATGATGTATTCAGTAGCATGGATGCCACTACTCAGAGCAACGTTTTTAATCGTCTGTTTGGGTCTCATGGCTTATTGCGTCAATGGAGGACGACCGCGATTATCGCTACCCACGCAGGTATTGTCCCTGCTGTCGCGATTTTTCTCTTGCTCTTAGCTAATATGCTGTACATAGTGACACTTTTTCCACATGCTGATCGCATCATTGCTCTTGGAACGAATGGGAGAATAACAGAGCAGGGCACCTTCGACGAGATGAATGCTGCTGATGGATACGTTCGGAGCTTTTGCCTCAAGAACCGCGATGAAGGGCCTGCTGATGAGATAACGCCGGCTGATGCAGATACAACTATCGCTTCAACTTCAGCCCTGAAGAAAGACTCGAAATCAGCAGTTGCCGGAAACAAAACTCGGCAACTCGGCGATTGGTCAGTCTACTGCTATTATTTCCAAGCCATTGGTTGGAAGTTGACTTGTGTCTTCTTCCTTCTGGAGATATGCTGGGCATTCTTTTCTACATTTCCAAGTAAGTTGACTGAGGAATGCTTCCTTTGTCGCTCCCATGCTGACTCTGACTAGCTATCTGGTTAAAGTGGTACTCTGATTCTAACTCTGCAAAACCGAACCAGCATACCGGATACTATCTAGGTGTGTATGCAGCTCTGCAGGCCATTGGGCTGGTTGGGTTTGCATTCTTGACATGGTGGGTACTCTGCTGAGAACATAATGGGCATGAAAGCAACAGCTAAATGAGCTGACCATCCGTAGGTTCTCGTTCAACATCATGGCCATGAGGGCCGGCATGAAGCTACATGAGATTACTCTGAAGACAGTGATGGCGTGAGTAACTATCCACTTTCAGAGATCGGATCATGTTAATGATTCGTGTAGAGCTCCGATGTCATTCTTTAGCACGATAGACACCGGATCTATTGTCACTAGGTATGCAACGAAGTCCTTTAGGCTGGACAGCTTCTGACTTTGCTTCAGGTTTAGCCAGGATATGCAGCTCATCGATGGCAGCCTTCCGCTGGCCCTCATGGCCGTTGCAGCAAGTATGTTACAACTAATTACACACGTGAGCTCATCTCAAATGACTGAACATTACCGCAGATCTTCTCATTTGCCTCGGCCAAATGGCACTCATCGCATCTGCTGCATACTATGTGGCCATCAGCTTTCCGCTACTCTTAGCTGCATTTTATTCGGTGCAGAAATACTATCTGAGGACGTCTAGACAAATGCGCTTCCTAGATCTGGAAGAGAAAGCACCAGTCTAGTGAGCTAAAGTACCATTCAATAGAGCCACGCGCACGCTAACGTCCTCGCTATGTAGCACACAGTTCATTGAGTCTCTGAGTGGGCTTGCGACTATACGAGCGTTCTCCTGGCAGAAGCCTTCCATCGAGCACAACCATAAGCTGGTCGACAATTCTCAAAAGCCGTTCTACCTTCTTTTCATGATCCAAACTTGGCTCACCTTGGTCCTCGACCTCATCACCATGGCACTCGCTATTCTTGTAGTAGCAATCGCCGTGAAGATGCGCGACACCATCTCCGTCGGATTTACCGGTGTTTCACTCACCCAGATCATCTCTTTCACTGCGAATTTGAAGTTGTGTTTGTTATTCTGGACCCAACTGGAGACGTCGATAGGTGCCGTAGCTCGGGTTAAACAGTTCAGCAATAGCACCGCAAACGAGAATCTGGCGTCGGAGAATCAGGAACCACCGGCGGAATGGCCACAAACTGGTATGGTCAAGATCGAGCACGTTTCTGCAGCGTACAGGTAAGTCCTACCTCACCGCTGATATAATCCAATGCTTACAAGGTGTCATAAAGTGCGGGTGGCAACAAAGCGTTGGACGATATCTCACTCTCTGTGCGCTCTGGCGAGAAGATCGGCATTTGTGGTCGGACTGGCAGTGGCAAGAGCACCCTCACACTTGCGCTTTTCCGCATGATCGAGCTTACAGCAGGGAGAATCACCATCGACGGTCTCGATATATGCACCATGCCAAGACATCAAGTTCGCTCTCGGCTTAACGCAATGGGTCCAGACCCCTACTTTCTCAATGGGACTGTCCGCTTAAACCTCGACCCACATGGCAACATTACAGATGACACGATGGCCGCAGCTCTCAAGAAGGTACAGCTGTGGGACATGCTGTCGCCCAAAGGCGGACTAGACGCTGAATATGCAGATGATACGTTCAGCCATGGGCAGAAGCAGTTGTTTTGCCTGGCTAGAGCAATGCTGCGATCCGGGAAAATAGTGATAATGGATGAAGTGACGAGCAGGTAGACATCCATTTCCTCTCCTCTTTTCCTCCTTCACTACTTCAGAATATCCTGACGCCTCTGTTTCGTGTTAGCGTCGACCTGGATACAGATGCGTTGATGCAGTCTCTCATCCATACCGAGCTCCAACATTGTACTGTCATAACTATCGCGCACCGTATCGAAACGATCCTGGACTATGACCGCGTCGTTGTTATGGATAAGGGAATGATCGCTGAAGCCGGGAAACCACAGCAGCTTATGGAGAAAGATTCGATGTTCAAGGCATTTTACGAGTCTTCTCGAATCGATCGACGTGGGAAGGGGAAAGGGAAAGCTCTGGAGGTCTAGGTATGCGTGATGGTGAGTTGAGCAACGCGACCTCTTAGGGATATATCCAACCGCGCAGCCTCTGCCAGGGCATTGACGAGGTTCATGTTCGTCTAGTTTGCAGGATCGCATATATCTGTAGGTACCATTGACACACTCCAAACAATCTCTCCGATAGCAGAATGGGTCGCTGCGGCGGAGCCTAACTAAGACTGAAGCCTGGCTGAAGCGACTGAACCCCCGAGACTCCAGTATTACGTTCGACTAATTTCAGGGACAGCTGGTATATACACGGACCGCAATCGAAGATAGGTATGGCTATTTCAGTAATGACTCGCCGTTGACGATACCGCAGGTTGGAGCCTATCAACTCAAGTGCACTGCGCCCTCGTCGCACTCCTCGAGTCCGTGGCAGCCACCTCCAACGACGAGTTATCCGCTATCATAGCTCCCTTGGCGCCTATCCTGGTTATTTATTCTCATGGGTTGGGCCTGCATTGTTGAGGTCAGTGATTCACTATTCAGGCAAGAGACTCGTCATGCCCCCTTCAGTCGTCTCAATTGAGTGCCCATTGCTATTTTGAAGTCGCACATAGGAATGGAAAGCAGTGATGGAACTGGACTGGAGCGATTTGGACTGGAGCCGGATGGAGGCCCGTCCAAAAATCTGGAGCTCCACATGTTTTTCGAGGAAATCCAATGGATTTGCCAAGAGTGACCAGATTTCCTAGTAAACTATGCTTACTAAGGGGCGCTATACCCAATATGGACATCTCGATGGACTGAAGTGGACTTGAGGCCAAATCCAGTCCAGTCCAGTCCAGTTCTTTCACTGATGGAAATCCCCGTGCGGTCTTTCACCTGCTATATCTGCGCTTCTTTATTATTTGTATGCCCAGTCCGCGTCGTGGTTGGTCGACCCCATCGCCAACCACAACAATAACATACCCACCTCAACCCGTATCATTCCGCGTAAGTCGGGGCAGGTACTAAAACTATGCCATTTCTCTCTCTCTAGTGCTCCTTTCCGTAGTCTTGCTGTATGTAGTATCCCTGTCGGTGTTGCTGCTCTTGAGAAGGGGGTAGTAGGATGCGTCCGCCCGCCGCTCTCCGTTCACATTCGCCATAACCTCGCAGAACCGGCGCGCCTTCTTTCCATGGCATTCTCTCCCTTGACACCGATGCTATGCGTGCTCGTGCTTGTCACGAGGAATCACTTCCGCTGACGTAGTTCAACCCGTCTCCTGCCACGTACTTCGACCTGCTTTCATCAACAATGCACCACCACCTCACAGCTGAAAACGTGTTCCGAGAACGACAGTACCAGTTGCCTTCTCAATAACTGCATATTGTCTCACTGTGTCTAGTGCAAGACTACTCTCTCCTCTCCCCTCTCCCGAAATTTCTTTCACCAACGGTTTCGTTCGTCCAAACCGCAGCGATGCTGCGGCATACTCCTCTTCTCTGCGCGATGCAGATCTTTAGCGCATTTCTCCCGACGGTATCGGCCTTTGCCTTTGGAAATGCTGGTATCACCTCGGAGCTGATGGCGCTATTCGTTCCCATTCTCCTCGTTGCTGTGTATCCGCAGCTGGGAAGCGACTCTTACTGCGAAATTCCTTTCGCCTTCGACCTTGCGTTGAGCGACAAATCCCTCACCACTACCAATCCCCTTGGTACCGACATCTGCCTCGTTGAGGACTTCGTCAAATCCATTTATTCTCCTTCTTGGATTGCTTCCCACCAGCCTGAGGAGACGGAGATACCAGCATGGATTGTAGCGTTCTATAGCCCTCCGGTCAACTCCTGGAACCCTGACGACAGGATCCTTAAGCCAACCCTTGTCAATGCGGACGCTTTCATCGCATACGTCATTAAGTGTTATTGGGTCTTCGACAGTTGGGTGGTGCTACCCATACTTATCAAGCTTGATCACTTCTTTAGTCACTGTCTACTTACTTGGTACGACTTTGACCACTGGGTTATTTTGCCAATCCTTATCAAGCTAGATGTTTCCGCTCAGTATGCGCAAGCTACGGCCCTTAGTTGTACGCAGCATACCCAGCACATCTGTCGACAGTCCTACCACGGCTTCGTTCAGGCCCTTCATGGCGCCTCCCACCGTTCGGCCCAGCTCACCCAGCTCGTCCTCACTAAGGTTGAAGTTCTCGCGTCTTCGACAGTCCCAAGTTACTATCACAGCGCTCAAGACTGCTCAATCTCCGCCTTCCTCTTCCTCATCAAAGCTCTCTCGGTACCTCTCGCTTTCGTCATGGTTGTGCTACAAACCGTGATTAGCTGGCTAGATCCATCACCATCGCCCCTGATTGAGTCGTTGTTAGATTTGGCGAAGGCAGTATACTCCAACCACGGCACTTTCCTCGAAGAACTTGTATGCGAAGGTGTGGTTAAAACTGCTGGCGAGATGGCTTCGCTGGCTTTTCCGGTCATGCTTGTCATGATATGGTTCGCATTCACTCTTCCGGTATACGTCAGAGCATACATTGTCTTCTACACCAAGCTGTGGCAAGGTGTGAAGTCGGCTGCCAGATTCATCGCTGATGCTCGTCATCGCCTCGAGGCCTTCGTGTCCACGATCTCTGCCAAATATCAATCGTTCAAGCAAACCTCCTATGCGGTCGGCCAGTTTCTGCAGATGTATTGGGAAGAGCTGTGCGACAGTAATCCAATCCTCCGACTTCCTGAAGCCATATTCGCGACGCTATGTGTAGTTGCATACACGCTGGGTGCCATGATACTCCTCATATTCTTCCAGATATTCCTGTGGGAAACCGTTGCAAAGCAATTCCTTTGGCAATTCGTCGTACAGACTTGTCTTTGGCATGCCATCCTCAAGAAATTCCTGGGCCGCTTCGTCCTCAAGACCGCTGCCTACGAATGGATGATCCAGAATATTACTTACGAAATCTGGGTCAAGAAGGTCATCTGCCGTGGATTGCTGATCAACGTATTCTGGAGCACCCTTGTCAGTCCCGTTACCTTGTTTCGCTGGATCGGGCGTTGGATCAGGGCCCAACTCGATAAAACATGGGGTGGATACTACCTAGATCAGTTCTGTTTACATTATGGGGACTGTCTAACAGCGTGGGCCAAACTTCGCGAGGAAGAAAGGCTAGCATGTATAAGTCTCGGGGCCTTTCTCGATGAGTGGCAGCCAACACCGATCGAAACGATCTGGTGGTGGATATCGTTTCTCAAAGAAGAGAAGGCCGGACTGGTTCGAGCAATTTCAGTCGTCCAACTTGAATGGTTCAATCTGGAATTCAGATACAAGGTCTGGAACCCTTGCACGAACTCATGGTGGTATAACGATAACCAAGCTACCCACGCGCAACGACTCGCCTGGTTCCAGCGTTACTTGCGATTTGAAAAAACGAACGATCCCATCCAGATGCTGCCAGGACTCCCATTCGATTACAGCTGCGTGCCTCAAGAGACTCTGCTTAGGGAAGATTACGAGCAACAGTATCAAGACCTACGCGATTGGGTGGACGGAGCCAAGCAACTTCTTGATATCATCTACGAGAAGATCGCGATCTTGGAGAGACGATCCAAAGGACGACGTGCCGAGGACTTTAAGTTCGGCCCGAAGTTTGAGGATATCTACCCGTTGCCGGCAGAACCGCAACACAGCCCCTCACAGTTGGTGGTCTTCGAAGAATACATGAGATTCTGCAAGACTTATGATATCTCTCCTAATCTGCGTGGCGGTCGGTTCTGTTAGCTTCCCATGCTTCTTTTCTTTCCCAAGTTTGCATACCTGTCCGTCGTTGCGACTCTATCCCGGCCACCCCCCTGTACCCACACCCATGTACCTCCAAAATCCCCTGTACTCCCTGTACATTTCCTGTCTTTTCCCCAGCCCGTCGATGTTCTCCCCTCTGGATTTCCCGTCCCTTTCAGCCGGTTCTTGGATTTCCGTGTATTTTGTATTTTGCGTTTCCAGCATTGCGTGCATAGCGAGCGATACCCCTTCCCCTTCCCCAAAAAGCATTCCCCGCTTCCTTTCCCTTTCTTTTTCCCGCTTCCCCAGAGACACCACACCGACACTTCTTCCCTCCTCCGCTCGCTGATTTGCTCGGCCAGTGCCAAAGGCATCCTGCGACTTGTGGCTTTGATCCCTGCGACCCATCCGTGGGGAGTGGGGGGAGTACGCCCTAGTTTATGGAAGCTGCTCTGGCTTGGTGGGTTGGCATGAGCTGTGGGGGGGGCAGCGGTGGCGGTGGCGGTGGGCTCTTAGATAGGAATGCGAGAGTTTTTATAATGAAGATTTTGGCTCTTGGTTTGATATGATGTGGTGACCCTGATTGTGGAGTGATGTGGTGTTGGGAGCTGAGGGGATGGTTGGGGTGGGGTGGAAATGGAGGTGGGTTGGTGGAGCAGTGCTGTTGGGTGGAGAGAAGGGAAGAGCGATGTGATGAGTTTGGCATTGCAAATCGCACGGTTGATAAGTAGATGTGAAATTCAGGCTGCCGAGCTGAAGAACGATTGACGGTGGAAATCGAAAGAAATACGGGGCTGTTTGACAATGTGGGTGAAGTAGTGACGAGTAGATCTGGCATTTAACTTACGCAGGTGAGGCGCTCCGACCTCACCCACCTGCCAAATCAAAGCGCCCTGAAAGACACTCGCAAGCTAAGATAATGTCCTACCTCGCAAAGAGCACCTCCCATTTCTCCCATATACTAACTAGCCCTCCAACCCCGCCCAGCCACACCCGGCTATCGCATCTGGAATGTCGTAAACCCAGTCCCGTAAATGCCGCCATGAACCCATCCATAATGCGTACACACATAATCCATCGAGCCACCCCAGATCCACGATTCCTTGACCGATACGTTAGCTTCCTTCCGTCAGCTAGTATTTGGGCTGGAAAGGCATGGTCTTCATTTGCGTGATCGGATTCTTGTCCGCGACGTCGAAGATGGCGTAGAGCCATTTTAGGATGATGAAGAAGGCGTCTGGCTCGCCCATGTGCTTGGTCTTGGGGACGAAACTGTGATTCGAATTAGTTTTGATTTGTCGCGTCGTTGGGAGCGTGTCGTCAATCGGGCTGATACTGATATGGTTCGGGGGACGTGGAGAACTTACCGAGCTTCCTTTGGCGCGCCGTGCTGCAGTGCAAGGTAGTAGTCATCGATGGGGAAGATTTCGTCTTCGGTGCCCTGTAACACGTTAGTAGACTGCAGAATGGAAAGAAGCAGGCAGAGAGCTTACATTGACGAGCAACAATCTAGCACACTCCGGCTTGTCAAGCGTGCCGTCTTTCAGCAACGAGAACTTGTCCGAAGCCTCCTTCTTGAACTTCTCGATGTCGGTTCCGTAGCCGTACTTGTAGGCCAGCGTGTTGGCAAGGCTATTGACTTCGTTAACTTGACTAGCTCCCGACGCCTATACGCTGGACTAGACCTACTCAAAGGGATACTCCAAATGGTTGACCTCTTCCAACCATGCAGGATCAAACATGTGGTGCACGCCTCCTCCCTGAGAAACCACTCCCGCCAAACGATGCGGTTGCATGTGCGCCAACCGAATGGCATAGTATCCACCGGTCGAGAATGCCCATACACACACCTTCTTCTTGTTGATCCGGTCTTGTGTGTCTATCCAGTCCAGCAAGCTCTCGTATTGCCTGTCCGGGCTCTTTGGGTCGCCGGGAAGCGCGGGTGAGTCTCCTGTTCCTGGAATCTCGAGAACAATCGTTCCTACGCCCTTCTGTCGCCAGCCCTCCATCCAGACCGCAAGCTCGGTCCTGTAGCCGTCAAGACCAGTCATGATGATCAGAAGGGGAGCCGGGGCTTCAGCGGTTGCGGTGTCTGGAAGGAGGTGATAGATTGGGATATGGGCGCCTTCGCCTTCGATGGCGTGTTTGTGGGGGACTAAGATTTCGTGGACGGGGTGTGGCCGCAGTCTGCAAATGTGCGAATTGTGTTAGTGGCGCTGATAGAAGATAATTTGAGAATTACAGAGACGCACCCTAGGCCTTTGATGCACATTTCCTTTCCCACCTTCCACGCATACTTCTGCTTCTCTGATCGCGGTGCTGGAAAGCGGGAGATGCGGTATACGGCCGATGATCGTCTATTGCATTTATCAGTCCATGCTCAATCGGTTGGCTGAAGGCTCATGGAGCTTACAAATAGTATTCCGAAGCCTTCTCAATCTCGCCTGCCTTCTCGGCCTCCTCGGCAATCTTTGTGAGCTCCTCAGCTTTAGGGAAATACACCTGGGCATAGGCATCCCAGTCGTAGGGTTCCTTGAAGTCTTGCTGCGATAGCTGTTAGCTGAAGCCTGATATATCTTAGCGCCACTATAAGGAGCGTCTCCGTACCTTCACAAGCTCGTCAACGATGGGCTGGAAGTCTTTTGTGGTACCAAACATGAATGGGTATACACCCATCTTAGCCTGTGAGAAATATCGAGTTAGCATAGCGAATTGTATGTTCTTGAGGACCGCAAGTACACACTGGTGCCTTCCACTTGGTCTCCCACAGCTGCTTGAAGGACTCATGATGCGCCGCGGTCTTCTTGATGTTCTTCTGGATGAAGAACTCGCCTCCTGGTGCTGCCATTTGCTTGGAATAGCTGTGTTTTCAAGGGATGAAGATCAAGCAGATTGAGAAGTGAGGAGGAAAGACGTTGAGATTGGGTTGTATGAGGGTTTGGGAGTATGACGACTGATGCCCCACGGGAAGACCAAGCTCTATTTATGCAGCTGCATCTTCCTTCGGGGTCTTCTCGAGTCCGGGAGGGGCCATAGCCCGCGAGGTTTCTATAAACGCGTCGGTCTGTACAAAACGCGAGGCACCGCTATGTCCGTGTGGGGAGCCGGCGAGGGGCATTTTGGGTCTGACGCGGGTGCCTGAGGCTGCCAATACCTGTAAGACATAGCTCTCTTTACAAGTATAGAGCAGATGGCACTGCAAATCCAGCGTTTTGATCTGAGTTGAGGATATGCTGTTGTGGCAGTAGTAGTCGAAATGTATGTACCCTGAAGGTATTCTATGAGGTCTTTGCAGATCCTGGAGGGTAATCAGCCCTACCGCGGGGGTCAGGGTCCACCAACACTAACCATCAATCGTGTCGTTTCGTACACAGTTTACAGGCCCACAGGCCTTCCCTTCCGAAAAACATCTACCGCAACTGGATGCTCAGAGGTATACATAGTACAGTACTATCAGCTAGAACCAAGCAATCTTAAAGCCACCGTCTTCTATCCATGGAGTCTAACTCATTAGGGGTACGGCGCGTATCGGGGCCAGGGAGATGGCGCGTATCGGGGCCACATGAGGCTGAGGATGCGAGACCTTGGGAGCTGGAAGAGCTGAATGTTGCCTAACACATACAGATAACTCCCAGGTCGCTCTCCAAGGGACACGACAGTTTGACCAAAACGCCGCTTAAAAGCTTTTTCTTGGACGTCATGAATGCTAACACTGGCTCGTTCAGAATATGGACGAACTGTTTCGACGGTTCATCAACGCCGCTCAGCCTTGCTGAAAGTCGAAAGTTCTCCATTCAGCCTGGAATGGACTGTTCCTCTGCAGTTACGCAGCATCTGCTTTCGCGTAGAGCGATAGCTACTGCTGCTACTGACGAGACCTTTCTGGTGTTTGTGGAAGCCTTTCTCTATCCCACTCATACTTCCTGACATTGCCCTCAGGGTTCTCGAAATAGAAGACTACGCACCCGGAATATCCGAGGCCCTGAAAAACGCATTATCAGGCTTCCCATCGGACCTTCTTGAGAGTGTAGAGTATAATCGCTCGACTGGGCAAAATGTTGCGGTCCTTCCGAGGATTCAGAGGCTCTCCTCCGGTGAATAAGGGTTTTCAAATTCCCTTTGAGCATCCATCATGGCTTTATTTTATGGCACTGAACTCTCTGATACATCACAGTCGTCTCGGCAGTCGGCTTCTTGATCAATTATCCTATTCTTCCCAATGCTGAGGACAATGAAAGCGTGTCGACGTCCACCAACTTTCTTCCGATAGCAACGTGGCTCTGTTCTGGTGCTAAAGCGCTCTTACCCCACGAGCCTGTTCATGACCAAGGTGTTCCAGACACGGTTTTCCTGTTAGTCTTCAGCTAGGCTATCATTACAATGGCCCGGAACACCAAGACCGGCGCCAACGCCTGAAAGATGCGCTGTTATGGATCTCAATGGACCTACAGTTCGTCTTCTCCGATTGGTCAAGAGTATGGAATAAGATGAGAGAATCCTTATCGAAGTGCCACAGCCAAATACACGGAGATGTCGACACCCCTCCGCTGCTTGATTTGACAAGGAAACTCCACAAGGACGCATCAAGAGTCATAGCTCTGCGAGAACAGCTCTGTGTCCACTCGGGGGCTGTCGCTCGTTTTCTGGGTCTCGTAAACTTCCAAGCGGCGCAAGCGCCCAGTTCGCAATTGTCCGCCCTGAAATATCGGGTTAAGGAATGTCAGGACGTTATGACTTACCAAGAGGAAACGTCTCAAGTCATCTTGAGGCAGCTAGAGAACCTTTTTAGCCTTGTACGTTGTCCGCCTCTCTCTAAGTGGGACTATACTAACAATAGATACGTAGGCGTTCAATACGGAGACCATGATGCAAGGCCAAACCATGGCGCGCTTGAACGTTTTGGCCTTTGCATTTCTCCCAATGTCTTTCGTTGCAGTGAGTCAGAATCTTGGTGATTATTGCACACTCAGGAGAGGCTAACTGTGGTACACAGTCACTCTTCGGGATGACGAAGTTCAGCATCTCCGCCGCATGGTATCCTTTTATGGGCTTTCATTATTCTTGCTATCGTCATAGCGATCACTCTATTTATCCCCGCTTCTAAAGTGTACCGCATCCTTACCTTCAACAACTCAAGCGCGCAAAAGAAGCCTCTCAAAAAGCCATATCAGCAGTACCAATCACCTCTACCCATCATGCCTCTGGCCTCTTTGGGTGCTTATACTCGTATAGAAGGCGGAGGGATCAACCCCGAACCAGTCTCTTATACATATATGGGTCGAGTAGAGGGTGGGGGCATATATCCACCGCCACCACAGCTTCTTCCACATGCTCGCTCTGCCGAGGCTTATGCTCTTAGGGAGGGCGGGAACGTATACTCGCAGCCGGCACAGCCCTACGCGTATTCCTACGATCACAGTGAAAACACTTTGGGTGTTACTCCAGTGGTTGCACCAGCCCAGCCACTACCGCCCATCCTAGAGGTGGAAGCGCAAATGGCAGCTCTTGACCAGCAAGCCGCACATCTTAACGACGAGCGAATGATCGAGGAATCTTGCCCCAGATTCTGGAACCACTCGCCTGAAGCTCAACAAAGACCTCTACGCCAGAGTTCCGGGATACAGTTACCACTGCCTCCTCCGAGCGAGGGCCCGCTCGAGAGTATAAGAGTGCTCAACGACGAAAACGCTTTTGAATTAGCCGCAATGCCCCCCAGCACGTACGAATGAAGTCGACGCTGGCGACACGAGCCCGTTGCTACGCTCCCGGGCTGCCACTCCTGCATCAATGGTTAGGTTAGCGAACCCGTGATTAATTAAAATTAAGAAACCACTTCACATGTCACGCCTACTGCGCTCTCTGATGAAACCAGAACACCTCTCTTGACACGCTTGTCGATCCCCTAAACCCGCCAGCGTAGTAGTTGGGCTTAGAGTCGAGCTATCAATCGCCGACAGGCCCACAATCCCGCTCGATATCAGTGGACTGATACGCCGAAAGCTGCATGCTCAGCACAGCGTGCCAAGAGAGGCGTCTGATTTTTCTCGGAGAACACGGCACAATTTTAGAGAGACCATGACCAGGAAGGCATGCATCCATTTTCAGGGTTCATGATATCTACTATATCCTCTCTCCAACACTCCCAGGGTGCCGCAGGGCCCGCCCTAAACCCCCCCAAAGTCGTGAAAAGGCCACCGTCTAGGTATCGCTCCGCCAGCCAGCTCTATCTCGAAGTCTTACCCAAAAACTCATGTAGCCTAGAATCCCCCACCCACGTCAAACTCGGTCTTGGCTCATTTGTGCACCGTCGTGGTCTTCGCCGCCGCAAGCATAGCTTCCGGGTCCCTGATTCCTGCTGTCTGTCCCTCCTTGCAGCGCTTCAGCGTCAGCGCTGAGATGAGTGCCGCACCGACACCGCTTCCATCCTCGGCAGGCAGGATCTCGATGGGGTCTTTGCGGGTGGTCCAGTCGAAGATCTCGCGTAGGGCCTGTGCGCCACGGGCCTTGAAGTGCGGGTACTTGTTGAAGACAGAGCCGTCGGCGCCAACGTGGCAGGAGGTGATGTTCTTCTTTTTGCAGATGGCAGCGACGCCGCAGGCGGAGAGGCGGGCGGCGCGGGTGCCGATGAGCTTGGTGAGGTGGGCGATGAGCTCGAGTTCGGGCTTGGTGGTTGTGATGCCGAGTTTGTTCTGGAAGAGGTCTTGGGTTTCGGACAAGTTCTCGAAGGGGTCCCTAGGCGGTGTTAGGTGGGAGGGGTAGGGGAGGTGGGAGGGGCTTACTCTTCGATGGAGGAAAGGAAGGAGGCGTCTAGGCTGTAAGCCTTCTTGAGCTTGCCGAGGTCTTGGCCTTCGAATATCTTGACGTCTTGGTTACCGTGTAGGTCAACGAGGACGAGACGGAAGATTTCGCCGAGGTAGAGTCCGGCGATCATCTTTTCGAAGGCTTGTTGACCTGGCCGAGGGGACTCCTTGTCGATTATGATATCATAGGGCGTGCGTGGCAGGACTTTGTGCTCGTTGTCGAATGCGCCCCACTCGCAGTTGATTGCCATAGGAAGCTTTGGGTTGAGGTTCAGGTGAGCAAGCTTCGGGATCGAACCGCAGTCCTCCATATACGCAGCGTTGCATCCGGTGCCGAAGATACATCCGATTTTCATATCAGTGTCCGTGTATGCAGAGGCAATTAGCGTTCCAGTGGTGTCGTTGACGAGAGCAGTGAGCTTGATAGGAACACCCTAGGGAACATCAGCGGCCAGCCTAAATCATGGGCTCATTACTCTTACCCGCTCTTTCAGCGCAGCTTCGAACGGAGGAACGACGTCTTTGCCTTCCACTCCCTCAATATCGAACCCCTTTGTCCATCGCTGCAGGACACCGTGGTCAATGTAGTCTTGCGTAGCTGGGTATGAGAATGTGAAGCCAAGGGGAAGTTCATCCAGCTCCTCGCCCTCGTGATGGTACTCGATAAACTGCTGGAGACAATCGGCCACGTAGTCCCATAGCTCCTCTGCATTGCCTGTCTTGAGCTCCTCGGGCATCCGGTATTTTGACTGGATGATATCAAATTCACCCTTTTCTTCCGGAAGGTTGATCTCGCACACTCGGAGGTTGGTTCCGCCCATGTCAAGGGCAAGGAAGGTGCCAGTTTCGTATCCATCGGGGAATCCCATGCACCATGTAGGGTTCATAGGCTTGAGGTTATTAGCAGAATTCGAGGTAGCAGATTTTGATAGACTTACGATAGAGCCACCCTCGACAGTAAGACCTGCAGATGCGTCAGAATAGCGCAAGGCTGAAGGGCTACCATTCAAGAAGTACCTTTAGCCAATTCGTTCACGAAGTGGTCGGTAATCTCCTTGAGCTTTTCCTTGGGAACAGTGAAGAGCTCCTCGAGACGTTTGATCTGGTCGAGCAGGTCCTTTGGCACATCGGCCATTGAACCTATGCCGAGTGTCAAACCCAAAATTCCCGTTTAATATAGAGTGTGGCATACCCTTTCGAGAAGGAGGCTTTCTGGGACCGAGACCAACCATGATGGCGGCTGTTGGCGGTCTTATCAGGGAGGGTTTTGGGTATAGGAGGAGAGTCGCGACGAAAGTATTGCCGTCGTGAGGGAGTCGAGATAGGTGTCTAACTTGGGTTGATAGAGGGTAGGTTTTTTGGTCTGTGTATAAGTTGACACTTTGTGCGGGTTGTCAGTGAGTAGTATGCTGGATCGACTTCTTAAGAAGGTAAAATTATGAGTGGTGGTGAGGTTTTAAATCGCGCTGGGCCAAGGCTGATGGGTCAGGCGGATGGCGGTATTTTCGAAGAAATTGCTTGCTTTTCGACCCCTAAAACGCTCCTGCATATATAGGAAGCTCAACGACGACCTCAATTCCCGCTTACGAAGCTCTTGTAGTCATGCTGAACAACGGAAAGCCCCACCATGGACGCTCAAAAAGCACTGCGGGGTACTTGTATGGGGAATTTGAAAACATAGCAGAGATGCCTCAAGAATAATGCACTAAGGACCATAAGGAAGACAAAGACTCACCAATTGCTGCTGGAATGAGAGGGGAGAGGACTGGGAAGAAAAAGTGTTGTTGAGGATTCTGGTGGCCGCTCCGGGTTCCACGAAGAAGGTCGTCATAGCGTCCGCTTGGCACCGGTGCGGATCGGAAGACACGGCGTTGGCATCGCATGGAGGGGGCCAGCCTCGTTCTTCAACGTCCTCCCAGGCTCCTCACCAGCTGCTTGTCTTCTCGCACCCCCGCCATCACCAAGTGAGGCCTCCCTTCGCAGGCGTATGTCCCACGGATCGCCGATCTGCTGACCCATCCCGGGCGCTGCAAGGCACAGCCGAGTGATGCGCGGGAGAGGCCGCCCGAGATGCTGCCACTTGCACGAGGCGATGTACCTCCACGCACACTGGATGAGGCTGCGGCGTATGAGACACCAGCCTGAGGAACGGTGCTACCTAGGAGGCGTTTGGGGCAATGCACAAATCATGAGGCCTCTGATAGGGTAGGTCACAGCAGTCAATAAGTCAATAAGTGCACGCGTCTCCCTCTACACCAGCTGCCACCCATGGAGTTCCACGCATAAGTCCTGCTCTTCGCAGCACTTGTCACTCTGAGTACATCATCTTCTCTGAACGTTTTTGTGTGATAATGGACAGCGTCTGCTCTGGTTGGTCTCCTTGTATTGTCCGAACCAAGCCTCGGGTCACGTGCTTGGATAACATCATTCACCTCGATCTTGTTTCCACAGTCTCCTGGCATGCCAGGCACTCCTCACCGTCTACAGTCGGCATCTGAAGAGTCACCTTCGACAACAGCCTCTATCCAATACTCAAACTCTATGTCGCCTTGCCAGCTCTGCCTCTTCTTCCCGTCGTCGCCTCAACCACTGCCAACGCACTGCTTGGTATCTTCGCGCCATGAACAATAACATGGCCGATAAACCCACTTACTTCCAGACTGCACGCCAGGCCCGTAACGTGGAGCGTCTTCCGTCGCTCCTAGGTCTGCTCTATCCGCCCCCTATCGCTAGCCCCTGGCCGTACAATCAACACGAGTACCGCGAAGACGTCAACAGGCGCACTCGAGCAGCCCGCAGCGAGTTTGATCCAAACTCACCAGCCGAATTGGTCCGTGGGATGCTGGACAAGAAAGACCTCCTTCGCCTACGAGAGGTCGCTAGGTCACTGGATGATTGGGTTATCGGAATCTCCTTCCAGGACTGGGTCAAACTCATGTGCCAAACCCTCTACGCCAATACCGCCCTTTTCAACTCGAACAGCCAGGCAGAGCTCAATGCAGGTTCAATCAAGGCTTTGGAAGTTCTCGGGCGCAACTGCAGCCACTTCGTGATTCGTCTGCGACCCGATCTGGTCCAGACTCTTGGAGCGGTGGCGTGGACGGACATTCTGAAATACGTGCGAGGTGCTGGCAAAATCACTATCTCCGTAAATGCACGTGAGAGCTTGGGGGCTGGCACAGCAGTTTGGAATATGCTCACAATGATTCGAGTCGCTCTCGAAGACTCCGATATCAACCCCTCGGTCGCGGAGGTCGAGTACTTGTCGGATGCTGAGGAACCCGAAATCCACGCCGCGCCCGCAGAGAGTCAGGATGAGGCTGATTTGGAGATTGGTTTGCGCATTAGCGCTCAAGAGCGTCTGGAATGGAACGAGGAACTGCAATTCCCGATGGATTAGCTAGGTACTGCATTGAGGGGGGCATGGCAGCTTCTCACCCCCTCTTTTCCCTTTATCAGAGTTATCATCAAACGATACCCAATTTCCACTCTCATAAAGACGTCAGAGGAACTCACACTTAAATTCTTGCATTACTAGACCGGCGTTGGCGGTAAGAAACTTCATTGTTTGGGTGTCTTGAAGTAGCGTGAGCACTATCAAAACAACAGCACAAGTGCTCTGATTCAATGATACATGAAATAAGACAAACTTTTCCTTACTTAAACAATTAAGCATTTCAACTTAGTCGTATGAAGTTAAAGTACAGGGCTCGTCATAGAAATTCCTACACTTATTTACCACTGCGTGAGGAACTTCATAGTCATTCCAGCATTATAAATAAAAGAGAAGTTCGGTATTTCAGAAAAGATAAATAAGACGGTTTATATGTCCCGTTAAACTTACTAGGCCACCTTGGCAGCGTTAACACGGTGTATAAAGATTGGAAATGTATTCGCTGCCCCCGCTTTCTATTAGTATGTTGGAGCCCCATAGATAGTGGTAGGAAAGTGTACGGATTTCTTTGGCAAGGCACTGTACGAAGGCCCCCATGACCTAACAAACATTTCGATCCAACTCCACCTCAATCTTCACCCCCGCCTTCCTCAACCGCTCGACGAAAGGCATCCCTAGCGTCGACGGCGTCAGCAGCCCTCCACTTCCGGTCCTATTTCCCTCCGCCTTACTCTTCTCAATCAATACCCCCGCAGCCTCAACCGCCAGGATAGCACTCACATCCACCAATGCGCCCTCATAAACAAAACTCGCCCTCGCCGCCACCCCTTTCTTACCTTCCGCCGTCCCCACCGCCCGAAACTCCGCCCGCTCTATCTTCCGACTCTCCACCCTATCCGGCCCCGTTCCAGGCTTAAACGATAACTTCCCCAACAACGTCCTCACAAGCGGAATCGCAAACAGCAGAATCCCCACTTTCGTAAGCAGATGCACGAACACCGCCGCAAGCACGCCTGGGACCGGTAGGTACTCATGAAACCGGAACTCCGGGCCGTAAACCTCAGGCCTGAGCCCAGCACTCCGGCGGACGACGCTTTCGTTTGAGACAGCGACGAAGGAGGTCGTCAGCGCGCCGAGGCCGGGGACGAAGCGGTAGCCGAAGAGGCGGCGGAGGAGAGGCGTCGTGTCGGCGCCGGGTCTGCGGGCGGCGGACATGGCCCATGGCGAGCCGAAGAGGAACCAGGCGACGCCGTAGGTTTCCATGACGCTGAGGATGGTGGTGAAGGAGCCGCCGGACATGCCGGCGAACTCGAGCTTGCCGGAGCTCACGACTTCGGCGGTGCCGGTCGAGAGGGAGGCGCGGATGGAGGTCGCGATGAGGTAGGCGGTCAAGTCGGAGGGGGAGCTGGAGAGGGAGATGGCGGGGATGAGCTGGTCAACCGTGTTAAGACTTGGTTTGTTTTTAGGTGGGGGTGTGGGAGTTGGTGGGACTTACGATGGCACCGGACTTCTTTGCTGTGGTGTGGTACTTGTCGATCATTTCTTTAATCCAAGGGGTTTCTGTCGAGCTGGCTATATGAGCATGCAGCTCGGGGAGAGCTGTCAATACGAATACTTACAAGTCAACGTAGTTCGTTCCGTTCTCCGCGCAGGCTTCTACAACTGGAGTAGAGTATCGGTGATATGGGCCGACGCCGTTGATTAGTACTCTCGTTCTTCGAGCGAAATCTACTAGGGCTTTCTTTTCGAGCTGGACGACTTCGATGGCTATGTGCTTTGCTTAGCATTCTCTCAAGATAGAGGCGACCCTCAGAGCCGTGGGAATGGATTGTTACCTAGTGGAGCTCGATCAGGATTCAAATCTTTCAGCTTCTGAGCTAGATCGATGAGTGCAGCCTCAGAACGACCAGCAATTGCCCATGACGTGTTTGTGGGATAGGTCTTCGTGATCTCTTCAGCGCAGATAGAAGCTGTATAGCCGGTCGCACCGAGGAGGACGAGGTCGTATTCGCGGTGTTGGATCGTGGGGACCATCCTGAATTGAAGGGACCAGAGAGCATAGGAGTGTGACTTAGTACAAGAGTCTTAAACGCTATCAAGAGCAGAAATGAAATGCAGGGAATGCTTTTAGACGCCGTTCTAGAGGCTTTTGGTGTATAGTAGTGATTCAAATGAAAATGAAACGAGTGATAGATAATATAAATATTCATTTGGCGAAGCCATTCTCCTAGTTATACACATACACATACTCATATCTATCCACTCGTCCCTGACTGATTATTTTCTCTGTACGTTCGAATCCCTACTCGGAGTACCGGAACCCCAAAAAAGGTCCGATAAAAGGGAACCAAGACTAGAACTCATTCTATATTCCATGAAAAGGAGCTACATTTGGCGAAAAAGGAATCTTAAAAATCTTCGAACTATCTACGTTTCCTGAGTCACTAGTTGTGTTTTGTAGTAGCGTCTACGTTGCAAGGGGGTTGCCAGAGCACAGGGGTAATTCAGGTCACGTGTGATGGGATAAGAGAAAATTAGTTTAGGAGGTTTGATCAAAACGAGCATGGCTTTGCCTCCTCATAGACAATACATGGTATAGATTGAGCTGTCATACGTAACTTGTAAGAAAAGATTTTGAGTGCGATTGAGGATAACGTGAACGCGCGTCTTAGCGCATTCTCAGCTCAGACCTCCCCCTGACCCTTTTATTCCATTTCAACCGAACGAATCCACCATCACAAGGGTACCACACGACAAAGATAGTCAGAACAAAGCAGAAGGCCCGAAATCAGAAGGCCCGCGAACGGGCATTAGAGAGGAAGGAGAACCCTCAGCCTCCGAGATTGATCGAGCCAGGACGAGGAAACAGCAGAAACCATGAGAAGCTCAGGGATCGTGCAGCCATATATCAGCATACACCACATCCCATGCCCGAATCCAACACGCTTCCACATATAGAAGGATTCTCCAGGCCCACTCGGAAACTCATATCCAGTAAACCAACAAAAGCAACGAGGCGGGCGGCTAAGAGGGCCGTAGGGCAGCTAGGGGAAGCAGAAGCTGCGGAAAGGGCAGCCAGACCCGATCCATACCAAGAGATGATATTTCGAAAACGACAGCTACGTCACGAAGCCCGAAATAAGACGTCGATAACGCTCCCCACGATTAGTCTATCAGCCCTACCAATACCCGCGCTTTCCAACTGGCCAATCCGTATACTTCAACTCAAGTGAAGGTTTTGACGCTTCACGTCTAGTTAAGGGTATTCGGAGTGTGCGCTTCGGCGGCGATTTTAGCATGCAAGAGTATGTACATAGCCCTATAGTGATTTACACCACATAATCATTTAATTTCTTTGCTAATCTTCACGCTGCAGCTCACATATTGAGGCGCTCATAGCTGCTGGCCCTGAGTTCTGCCAACAATTGACAGAGTTTCGGTCGGGAAGCTCGGATACTGGATGCGGTAGCGCTCTTACAGACAACGCTGTTTGTAAGCTTGCAGAAGCGTGTCCGCGCCTCGTTCATGTTGAGTTCGAGTCCGAGTCCTCTACCTGCCTTACAGATACCGCACTACTAGCCTTTCTCAACTACTGTCCTGGTATACTCTCCTTGGGCATAACTGGGAACGACAAAGGAAAGGACAAGTCAAAGGGAGAGCATTGGACGAACTATGCAAAAATCCTGCCATGGCGAATATGCTCGAAAGACTTCATCTGCTCGACCAAAGAGTGTCAAAAGGAATAAAAAAAATTGTCGCAAAGCAGGCAACGGCTCGCAATTGTTGTGGGCGACACGGCAGGAGATGGGTTTGCAGCTCAATATGTGTCAAGTTTCATGGGCGGCAACGACATAGAGACATGGTTTGAAGGTCGATTAGTAGGATGCGACGGGATACGAGCGATGACGATATTCGTAGCCTCGACGACATACCTTACCCAGATGGCTTTTGGGAGGATGAGACTATTATCACGGATGTCGAGGACCTCGAAGAAGTTTGCGACGACGAAGAGGAGCTTCTTACAGAGTCCGAGGACGACAATGATGTTGCAGAGGAAAGCGAGAACTACCCGTCGGAAGATGACTAGACTCATAATCCACTTATCCAAAAAGGGATCTGCTTCTCTACATTCGGCATTTGCGAGTGGCTTTAGCTGACCCGATTTATCTCCGAAGGCGACAAGCTTCATCTCTCCGAAATCAGGCTGCAACGTGACTTCTCTTTATCATCAATCCTCGTGGACGACTTCTTGAGGGCCATGGCTAAGGGATTGAGTCTGTTTACATCTGGGAATGACATTGCTCTTTGTGTCTTTGAGCAAGTAAGTCTGATTGTTAAACCCACTAATGTGTGAGTGTAGATACTAACTAGACGTAGGTCTACGATCATTATCCATTGTCAATAGGACAACTGCGTCTCGTATCACGTAGATGTCGACACCTCGCAGACTCGTTCTTCTTTAGAAGCATCCGTCTCTATGATCAGGATCTCCCCCCAAATCTCAATGCTGTGAACGGACATATCATCCGACGGTTACTCGACTCTGAAGACGTACTATCGCGATACGTTTGGCATTTCAGACTTGATAGGTTCTTTCCCGGAACGGAGTTATCGACACTAGATTCTCCAGCAGTTCTTGAGCAGATCGTCTCAAATCTGAACAGCCCTCGCACCTTCCAGTGAGTACTCCAATTTTCATGATGTAACCACTCATTGACTAATGTCTCTAGTCTGTCCGGGGCATATGGTATGTCGGAGAACACCGCAATTCTGATTCAAGAGAAATGGCCACAATGCCGTCTATTTATTACAAACGACATCTATGGCACTGCAGGTGGGCGCAACCCGCCGGGAATCTTCACGGTGGTAGAACACCACTTGGCAGTCCAGCTGTACTACTTGGATTACACTGCCTCACATAGGCGGCCCTTAGGCGCCGCCGACGGGGTTTCTGAATACAGGAATATGTACCGTCAAGATTTCCTGCGCCTTACCAAGCTTCTCATGCGCCTGAAGAACTTGAAGGTGTTGAAAGTGGCCGAGATGTGTCTTCCTTCACGCTCGTCTGGTGCTCCCATCAGTATGAACTTGCAACTTCAACTAGGAGAGAGGCTACCACCGCTAGAGGAGCTTTATTTCGGTCGTGGAATGCTCGAGTTCAATCAAGAGTTTTGCGTTCAGCTCAGAGAATCCATTGACAAGACGACGCTACGGAGACTTGATCTGGGTAGGCGATGCCCACATCATGTTTTAAAAGAACTGAAAGGGCGTTTGCCAAATTTGAAATCGCTGCGTTTTGCCCTCAACATCTACGATTCGGATAGTGGATATCGGTAAGCACTACTCGATTAATTATCGACTCGTTTACCTTGTTGTTCATTTTGCATTCGTACTGACACAATGGACTTAGACCCAATGGTGCCGTTCCAGACTATTGGACGAACGAACAGTGTGGGAGCGTTGACATTGTCCGAGGGTTTGTTGAATCAATGAATGGACTCGAAGAGCTGACCTTGACCGAAGATCATCGAGGCACGTTCCATACGTCGTTGCTTCCAGCCATTCTGAAACAGCATGGGCGTACTCTGCGGACACTGGATATCCAGAACAAAACTAACGGCCCACAAGTCTTCTGGACTAAGGACGAGCTCACCACTTTACTAAAACACTGCCCCTGCTTACAGCATTTCTCAGGACATGTGAGCGTCACTCATGAAAGCAATGTTACGAGAAGCCTCAGCTGTCATGTGAGTCTCCTGCATCACCGGTAAGCGTTCAAGCTTCGCTAATTCGTAAAACCATAGTTCCCTGATGTGCTTGATGTTCTTGTCCGATTCAGACATCTGCGCAGTTTGAGACTTACCATCATGCCGGAATCTGTAGCAGACGCCACCGACCTCGCCAAGATGACATTTCGGTCGTTCTTCGTCGAGAATCTGCTCAGTCGTCTTGAAGATGTTGTGGTCGTTTGCTGGTTCAACCGCGAGTGGGGCCACATCGAGAGTGAAACAGTGGAAGTGAAGATTACGAGGCTATGGGCTGACGACACTACCAGGTTTCCAGGAGACTGCTATGCTTGCTCCGAAAGATACCCAAACGAGGCACGTACTAGAGCACTGAAGGAGCTTGCGAGCATGTGCTGTGGGTCTAGACACACAGGCGAGCATCTAGATCCGAATTAAATCTAGAGAGGTCATGTAGGTGTATGCGGCGTTCATGTTGCAAGTCAGACGCCAGAAATTGCCGAAAGCGCATCGTATAGCCTAGCCCTATCTTAGAGAAGATCCGTTCAGTCGTACATAATCAGTCTAGAGAGATCGAAATCGAGTCCCAGGACGAAGTTTAAGAGGAGCGTATTTACACAACTCCAGAAACCCAATTTGAACGTTTTCAAGCCCCATTAGCTTTCCTTATCCCTTTCTTGTCCACGCAAACAGCCTCGATGTTATTTCCTTCTGGATCAATGATGAACGCCGCATAATAGGGCTGACGGCTCATCTCAGGACGGATACCTGGTCCGCCTTGGTCTTTGCCTCCCTCCTTCCTGACAGTGAGACATGATCGTCAGCGCAATGTCCAAAAAGAGACACAAGGCAGATTCAGCTTACAGTCCAGCAGCATGGAATGCATTCACAGCCTCGTTATCTAGTTCTAGTCAGCATGGGACTTCGGGAACGCGTTTCTCGTGGCTCCTCCTACTTGGTGCGTCGAAAGCGATATGGGTCGGGACTGGAGTCTGCCCTTCCGGCAAGGCTTTCAACCAAAGATATGGATAGTCGCTCCCGTATCCAATGAGGGTGTCATTATTTGCAACGATCATCTCTGTGTAGCCCACCGGCTGGAGCAGGTTTCGGTAGAAGGTGCGCAAAGCCGGTAGGCGTGCGGGAGTGACGAGCAGGAAAAGATGGTTGATTGTCATGATGGCGATGAAAACACGAGTCAGGAAAAGAAATAGCAGTTCAAGTCAGAGCCAGCGCGTGCGGGGAGGCACGAAGCTTTTCAGTATGCTCAAAAATAGCACGACGCATGGGCAATTCCGCATGCAGCATCCATTCCGAGAGGCTGCTTTAATTGCGGGTCTGATACTCGCACCAGAATACTCGCCTACCACCCACCAAGCTAGTTCCAGAACTACCCGTGCCCCGAACTCCGACAACCACAGCCTCTCCATCTCTCCCAGCAACCGATGCTGAATAACCTGAACCCCTTCATTCATTTCTTGGCGGAGGTCTTCAGACACTTGCCACTTTCAAGGCCTGAATGCTTGGCCACGATGAGCCCTTGCCCCGGCACATGCACTAGCCTGCCGCTTCCCTGCGGGCACGCCGCCTTATGCAGACAGTAATCAGATCTGCGATACTAAGCCTCCAGCGTCGTATTTGGCTTTGGATCTCTATTAAAGGTGCTAACCAGTGCCTTGGACACAGAATTCTATAAGGCTTGCGCGGAACCCCGATCGGGACCTGTAAGCCACTTTGCGTACCGTTTACGACCCATCCACCAGAACCGACATCACCCACTTTCTCGTGTATTTAACATTTGCCTTGGTTATTTGCACCAATGGATGCCCGGCAATTGGAGTGCAGGATCTGCAAGAAGACATTTACTCAGAGTACGTGCTGCAGACTTCCCTCCTATACACGGCATAGGCAAACCCCGAGCGGAGCCTCGATTTGCCTAATTCAGTCTCTCCACTAAATACTGCACGACTATAACTCAATTTACATGTGCCTATTGTGCGAGCCGATCTCGATCGACCTTCTGTCTCCACCATTCATTCACCTCATCTTTGCGGTACTTCGCGGCTCATTCAGAAGCATCAAATTCTTCAATCGCTGACTTCACCAAGAGTCATCTCTGGTCAGACACACTAAACGATGTACTCCAGGGCCGAGCCCCAGCCTACGCCAGAAGTCCTGCCGTTGGTGTACAGGGTCGAAAGTCCGATGTGATCTACAGCGACCGACTTGCTCACGGTGCCTGCAACGAGATCTGGCCTGCGAGTATGTTATTCCTCTTACTAGAAACTGGAGGAGTCCCTCTGCCTCGGGTTTTTCGCGGAGCCTTGATGGCTCGACCAATTCGGCTAGTGCTAGTCCACCCTCAGCTCCGGATCCTCAACCACCTCCGGTCTTGTTCGCGTAAGTACTGTACCTGTCTCCTCGTCTACTTTCCACGCGGGGCATGAACAAAGGTGGCACTCTAATTCATAGAACAAGCCGCCCTAAATGTGTGCGTATGTATGCCACTGCTTGTGGTGATTCAATGCAATTCCAAAAATCTGAACAACATCAAAGCTCTTCACCTTGGGCTATGTGGAACCTCACTGAAGCACTTCAAGCAGTGGTATAGAGGTGTACACATGGCTGCACGAGACGGAGTGCTTGATGAGTGTGGCCACTTTCCCCCCACCCAGCGTGGGCCCCTTAGCGTGCCCGATCGTAGCGTTGAGAGAGCAACACTCACCGGAGTTCGAAGTTCATAGCCAGCTAACGCTGATCAGCTCTCCTACATCCACGCCTGCTCCCGCCATCACGAACCCGTCTCAAACCGAAGGAAGCGCGCAAACAGACAGTTTTTCGCAATTTCTGTTCTCACATAACGATCCATTTCCTAATGTGTCATCCTCATCCCTCGGTGCGGACCTAGCATTAACTTCATTCGCCGATCAATCGTGCTCTCCCGCTACTAATACGCCAGAAATAAATAACTTCGGCAACGACTGGACAAATTTGCCATTTCTTGAACAGCTTGACTCCACTCCACCGCTAGCGAGACATAGCATGGAGGTCCTACTTCGCGTTATGAAAACTTGGCCGAAGATGCTGGCAAAGGAATTCCAGCCTCCGCCGTTACTTCATACGTCGCAGATGTACCATATACTCACTAATCAAAACCCGCGAATACTTCCGGAACAGTCGGCACATCCTGTGCCGCAACCACTTGCGAATTGTTTTACTATCTCCAAAATGTGGGCTGGTCAGTGTGAGGGAGCGAGCGGAATTGTGACGGAGACGGTTACGAAAGAGATGGAGTCATTGTTTGAGAAGGTATGTTATCTATCTTGGAGCGTGGAGTGTATCGTATTAGGACTTAGTCTGCGAGCATAGACACAAGCACTAATGCCCAGGATACTACTCCATTACTAACTAGATACAGTATCGCACAATGAACGAACCCGATCTCCTCGCCGCTCTCCAGGCTCTCGTCTTATACACCGTCATGCTACTGTTCCCCTCTCACTCCCAATCTTCTCTCGCTCCCGTCGCCCCTTCTGTCTTCGCCTCTCTCCAAAAGGTTGTTTACTACGTCGCCAGCACCGGCCTCGTGCTCCAAGAAGAGCGCGACCACATCCGCCCGTCCTGGGACTCCTGGATATACGTCACCTCGAAACGCCGCGCGGTCTTTTCCCTCTACCTCCTCCATTGGTCCTACAGCGTCTACAACGGCCTCCCCTCCTTCAGCTGCGCCGAGCTCGGCTTCATGCCCGCGCCCGCGCCCAAATTCCTCTGGGAAGCCGCCAGCCGCGAGGTCTGGGAGGCATACTATATCCGCTGGCTGGCGCAGTGGGGTGGGGAGGAGTACATGATGCGGGAATTCCAGGACGTGGAGACGCAGCAGGGGCCGACAGTTGACGCGCGCACGGGGCTGTGGCTAGAGGATGCGGATGAGCTGGGAATACTATTCTTCTCTATTGGTGGGTCGAACCCTGTTTCTATTAATGTTCAGATTCCGGAGCTGCTGAGGGTAGAAGGGGCGCGAGAGTGTTTTGTCGTTGTACCGCCGCCTGTGAGGTGTTGCTACGCAGTAGACTGACATGGGTGTAGTTGGGGCGACGACGAGGGAGCCGTGTTTTATGGACTTTGGGGGAAGTGAGTTGGTTAGGGTGTGATGGCATTTTTGAGTTCAGGGGGAATCATGCGTTTAGGGGGCTAGAATGGTGTTCTTGAGGCGTGAGCTTCGATTAGGGGACTTGCTTGCTATGAAAATATAACATATATTAGATCTAATAATTTGAGGAAACTCTGTCCCAGCAACGTTTACAAAACCAATCACACACACAAGAACCCCAAAGTATAGACCTGCCAAAAGCCTATACCCTTTTTTGCCTTCATCTCATACATTTCCCAATACAATCCAATGACATCTGGAAGCAGGTCTGGAGCTGCTCCGCATAAACACAGCCAACGAGAATGACCTTAACGCATCAACTCTCTGACTCACAAAGCTAAGGCGCGTCATTTCAAATCCATCTTATGCAGTCACTGCACATGCCTGCCCTTTCACTCTTCACGCGCATGACGCCAAGACGCACCCGGAATTCCGGGCACAAGTCCACTCCACCACCCGACATTTTTCTACTCTCTACATGTCCCAGGGCTGACTCGAGCTACATTTCTAAATCCAACCCTTACGGTAAGTATGGCACTCAAGTGGCACACACTGTAGCTTGGCAGGGGCTTCAAACAATGAAATGCCGGCTTCGTCATTCTAAACCTCTGTCGATTGAAATGCTTGGCGTGCTTCAACAAACACTTTTAGAAAACAGGGATTTCGCTCCTTCATGCGGTGGCTCCGGAGTTACAAAAGCACGGGTAGGGCTGAGAGAGCTTCGGAGAGGAAGTGAAGAATTCATCAGCGGGGAGCTTTATCATGCGCCATATGGGATATGGTGCATTGGGTTGAGTGTACTGGTGCTCTGTATGGAGGCAGGCGGCTTGCTCAGCAGCTTCACGTCGAGCAACGAAATGATGGTAGATGGTTTGGAGGTAAGTAGATATGTAGAGACATAAGAGTCCTCATTTTCGTCTCATAAACGATCATCATCTTCACATTTCTTTCAGCCATCCTCCACATCCACCATTTTCTCCACCATCTTCATCCTACGCCTCTTCCGCCCTCCACCTCCCCAACTCCAACCCCAACACCCACAATGGACGAGCACGCCGTCCCCACTGGCTCCTTCCCTTCCTTCACGCCAACCTGGCACCGCACCTCCTACCCCTCCATCTCCCCAACCTCCAACCCCGCCCTCTCCGCCACCTCCAAGACCATCCTCATAACCGGTGGCGGCACCGGCGCCGGCCTCGCCATGGCACGCTCCTTCGCCCTCGCCGGCGCCGCGCACATCGGCCTCCTCGGCCGCCGCATCCCCATCCTCTCCGCCGCCGCCGCCGCCCTCTCCGCCGAGTTCCCAGGGACCACCTTCCACACCTACGGCGCCGATATCTCCTCCGAAAGCGCCGTCGACGCCGCATTTGCCGCCTTCGAAAACGCGGCCGGGAAGATCGACGTCTGCATCCAGAACGCCGGCTTCCAGCCCGCTCTCGCGCCTCTATCCTCGATCTCCCCCGTAGATTTCAGGAAAGGGATCGAGATCAATGTGATGGGGTCGCTGTACCTGATCCGCGCGTTCCTGCGCGCGGCGGCGGCGGCGGAGGCGGTGCTGCTCTACGTGTCGTCGGGGATCATGCACCTGCCGACGATGAGCGGGTGGGCGGGGTACGCGGTGGCGAAGGAGGCGGCGACGAAGCTGTTCATGCATGTTGCGGCGGAGAATCCGGCGGTGCGGGTGCATGCGATAAATCCGGGGTTGTTGGAGACGGATATGAGTGCGTTGAATATCCCGAAGGGGAGTGGGGTGGTGTTTGATGATAGTGAGTAGTCCTTGTTTTGATGTATTGGGGGATATTTGCTGATTGAGAATAGGGTCACTCGCTGGGGACTTTGCGGTGTGGATTTCGAGTCCTCAGGCGAAGTTTTTGAATGGGACGTTTGTGTGGTCGAATTGGGATGTGGAGGAGATGAAAGCGAGGGCGGAGGAGATTGGGAAGGGGTATTTGTTGAGGATGGGGCTTGTTGGGTGGGATAAGATTTGAAAGCTGCGAGAAGACGTTGGAAAATAGTTGATGGAGATAGAAAGATTCGTAGTTGGAAGAGACATAGAAAATCTAGATATGGGATATTGTAACAAGAGAATGAAGAACTCCGAGTAGGGATGAGATTCCCCTTTCCAAGCAAGCCTCTCCACCTGCAAACCTAACTTACTCCTTTCCACCCAAATCGTCAACATGAGCAGCCTCGAGCTTTACTCGTATCTGTTGGATTATGACAATCACCTACGGCAATCACTGCCGGTAGCAAACAGGGCTTTCATGTACCAATGTTCAGATGCTACGGCCTGCAAACCGATAGTATCTCCTTATTCCAGCGAATAATCCCCAGGTCCCAATAGAGGACCTAAGTGGTAGCCTTCCCTGCAATCCCCCCCACTCAATCCTTCTTCTCCAAGTAAGGCAGGTAAGCCTCATATACCTCCTTATACCCAGGGAACTTGACATTCCTCTGAAACACCCCCTCATCCACCACCCTCGCCGACTGGAGTGAAGCCGCGATCCAAAAGTCAGTACCACTCGGCCGGGCGCCCAGCACAAACGGCCCCTCAGCCTTATGCGTCCGCATCAACTCGCCGACAGCGCGCATGCCCTCGCCCACCGCATCCCAGGCCTGCTCCTCCTTCTCCGGATCCAGTAGGTCCTCAAGCCGGTGCCCGAGCTCAGCCTCGCACGTGCGCCGGAAGTACTCCTGCGTGCGCGCGGCGACAGGATGCCAATCTCGCGCGGCATCACCGACATGCGGAAGGCCGGGCCCGCCGCAGCGCGTGCTTTGGCTTCGATCTCGCGGCCCAGCTCCGAGGTTAGCGGGACTGGGGGATCTGAGTAGGTCGATTCGAGGAACTGCGCGATGGGGGCTGAGTTCATCACGTACGTGTTGGTTGGTATGTGCTGGATGGTGGGGACCGTGTATTGGTATTTGTATTTGTATTTGGATGCGGACTCGCCGGGGATCAGACCGCTAGGTAGGTTTAGGTCAGGAGGCTTCCTTCACACGCGCTCTGAGGCTTTGGGGCTGTGTATTGAGATATGAAAGGAAGAAAAGGGGAGGGAAGGGCGCTGAGGTGGAGGTGGATATCGAAAGGCAGCAGAAGGCGAATGTAACTTAGAGCCCTTTCAGCGTGGGCTCAATGTCCGGAAATTCGAGGAAGACAGTTCTATAAGGGATATGCTTATAGTTAAGTATGAGGCGGACGCGCCAGACAGTGGGAGAGAAGCAGTTGTTCTTGATGCAGGCCACGTCGTACAAAACAATCTCGGGCTCGGTTTGGGCGGCCATGTTGTGCTACGCTCTTATGATGACTCAACTAAGGAGGTAAATAAAGTGCAACTGTAAAGTCTCCAATCGGTCAATTTATCAGTGGAGAAGAGACGTCGAGGGGACGGGTTTTTATAAAATAGGATGAGTAAGCGAGGCTGAAGAAGGTGAAGCGATGTCGATATAAAGGGTCCGTGCGCTCACCTTCTCTACTTCCAGCAATTTGAAAACTCAACAAGTGGCTTCACGAAGCTGTAACGATAATGCATATCACCTATATATTCCAATAACTCCAATCAAAAGCGACAATGTCAATTACACTATAACATTAGTGGGAACCATCATCACTACTGATATATTAAATCACCGATACAATCTACCTTCCACCAGCTCCAGAACCCAGACAACCTCTCAGAAACTATGCTTCCACTTGGTGCACTCCCTTCAGTTCTCCACCTTCACCCAAAACCCCACGGCGCAGAGTAGCGAGCCTCTAGCTCTATAAAAAACAAATGAAGACTTCAGCCTCCAGCACAAGGCCAGAAAAACCAATGCCCTCCGCCTCGCCAAATTCCAGAATCGATCCACCAACAACTTTGCAGTCCTAGGCGACCTGCCCAAGGAAATCTTGCGACAAGATGAGGGAGGAGGCTCTTGCCCACACTAAGGATACCATGGTACAGAGGATATGATCAAAGTGCGAACGTTACTCCCCAAGGGCGGTCCCCGACTCCCCTTTAATCCAGGAGTCTAGGTGCCCTTGGTTGTGGAGCTGAACGCTCCCTCCAGGTTGTTGCAAAACACCGTGAGAAGCCTGGAGAAGGGCACTGCTAAATGTACACCCTATATTTACTCGGTGTACACCCCTTTTCTACTCCGTATACACCCTTCTTACGTCTGATCTTCTGATTGGTCCGGAGGAGTGCTCCGGGGCCTCCGATTCGCTCGCTTACGTTTCTCACTAATTCCAAATGCTCTCTCCAAGTGCGGCGTGGCCACAAAGCATTACATCCTGATCCTCAACTTCCTCAATACACTCACCATGGCCCTCAAACCACCACCGCCACGGTCCTACTGTACGCTAGATGAAGCCGAGGAAGTGCTTAGAGAGCATGCAAAGGCGCAGGGCTACGGGCTCATCAAGTTCCGTTCAAAACCAGACAGAAAGACGAAGGAAACGAGGAAAATATGGTACCGATGCTGCTTTGGAGGCACCAGAGAGTCTCATGCACGCGTGCGCAGTACGTCTACTAACAAAGTAGACTGTAAGATAAGCGGTACGCTCACTCGGCAGCCTCCTAGAGTTGATGGCTCACGTGTTTAGCTATAGGAGACGGTGGAGGAAGCTCACAACAATCACAACGCTATGCTCAAACCTACGGCAGCCGCCTGTAATAGGAAGCGCTCGGCATCCACGAATGCCCTCATTCGAATAGATGCATTAAGCGGAACAAAGCCTAATGAGACGTATACAAAGCTGTTGAAGAAA